TTGGGTCTCTTCTTTGACTAACAAGCTTCTGAGGAATGCCCTTTTTTATTGCAATTCTTGCAAAATTGTACCTTTTTCTTCGTCTTTGTGTAGAATGCTTCTGAATTCTGAGGTTCACTCGCTTCGGTTTGCCTTCTTGCTTCGTATTCTTCTACGATTTTTATTTTTAAATTGTCAGGACTTGGCAGAATATCTCTCGACTCAATTGTCGTTCGGAAGCTATCGAAATTTATAGGTAAACTGTATAACATCATTATGCTTAATAACTCTGGATGAATTTTGACATCCATATCTTCTAATTTACCTACTACATCCATAAAATTACTGAGATGGCCTCTCACATCTTCTTGTGGAGTCATTTTCTTCAGTACTAATTGTTTTAATAGCGTAGCCTTTCTTGCCGGCCCTGAACTTTGATATACAGACTTTAGTTTGTCCCATACCTCCTTGGATGTATTACACCCTTTAATTTGTTTTAGTTCTGGTGGAGATATAAGTAAAAATAGCTCTGACCTTGCCTTTAAGTCTTCCTTTAGGAACGCACTCTTTTCTTCGGCAGTCGCAGTTGCCGTTAACGTTTTTTCACCATTAGCGTATTCCCACAAATCGTATCTTATGAGAATCCCCTGTGCTTGTAAGCACCAGGTATCGTAATTCGATTTTTTTAACGGTTCTATGCTTCTGATACTCGAGCTCATTTTAAAAAAAAAATTGTATTTTCTCATTTACTTATTATTTTAAAATATGCTTCTTCCATTTTCCACTAGATATATTATATCCCGATATATTTATCCAACCACGCTCTGCTACCACTGATAGGGTGGACTAGTGGCTAAAGCAATTAATTAAAATGCAAAATAAATTGTAAAACATTTTGTTTACTAGTAAGAGAAAATATATGAACTGAATTAAATGACACCGCACATGTAAAAATAAAATAAAGATATTCCAAATTTAAATGCAGTGCATCAAAGACAATTATATGTGGACAGCACCATGACCTTCCAACACTAAGAAATTTAATTCTTCTCATAAAAATAATTACATAATGCAGTGCCTTTTTACAAATAATAAGAAACTTAAAAACAACATTTGGGTTTTAGACAGTGGTTGCACGTCTCATATGACTTATCAACGAGACTTATTTAAAACAATAGACGGACGAATACACTGCAGAGATAAAAGGTAAAGGAATAGTTTCCTTTATAACTAAAAACGGCAACAGTAAGGCAATAACGCGCTTACAAGACACCTTATACGTACCGAACTTTTGCACCAACTTACTGTCCGTAAGTAAGATGACAGATGCTGGTTGCTCTGTGCTATTTACTAACAATAGAGCAACTGTAAATAACCCTAAAAATGGAATAAATCTAACGGCATATAAACAAAAAGACGGTCTTTACTATGTGAAACCAGATCAACATGAAAGGAACTATTTGGTCACTAATGATAAGGTCACGAGTTCTCCTCCGAAGGAATCAACGACTTTATCAAGACGTATTAATGACTGGCATAGAAAACTGGGTCACATGAACGTAAAAGATCTGAAATATGCGCGTAAACATGAAAACTTAATTGGCTTAAATTTTGATGCATCGGAAGATTTGAATGACTGTGAAGTATGCATACAAGCAAAACTCCACCGTGAACCTGCTCCACGTAATAAAACAACTCAAAGAACAACAGAATGTTTACAAATCATTTACAGCGATGTGTGTGGACATATTCAGACGCCCACCATACGCGAAAATAAATACTTTGTTACTTTTATAGATGACTACAGTCGATACTGTAGAGTTTATCTAATGAAAAATAAGAGCGAAGTACTTGAAAAATTTAAAGAGTTCAAAGAGTTAGCGGAAACACACACAGGTAACAAAATTAAGTTTTTACAATCTGACAACGGCACTGAATATGTTAATAAGCAGTTTGACACTTACTTAAAACAGTGTGGTATTCAAAGACGTCTTACCGCACCTTATACTCCACACCAAAACGGAGTTGCTGAACATAAAAACCGTACCCTATTAGAAAAAGCAAGTGCATTGATGATAGATGCAAATGCACCATTGAAACTTTGGAGCGAGGCAGTGGCTACTTCTAATTATTTGGCAAATAGAAACATAAACAATGCCATTCAAAATCGAACACCATTCGAACGATGGGTTGGTAGAAAGCCCTGTGTAAATCATCTATATATATTTGGTAGTAAGACTTTTGTTTTGAAAAAGGGATCTAATGGTCACAAATTTGCACCTAAAGCAATTCCAGGGATGTTTGTGGGATATTTTGAAACGTCAAAAGCTTTCAGAATCTACATTCCTTCGAAAAACAAAATCATTACTTCGAAAGATATTCGAGTTATGAAATGCATGTACTACGAAGAAAACAAGTACGGCATTGCAATACTTTTTAATGAAATTGAGTCTACGGCAAAACCTCATCAATTGTCTTCACAAAAAACGCAACAAAAGAAACTTACTATGACGCTTGATGACATTGATAAATATGACAACAATGTTGACACGCAAAATGATAACAATACAATTTTGGAACAAAATATTCAGGAACCAACAAATATTGAAAGTGACTACGACTCACTTTCTGGTTCTTCTAATATTGAAGACCCTGTTAACAACGGTGTCTGAGAAGCAGTAAACAGTAATGACAATGTAGAAAACGCCTCCGTTCAAATAAGGTCACTAAGAAGTAGATCAAATATCACAGCTCCTAGGCGTTATGATGATTTTATCTTAGCCGCAGAGGAAGAAATTGAAAATATTCACAAACCTACTGAACCTTCAACCTTTAAGGAAGCGATGGATTCTACTGATAAAGAAAAATTGAAAAACGCTATGCTGAGTGAAATTATTTCACTAAATGACAACCAAACTTGGGAACTGGGTAATCTACCTAAAGGACGAAAAGCCCTGCCTTGTAAATGGGTATATAAAATTAAAATGAATCCTGATAGTTCCATTGAAAGGTACAAAGCCAGACTTGTAATTAAAGGTTACTCCCAAATACCTGGTGTCGATTATGATAAAACGTTTAGCCCAGTAGTTCGTCTGACCACAGTACGAACTTTACTTGCAATTGCTTCTAAAGAAAATTTAAAATTATTGCAGTTCGATGTCTCAACCGCTTTCCTATATGGTGAAGTAAAGGAAGAGATTTATATGAAACAGCCTGAAGGCTATTCCGATAACAAGAAACGAGTTTGCAAGTTGAAACGCAGCTTATTTGGACTCAAGCAAGCTCCACGTTGTTGGAATTCATGTATTGCTGAGTTTTTACAAAAATCAGGATTCAGGCAGAGTGAAGCGGATCCTTGTTTATATATTAGAAATAAAGGACAAACGAAACTTTTCATTGGTCTTTACGTAGACGATGGACTTGTAGCAAATAACACAAGCACAGCGGGTGATGAATTCATTAAGCAATTGCAAACCAGATTTAAAATAACAAAAACCTGCTTCATATTTTCTTGGATTAGAAATAGACATATGCAAAGACAAGACCATTACATTATGTCAGAAGGCTTACACAAGAAAAGTTTTAGAAAAATATGCAATGTCGAATTGTAAATCAGCACCAACACCAATAATAAAAGAAACTGAGACGGAAGAGGAAGTTAATATCAATATAAACTTTCCGTATAGACAAGCAGTAGGTGCTTTGGCATATTTATCTGTAGGCACGAGACCTTATATATCATATGCTGTAGGTGTCGCTTCAAGAAAGCTTGATTCACCTACCAAAAAGGATATTATGTTGGTAAAACGTATTTTCCGTTATTTGAAAGGCACGCAGCATAACGGTTTAACTTATACACGAAGATCTCCCGGTCATTTAATTTGTTATAGTGACGCAGATCATGGTGGAGATCCAGCAAGTGGGAAATCAACTTCCGGAATGATTTACTTATTTTCTGTAGCTGCAATTAGCTGGAGAAGTCAGAAACAAGCAACTGTCTCCATCTCATCTACTGAAGCAGAGCTAATAGCAGCTAGTGAATCAGCACAAGAAATTTTGTGGCTAAATTGCCTACTTCGCCAACTTACAGAAACCGAAAGTCCAGTATTGAAGTTAGACAATGAATCAAAAGCTCGCGCTAAATCCACGCTATGAGTACCATAAGCGTACTAAGCACATTAAACTTAAACATTTCTTCATTAGAGAATGTGTTAGCAATGGAGACTTTACAGTAGAACATGTTTCCACAGATATACAGTTAGCCGATATGCTAACGAAACCATTGTATGGCCCTAGATTAAAAGAACTTTGCTTACAATTGGGTTTAAAGAATTTATATACATATATTCTCTAAAAACTTAAGAGGGTGTGAAGTATGTATATACTTATTACTGGCATACAAGAAGTTGCCTTAGCAACAATCTCGTTTTAAGAATAAATAGTTTGATTAAAAATGTCTTATAAAAATAAAGCTTTGTATTTCTTTAATATTAACAAACACCATAAATCCTGATCTATCTTTCATATCGACTAATTAAAACTTTACAATAATAAAATAATAAATAATACTTATTATTAATATTAATTAATAATTGAATAATATACCAAATATTAAATATTGTTAAATTATTAACGATAAATATTTATTATTAATTATTTAATATTTAAAAAAATAAAGAAAGCCAAAGCAGTTTAACTTCTTACGCGCGTACATAAGTACACGCACCATTTTTTTATGTATATCGGTTCACTTTTACGAGTATAATTATTTAAACTAATCTGTGCTCTAATATCTGTCTAAAACGGCCATAGTCTAACAGCTGTTTGTTTACAAACTGTCAACTACAGTAGTCAGTAGTACTACTTCAGTAGCCACTAGCCACTAGCCACATAACCTAGAGCTAATATTAAATTTGACTTGTTAAATACTTAAATTAAAATTAAATCATACAATATAGTTTTAAAAAGACATTCTATATGACCATAAAAGTATGAATAATAATAAATAATAGCCTGCCGAGATGGTTCTTCTTAATAGAATATTGTTCACTGTTAAAGAAATTAAACGTCCTCGTAAATATTTGCGTAGCAAGTTTATAGATACTGTTAGGCTTCATGTGAAGGGTGGAACTGGGGGGACTGGATTACCGAAGTATGGTGGATTAGGGGGTCAAGGCGGATGTGTTTATTGTGTCGGCAAGGAGGACGCTAATTTAGGTAAAATTATAAGTCAACATAGAGCAAAAACTGTAGTTGCCGGACATGGTGAAGACAGCCGAAAAGTCAGAATAGTCGGTGCTCCCGGTTCAGATGTAAAATTAGAAGTTCCATTAGGAGTTACAATCTTCAGAGAAGACGGAAAAGTTTTGGGATCCATTGACAAAGATGGAGAAACTGTTATTGTAGCTCGAGGTGGACCCGGAGGTACCCCTGATAATAGCTTTCTAGGCCACTTTGGGCAAGTACACCATATACGTTTGGACCTTAAATTAATTGCAGATATTGGGCTGGTAGGGTTTCCAAATGCTGGTAAAAGTTCGCTTTTAAAAGTGATTTCAAGAGCAAAGCCTAGGATCGCTAATTATCCATTTACAACTATTAAACCAAACATGGGTATCATTCAATTTGAAGATAAGAGACAAATATCTATTGCTGATCTACCTGGACTTATTGAAGGAGCACACATTAATATTGGTCTTGGCCACAAGTTCCTAAAACATGTAGAAAGAACAAAACTCCTTTTGTTTATTGCTGATGTTCAAGGCTTTCAGCTAAGCCCTCGTCATCTTAAAAGATCATGCTTAGAAACTATTCTCTTGCTGAACAAGGAATTAGAACTTTATAATCCAGAATTGCTAGATAAGCCTGCAATTTTAGCTGTTAATAAATTAGATTTAAATGGAACGGACACTATTTTCAATGAAGTGAAAGAATCATTTAAAGACATTGAAAAGTTCCTGAAGAATTCAAAAATGCCCGCAGAAATAATACCTGAAAGAATAATAAGATTTGAAAACATTATAGGTATATCTGCATTGGAGAGAAAGGGGATTAATGATTTAAAAACCTTGCTAAGAAACAGGTTGGATGATCATGCCGAAGAGATAAATGCAGATATAATTGATGCCAGTGAGCTGTTAAGAAGAAACAAGAATATTATATTAGAGAGAGGCCCACAAATTACTTAGCTTTTTAAGTATATTATATGATATTGTTAAAAAATTTAACAAAGATCAATAAATCTCCTTGTACATTGTTCTTATTCGCTCAAATATTATAAAGCTAGAATAAGAATAGGTATAGTAAATAAAAAAAAATCATCATTTTAAACCTTTTAATATACATTTTAGTTTAATCCTACAAAACTAAATATCTCATTTTATACATTTGATTCTATCACAGACCATTCCTGGACTTGCCGACTCAGGACAATGATATAAACAATCAATCCAGTTGTAACTAATCTTACCATACGGGAATATTTTACATTTTAAATGTTTCATTATCTTATACCTATAATTATAAAATTAGGCCTATATTCCAAATAATCTCAATAATGACTTATCATAATTATTTTAACTAAAATTATAGGTAAAGTTAATAAAATTTTAATCTTTTTTACAGTTTATAAAGTACTAAGGTCAGAATGTAGAGAATTTATAAAGTATGAATGTCAACATGGCCACATTTTTTGTGGTGGGAAACGTTTATGCGTGTACTTCTTAGAACAAACTTAAAAAATGACTCCTTTACTTTCTTTAAAATCTAAAGACTGGTTTACTTATTTGCCAGGAACTAAATGTGCATAAATAATTTGCTTTCCAGTTCACAACCATAATAAACCAGCATTAATGATCAGTATTGTAATTCCGATTAAAACACAAGACACAAACATTGGTAATTACCAGTAATAATTATTACTAATACAAAAAAACAATTAATGCATCTCAACTAACATACATTTACATACACCTCAACTATTATGCGTTATAACTTATACGACTAAAGTGATATTTGCTTAACAACACGTTTATAGACTAGACATTAGACAACACTAATAAACTTGTTTCAAATTAAATAAATGTTACATAAAATCTCTCGCCAAACTCGATTCACCCGCAGCCTTTTTTGCGAATCAATCGTTTTGCCCTTGCGCTAAAAACATCACTTTTCTCGTCATCTACGAGTCTTTCACCAATTGTTCAGAAGAATTACCAGTTAATCCAACGCATCGTACCTCTCTTCCGCCTCGGTGGCCGTCTCGGCGGGCGGCAGGGCCCTACGCGAGGTGCCGGCCTCCGGAGGAGGACTGCCCGCCGCCGGAGGAGAGGGGCTGTCGCGGGTCTCGGCAGCGTTGGCTTGACCTGCATTAATTATAATTTGTTAGTCGAGGAGATTGCCAACATTGTTGTGCCGAATAAGATAAATAGAACTGACCGACTGGCGCGGGGCGGGCGTCGTCGGGTCGCTGCTTCTTCGCCGCGGGGTCCTCGCGGTCGACCTGAGCCGGGCACTCCAGGTGCACCAGGTGGAACACCTGCACGTGATCAAACTCCATGCTCCGTATAGACATTATACACGACGCCACACATTTCAATTATAATAAAAAAATTGGTAAAAAAAAAAAATGGGTGCGTTGCCGGCCTCATAGCGAGGTGTATAGTGTATACTCTTACTTTGAACAATTGCAGATCGTATTAGGTACATTATGCTAGTTCTCAAAAGCGTGTTGTGAATCGGACTGTGGAAGATTCCAGCCATCGCGGAGATGCGGATGAAATATTGAATGGAGACCAAGTATGTTTTGACCGTGTTAAATACTCACTTCATTGACGGAGTTGTTGGTGCCGACGATGCGTATTATGGACACGGGCCGCGGAGTGAAGTAGATCACCTGCCACGATCTGTTAACATTTATATATATCTTTATTATTTGATTTTTGAGCCAAATATATCCCGGTCCGGTGTCGATAAACAACATTAGACCTGCAAGTATCCCTCGTGCGATCGGCGACCATGTCCCAATGCCAATAGTTGAGCGAGACCTCCACGTAGTACGAGTAGTGGCGGTAGTCGCAGTCCCACAGGAGCATGCGGATAGACGAGAGGAGATAGGGCTGCGCCAGCTGGACCACGATGGCGCCGGATCCCAGCTGGTGGCACGTGTAGCCCTGCTCCCAATCGTAGTGCTCGGTGTCGCCGTTCAGGAGGGCGTTGCGGGAACGGCTGATACGAGATTACATATTTACATCATCTATTATTTAAAATGCAGGGAATCTCTTAGAGATAAATTCAAGGAAATTAATATACTTATAGACCAGTGCTTATAGAGAAGTAGGGAAGGGGATGACGGGTCTGGGCGTTACTGCATACGATTGCATTTTCTGAGAAGATTTACTATAGTAATATAAATATATATTTTACCATAGGAAAGTAGAGATTTCAACGAACTGAAAGCACACCAACTTTTTGAAAAAAGCTGATATTTTGACGGGTGAATTTTCGATTGAAAATTAGGGTGCTTTTTCGATATTAATTCAAAATAAGGTGAAAAAATTATTATTACAAATCAAATAAATTACAGCGTATTAAAAACATAAAAAGGTAAGTTTTCACCAAATTTCGTGGGAAAAAAATAAATTTTGTAAAAGATAAAAATTAAAAACCAAAAACTTGGTTTTTTGAATTTTTCACATAAATTTTGAGGTTATGTGAAAAATGTGTAAATACAAAAGTTTTAGATCTTTTTATTACCTACAACTTTGCCATTTTACTTTTTTCCATAGGACTTTTAGTTTTGCCGGATATCGAGATAAACCGTTTTTTTACCCTTAAAACTCCCCCCTACCCATTCCCGACCTCAGATCGCCCGTAAATTATTTTTCCTTTAATTTTTATAATATTCTCCTCCTTTTCCTATAGGTTTCATCCTACTATTATTTTTTTAAGTTTCAAAAATTATCGACACTGGTCTATTACCTTTCCCTCGCAATATATTTATGAAAATATTATGTATGTATACAAAAATAGTGATAAGTTTACTAGAATAGAACATACGCACAATGTTAATACACGGAACAAACGCAGGCTGCAATTTCCCCGTACTAGACTATCTAAAGTTAGTAATTCTTTTTTAGGAAAGCTCTTTTAACTCTGCCTTTTAATAAATTTAAGAAATGTATTAAAGAAAAGCTTACTATAAAGTTAACGACTATCTAGTTGATAAAAGGGCCTGGGACTAGTGCTAGACAGGCTACTTCTAATTAATTTGCAATATTTGTTTTAAATAAGTGTTGTTTGATGATTTGCTATTTTAAAAGAGTACCGAGAGCTTTTTACGCCGGCTTTTTCTCTCGGCCTACACCCTCTGTCTTCTTTGCCGATGAGTAGGGATGCCTACAGATTCAAATTTAATGACGTGGAATAAGTGATACATGTATCTTATGTTCCATAATAAACATATATTTATCCGATCTTAAAATATTTGAACCAAGGTCACCTGATCCCTTCGATGACGACGGCGGACAGTTCCACGGTGGCCACGTTGTGCAAGGGCTCGATGAGGCCGTCGCTGAGGGGCGGAACTCGCGTCGTGTGCATCGCTTCCATAGAAACCGCGTGGAACACCTGACGGACAGTCGTACATACGTTGACATTAAGATCTAATTTATTGAATCGATGTGGTCACGTGAGACGACGATTTGTCACCTTATTGACAGTATTGCTGGTGCCGACGATCTTGATGAACTGCACCACTCTGGGCCCGAAGTAGAGGTTCTGCCAAGAACGGCAGAAGTAGTTGCTGTGGTCGATCACGCGGACCCAGTCCTTCTGGTCCACCGAAACTTCGACGAAGTACGCGTAAGACCTGTTCGCGTTAAACGTTACTTTGAAATACTCAAAAGTCAAAAATCATTTAATCATATAGGTGTTTGTCTGTTTATACATTACTATTATTTATATTTTTTCTTTACATTTTATTTTATTTCATTTTAGTTATAGTTGCATGTTATTTTTAGTATCTTTTTGTTCATTAATTATGCATCTACTTTACCCTCTGTAGGTGTTACTTTTTTATTGTTCCATATTAGGGTTGCCTGGAAGAAACCGCTTGTTACCGATAAGGCCGCCCGTTGCCTAATAACTTATGTTACCTACTTACTTTTTGTTTTTCTATATATGTATAATCATGTGTATTATAGCAATGAAGTATAAATAAATAAAATAAATAACACAATGTACACTTATGAACGTCAAAAAAGAAATGTATATGAAATGCTTCCAACTTAACATTTAGTGCCAATTCTCATATCAAGGGCGTTGAACGGAAGGGAAGAACTGGCAGTAAATTCCCCGCCACTCTTTTTAATCGCCAAGTACTTTGTTTTACACAACGTTTGTACGGAGCTGCAACCATTACACCATGTTCCACATGACATCTTAAGTAATAAATAATAATAAACCCGTCTCCGCATTACGGACCACCGATCGGACGCCGAGCTCACCGATTGTCCCTGTCCCACAAGAGCAGTCGCACGTGGTTGATAATGGTCGTCGTAGCCAAGCGGACGATGATGCCGGGATTGTCCGGGGCGTCGGATATGGTGTGCCGGGTGTACCCTCTCTCCATGTCGTAGTTGTCCGTGTCCCCGTCGAGTAGCGCCGATCGCATGTCGCCCGTTATCACCCGCGCGCCCCGCTTGGTGGTCGCCACGTTCTCTTCGGGCACTGACCAAATATTATTTATTCAAATGTCACGGAGGAGTAATTCGGGGTTTGTTAGGCGATAAGATTATTTTTATTACATAGGTTTTTTCTCTGTTAAGTTAAGCCTAGCTGATACACATGCAGCATATACACATAGTATATATATATATATAACAATAATAAGTAAAACACATCTCTGGTTACATTCCTTTGAAGGATCGAATATACTTAGTATTCAAGTGGAAATTAAGTGACATACATAAAAGTCCACGATGGGGCAGATCCGTGGTGCTGGTCTGCGTCTTCTCCTGTATGGCGTCCAGCAACATGTCCGGCGTCACAAGGGTGAAGGGCCGCACTACAGTCAGAAGTTCTTCCAGACTCATTAGAGTCAGTCGAACGCATTTCAAGATCTTCTCCTGTTAAAATCATTGCCTATCTTTATCAAATCAGCATGGTTAGAAGAAGAAGAATTAACCAGTTTTTGAAGTGAAACTTCTTTAGGCGCATGAGGGTAAATTTTTACGGATGAAACGCAATAATAATAATATTAGCGTCACGAAGACGTGCAGCGTTTTTGTCGAAGAAAAGGGAGAGAGCGATTGAGACCTATTGAGAGGGAGTGAGAAAGGGCGAATGAACTTATAGAAATTTTATTTTTAAAATTAAAATCTCGTAAAGAGAATTTATGAAATATTAGTCTTTTATATTTTAATGATAATAAATTCATTAAATTCCTAATATATCTTCCTTTTTCAAAAATTAGTTTGCCAAAGAAGTTTCACTTCTGACATGTGTACTTTGTACGCACGCACTTTTTTTTATTTACTCAAATGTAATTTAATTTCTAGGAATAAAAGTAGTCTAGGTAGTAGTCTGGGTTGGAAAGAAAGTGACATTCTTAAAAGTGATAAATTATATGAAATGATCGAATACCACATGCGCAATGCCACTGTCCGATTTGACCCACTGCTGGTTGGCATTGAACCAGCTACACACTGCCTTGAAGATGTCCACTTCCGGAGCAAAAAACGAGTCTCTCTGCAAGAGGCCTTGTAAAGCTTCCTGACAACATGATTCATTAAATTAATTGAATTTCAATTGAGCTACGGAGCATGATATGGGCCTGTCTGTGTCTTTAATATTTATTAATACATGTTATAAGCCTTGGCTTTGAATTTTTTGTAATTCTGGGAATTCAACATGTGATAAATGACTGATGTGCTATGAAACTCAAACTCAAAATAACTTTATTCATTTAGGTAAACAAGTACACTTATGAACGTCAACAGAAAAGGTGTTAAATTTATTCTAAATCTACATTTACTACCAGTTTGAAGTAAAGACAATATCAATCTATAACAATAAAATTATCTTGTGCCAAAAATTTAGAAATGTATTTGCTGCTACCAAATATTTCAATTGAAATCAACCAATGTTTAGGCCTTAGCCATTCTCGTCTGTTACATATCCATTGCTCTCCCTATTTTCCCGCATACCCAATACCAGTACCCCTCTTACGCAACTACGTTATATAAGGAAACGGACAACAGAACCAGCAGCTTTTGATCGGATACCTCATATCGGACCGGTCAATTCTCAACTAGTAAAGTTTATAATATAGATTATTTGTCGTGCACCTAATATCGGGCCGATTAAATAGTTGTATTTAGTTAAGTTATTATTGTAAAAGTAATAATTAATTAAAGTAATTCAAACACATTTTGTTTTTTTTTGGGATTCACCGCTGGCCCTCATATATTGTGAATAGTAATAATATTTTGTGAAATGGGTGGTAAGCCTATCGCACTCAGATTATGGCAATGAAGCCAATAAATGCTTAAATTTGGACATGTAGTATTATTTAGATACATAATAATATATTTAACATGAATTTTGCTCTCACTTTGTTGTAGCAACTTTTTAATATGAACTAAAACTTTTAATTAAAAAGCTTAAATAAACGTGGCTTACAATTGATAATTGTAGAAAAGTGTCATGTTGCAAAACTTCAGTGGCATTCCTATCCAGAAAGTTGAAGCAGTAATCCATCAAGGCATCTAGTCTGTAGAGCCTGCAAACGATAAAGCATGAGGCAAAATTTAATCACCTTTCAAAGAATAAGTATTTCTTTTTCACCTTACACATCACTTTCAAAGTGATATCAAGACTAGAAGATCATCATACATTTTTATTTTAAGCATTTATATAAGGTCTTACTTTAGATAGATCTCTTATGTCAGTAACTTTTAGTGACCATAAGATTTTTGTAATTCTATTATTCCTTTATAGAAATAAATAATATATTTTTACTAAGAAAGTGGGAACTCCCTGTTAGAAATTCAAGTCTCTTAAATTATAATAAAAAAAATTATATAAAGTCTTCTAGAATAAATGAAAACGAATGTTTAATGTTTAAAGAAATTTATTCTCATCAACAAAATTATTTTTTTACACAAGAACTTAATTATTATGCAAATTGCTTGTTGCCATCGAACAGCAGTTTTAATTTTGTCATTTTAGTCTTCTGGGGTCAGAATATGTTTAATACCTTTATGGTAATTCATTAAATAATTGCACAGCCACATAGCTTATAGATTTCTTTAAAAAAATTGTGCGCGGCTTCGTCAAGATAAGGAAAATCGCTCTACTGTGGAGACTGGAGATGTTTGAATTGCTTAACTGATAAGCTACTATGGAGAGATTTATTTATAATCTTTTTAATAAAATACAGTTGCTACAAACATAAATGTTGGTTTCTTTGTAGATTTGGTTAGTTTGTGGTAATAAATTGTATCTAAACATTGCTTTTAATAATTTATTTCGTAGTATTTCATATTTGTAAGTTAGAAATTTTTCTATTGCATGCTGTACCCCACATTACAATTAAATATATGACGTGTGGCTTTACTAATTAGTTGACATACAGATTGCAAACATTTTAAATTGACCAAGTTCTGCCTATGAGTGATTTTATTTTGTCAATTATGAAATCAAAATCAATTATAAAATCGTAAATACGAGAAAGCTTCAATTTAAATCTGTAATCTTGCTGAAACCAAGAAGAAAGAACAGTTGAAGTTCAAGCAGGTCTCCCTCTGCTTGAATTTTAGCAGTCGTGGATATTTCAATCAAAACAAAAGAAGCAGGTTTCATAACAAAGCGGCCGTGTAGACAGAGTTAGTGAATATTGTTAATAAAGATAAAAAAGAGCAATAGATAGGCCCGTGTGGGACGCCGCATTCGTAGTTCTGGGCCAAAGCCCATTCTAGTATTAACTAAGCTGCTTATTAAATCAAATCAAGAGAATTTCAGAGAAATAATTATACATTTTATGGTTTTAGTGTTGATTCCGTCTATTCCAGTACTACAATTAACATGTGGTGTTCTTAATATATTGGTGCTTCATCTATTATGCATGGTTATAATTTAGATAGTTTAAGAATAAGCATTAAGAATGGAGGGAAATGCTGGAGTAAAGTAAGTGTGAAATTGGCTGGTTTAGGCCCTACAACTACTACACATTGTGAACTATTTTTATAAATATAAATCTATTATATTGTGCCTTCTACGTAGATCATGAAATCTTACCGAGCAGCATCCAAAACGGCACAGACATTTCGCAGGGCCAACACTTGTCGCAGGTAATCAGATATAGCTGCTTCCAACTTCTGGAAGTTAAACTGGTGTGCTAGCCCCAACATATCGAGTACTGTGTCTTCGCGCAGCAACGAAAGTCCCATGTGGCCTACGCAAAAACAGGATTAAAAAAGAATCACTGGGACTTGTATTACAAGTATAAATAAATATTTTGTACTCAGACATATCAATTTAAATAAATTTGTTTAGTAAAGTTGACTTGGAATGCTCTCCCAATTCTTATAGCTTAAGTATAGAAACATAATATTTTTATTATGATAACGACTAAAAATTTTCTTTGAAATTGTTTTTTTCAATTATGTATACATATATTCACCTGAATAGACATATCTTAGGAGAGCCTTGAATGCTTGGAGTGGTGCCTGCAACTCCACTTCAGACTAACAAAGAACAACAACATCAATAATATGACAACAAAACAAATTGCTACATATTTTTATAAATAAATAGGTTTGTTTTATTAATGTTGAGGAGCAATTAAATTGGGTTGGGTGCGATAATAGTGCGTTGGAATCTGATGATACTGATTATGCAGGAGTCCTCGGGGACCTTGATTGGAACACCTCCAAGTAATTTTAGCTGCCGGAAATGCGTCAAAGTATTTTTAAAATTTTTTTAAAGTTTTGTGAAATGTATTGAAATTTGTAAACAATCCACCATTATCTACTTTTCTATTGGTTATAAGAGATGTGTCATTCTCGTTTTCTGTTGGTTATAAGTGATGTGACATTCTCGGTAAATTAATCGGATCGATTATTTTCTCATTTGTTAATTTTATAGTTGAACCTAATTTAATCATTACTTGTCAAATGTACTTACATTACATTAACTTCATGTTTCAATTAGTGTATGGTTCCGAAAATTTTTAAATTATTCAAAAAGTACCCAAAACCGAATCAGAGCACCCCACTATCCACGTGGTCTTGTCTGCCTTACCCCTAGAGTGTATATAAATAATCGGAGGCGCGGAGGAAAAGCAGCCCCCACCCGCTGTAACAAAGCACAGGCATTATGAAAGCTGTAGCGGCTGAGGCTGGTCGCCAAAGGCGACCAAAAAGCCGAGGTTGCGAAGGGTTGAATAAACTGCCTGTGCTTTGGTACGCAAGGGTGGAGGGGCTGCATTTCCCGTAGCGCCGGAGCTGTCCAAAAAACAAATATTATTTAGATCGGTTAGGTTAGGTTAGTATATGAATATTTGGTCGCCGAAGGCGACCAAGAAGCCGAGTTGCCCAGGGCTGAATAAACAATTATTATTTAGATCGGAGCTGTCCAAAAAAACAAATATTATTTAGATCGGTTAGGTTAGGTTAGTATATGAATATTTGGTCGCCGAAGGCGACCAAGAAGCCGAGTTGCCGAGGGCTGAATAAACAATTATTATTTAGATCGGAGCTGTCCAAAAAAACAAATATTATTTAGATCGGTTAGGTTAGGTTAGTATATGAATATTTGGTCGCCGAAGGCGACCAAGAAGCCGAGTTGCCGAGGGCTGAATAAACAATTATTATTTAGATCGGAGCTGTCCAAAAAAACAAATATTATTTAGATCGGTTAGGTTAGGTTAGTATATGAATATTTGGTCGCCGAAGGCGACCAAGAAGCCGAGTTGCCGAGGGCTGAATAAACAATTATTATTTAGATCGGAGCTGTCCAAAAAACTAATATTATTTAGATCGGTTAGGTTAGGTTAGTATATGTATATTTGGTCGCCGAAGGCGACCAAGAAGCCGAGTTGGAGTAGATAAATAGGTGAGATTTTTAAAAAAAAATTTATGTTTCCGGCGCGCAAAATTTGAAGGGGGTGATTACTACACCCCTCCCCCCTTCCTCACCACCCCAGCAACCCCAAATTTGGGCGCATCGTTATCGAATCGTTACCATTAAATTATTTATTAGTAAAATCCCTTTCTGTTATGTTAAAATTATTGCATACTTTTTTTATTTTAAATGTTCTTGTATTGAATTTAAAGTGTAAACTCTATGTAACGACACTCAATCGTTAAATGGAAAGAAGAAAAATCTGTATTACAAAAAGTTTATTTCACACTAGTGTTAGTAATTTTGCTATTGCATATTATAGTCTGTGATTTTCGTGTGACGTCTTTTGCTGCACCAGTAATTATGTTATATTTTATTACTTATTTTGCGATATTGAGGCATCTTCGTGATAAAGCACGTGCAAGCATCCCAATTTCTAAACAATAGGTCGGATTCTTAGAAAGTTTGGTATGTATGATGCAGACAGTCGAGTTTATTACGGGCTAGGACAATAAAGCGACAAAAGAACGTAAACAGCGCCGAAGTTTTAACTAATTTCGGTAACTTAAAAAGTACTTTTTATTATTTAATTGTCGTTATTGAGGGTATAATGCTATGTAGAGTATCATTGTATGAAAGATAAGCTAAATCAACCAAAGCCGAGTGAATTTGACGCTTTATGGGATGTTACATGGAGTTTACACTGTATATGAAATTTGTACTGTATATTGTACTTTGGCCTATATAAACCATTAAAGATGAAATGTATTTTATTTAGACATACTTTGTACTTTGTTTTGTTTATTCATTAGAGCTATAATTAGAATGGCATAATAAGAACAGTAACAAACTTGACTGGACTCCCTCATTCCTCCATAAAGCAGAGCCCTAAAATAGTCACTGCTTGCTGCCAAGATCACTTTATGTGCAGGAATCCTTTGCCCCTCCACTATCAAAGTCACATCTGAGTACTCTGATGATAGGCACAGAGACCCAATGTGTTCAGACAAATGACCTGTAATATTAACTTTACTATTCAATACTTCTATGATGTATACTGATTGTTTAAAAAAACCAGTATCAAGATGGAAATAAATATAAAACTGATATAATTTATAATTAAATCCCTTAATACAAAAAGTACATCTAATTATACTAACTGATATGTTCTATTTCACCAACACGGCAGCTACAGTTACTGTCGGCCGGCATGTAGTGGTGTTGACTAGTCATTTTATCCATAATGATTAATTTCTGGAATTGTATGTAAAAATTACCATGTTATACCAAGCTAAGCTGATATTTAGGCCTTCTTTTCAGTGTATTTGGTATTTGTTCATTTGTAATGGAAATGGTAATAAGAAACTCTGCATGAATGATAATAAGCAATATTGCAGGAATGGTAATAAAAAGTTTGGTTGGTACCCTTGTACCTAAGGGGAAGGAATAACAATGTGACTTTAATATAAACAACAACGTTAAACTGCTATTATAAATAAACAAGGATCAAAACAGCATACTTCATAAGATTTAATATTCTATAACAATGACTGAACTAGGAATATTTTTACAAGAAAATTTTCAGATGAAAATAATTAATGCCAAGTTTATAAAAATATACAAACTCTATTACAATATTTTTGGTAGTAATAATCATAAAAGCTATTCCATATTGTTACAAAATCTAACTTCAAAAAAAATATACCTGATGAAAATCACTTAAAATCGCTTTCCTTAAGTAGAAACAAATACGACACAGCACATTTTTTCTTGCCAATTACTTGTTCCATTCATTTCATTCACTGAAAATATATACCAAAAATAGAGTTCTCAGTGTATTTTTATTATAATTATTACAAAATTTACATGTAAATATTAAAGACTTGACTGATAGTAGAGACATAAATATTTTGATGTTCTTTCCATCTCCATTTTATTTGTCTATTCCACCTCTTTTCACTATGAGTTCAGGTTAATATTTAAATATATATAGATAACCTTCGAATTAGAATATCTATAGTGATATTATGTATTATCTGTAAAAAAACGGAATATAATTACAAAACTGTTTTACATAATTTTATCTTGACCTTTTATCATTTGTGTATATTTCAATTAATTAAAAAAAAATCAAAAATTTGCTCTTTAAATATTCCTAATTTAATATACACTCACTATATTTATAATTAATATAGTCTATATCGACGGAAACGGAAGTTGTTACAAAGTACAAACTAGAAAACTTTATATAGCTATACTATACCCTATATACCAATTACCATTTGAAAATTATAATGTTTTTATATGTAAAAAAGCCATAATGTATCAATTTGATGCATAAGGCCATAGCATTAAAAATCTGGATTTGTTATAATAATTTTAGTTTAACATATAAATAAATTATTGCAAATGTGTTAGCGTATGTAGTAGTATTAATATCGTGTATTTTTTTCTTATATAAAAATACCTAAGTAATGGTCATCGAATTTATAGTGCCATCATATATTTATATAAGCCAAAACTGCAGATAAAACAAAAACTATTTCTATTGAAAATAGTTTTCATCAAACAATGTACATTATATTACATGATATTATGGAATACCAATGAATATAATATAGGACCACATTACACTGTAGCTGAATCAGGCGCGAAAGCTTCGTCATGGGAAATGCTTGATAGGGATTGGTTAATAATTATGAAAGTACCAACCTCAAGTAAAACACTGCATATAATTTTGGCTATGTTGTCACAATTATTACCAGTTGTGTAGGCAGGTAAAATTCGTCGCTTTGCTGAATTTAATTTATTTTCTTTGGTGATTATTAATGTGATAATGTTAACAAAATATTTAGAATATTGGCTGTAAAATATTCTATCGTAGTATGATGATAACAGGTTTGTAACATATTAATGTTTTATTGTTTCTATAACTTTTCAAAAGGTTGTGGTTCTGCAAAAGTAGCTGCACAATAATGAGAGAGTGCGATACTCGCGAAAGAAAATGTAACGATTATATTATGTCTAAATTTAAATTATCTCTTAGATTATTTTAGTTAAAAGAATATTATTCTTAAATATTTAAATGTGTATAATAACTAAGTTCACCTCGATGTAGAATAAAAAATGACTTAAGTGATGATGTTAATTTTACATTACAATATTTTATTTTTATTGGCTTGCAGATAATTTTTAATGAAATATTAAAAGTAATCTGACCTCTGTAATGATTACGGAAATGATTTGTACGCGGGGAAATGGAGCGACAACATTGTAATTTACTTCAAAACTTTGATGAACCAAAAAGTGAAATTTTGAAAAAAAGGTTGCTGAAGGCCACGAATGCTTCCGTCAGTGTTCATAATTCTCTAAATAATTCGCACAATGTTCTGCTAAACACATTGCGTGTAAGTTTTTGATGTATCGATGATTAATTTAATTCATATGAATTTGCGTCCTCAATGACATTGTTTGTTACGTTGCAGGCGCCAATCTCAAACAGTATGATCGTTACCTCGGTGCAGGCGCCGCAGAGCTCCATGCCCATTACTCACAATTTAGTAACTCATTCTATAGCCCCTGTAAAAATTCATACAAACAACTCCCCTTATCCTCTTCAACTATCAACAGTTCATGTTCCAGTCCAAATACCTGGCTCTACTTCGAACATTAACGTTCCTGTTCAATTATCAGGTGCCACCAGCAGTGTTCCGCTTCAGATAGCACCAGTTAGTCTCCCCATACAAGTGTCGGGGACTACAAATGTACCTGTGCAACTTCCAGCGGGTGAAACCATTAACGTACCACTTCAAATACCAGCTGGAAATCAAAATATCCAACTTGCGGGACCAGCTTTGCCTTCTATGCCTATACTTCAAAGCACTGGTCCAACACTACATAACTCAATAATACACTTACACATGGGATCAAATCCGAGACCTACAAACCTTGATGCTGGATCAGAATTGCAAAACAATCAGATGCAGATACAAGAGACAAGCATGCAAGTCAAGATGAATAATCCAACAGCAGTTTCTCAAGCCCAAATAAGTTCAAATTCAACAATAGTGCAAATACCAAACTCCTCAAGTAATTCCATACAGTTGGCTCTTCCAAGTTCTGTAAATTCGGGAGCTGTACAACTAAGGGGTGCCACAAGGACTGTTCCACATGTTGTCTATATCCAGACACCAACTGGTCTCAAACCTATGACTAGTACTGAAGTTATTAGTCAAGCCAGCACAAGTGGAAATCCTCCACAGATTATTGTAAGAAGACCGGTAAGTGTTGTTTGGGTCCTGGTAGTGCATGATATACATTATTTATCTTCAGCAATAGTTAAAAAAAACTCTGTCAAATGAGAAAAATTATTTTCAAATATATATACCTCACCAAAATTATTTTATTTATACCAGTAGTAAGTTTTAACTAAAAACAATGAATGGCTTATAAACAAATAAACCTATTTATTATTACAACACTTTTTATTTAATTTATACATAGTGCAGATAACTTGTAATTGTGATAAAAAACTTTATTTAAAGCAATCACTTACATCAACTGTATATTTTATCATAGATTTCCTTTGATTGTCTTTTGAATATACTTATATTGCAAGATGTAATTCTGTTTTATTGGGACAGGAATAAACAACCGAACAAACAGATTGCCTTAAATTTATTCTAATAGCTTTCCATGAATATCTGCAACACTGATAAGGTTACAAATGTTTGCCGATTTTTAATGCTATTTTTATAAACACTGAATTTTATTTTTATAAATATTATTACTTTTTGCAGGTAACAAGTAATTCCAATATACACTTGATTTCAAATGTTGGTAATAAGCCGAATATTGCACCCAAATTACCTGTTCAAAAAGGTGGATCTATACTTGCTCCAGCTAACGCAGCACAACCCATTGTAATTCAAAAACCCAAAGGCAATGAAAAAAGTTATGGTTCCTGTTAGTATTGCACCAGCGTCACAAGGCAAGCAAGCTATTGCATACCTCGGTTCAGTTAAAAAGCCCAAGAATCTAACAGAAAATCAGTCAATATTGATATCAAGTAATCAAGGAAGTGTGAACACCAATAATCAAAAACTTTTCATTACTCCAATGAACATCCCCAAAATACAAAACACCAAGTTTATTTTGCCTGTCACTTTGCCTGCTACAATGTCCACAAAGGGTCCAGTTATTAATCTACAAATAGCTAATGGTCAGATTCAAAATGATCCTCAAGGGAATATAACAGTCATGCGAGATGCACTAAATGAAACATCTGAAATGCCACCGTTACAGCCGTTGGGGAAAATATTATCTATCAATGGCAAAGATACTTCAGTGCCTCAAAGCCCAAAATCAGAAAAAGGTTTTACAATTAGTATATCTGGATCTAGGGCAGAACCAACTGGTGAACAAGGCGAGTATACCTTGTCGATACCAGAGACAAATGCATCCATGAATGATGACATTTATACTGTTTCAATAGCAGATGACGAAGGTGGCCAGACTAGAGAAAAATCCTTTACATTAGCCATTCCCGAAAAGAGCAAAAGCCTTTTAAATAAGAATGTCATCGATAGAAATGATTTGGTAACAGCCACGATAGCAGCTCCAGCTATATTACGTCGTTCTAACTCTGACACGGGGGAAAGAAAAACCAGTAATAGCAACATCAAGCGACGGATATCTTTGTGTACAGAAAATTTAAACAACAAAAATTTAAAATTATCTGGCCCACTTCCACATTCATTAAACAAACTAAACAATCAGCAAGAAATAGAGGTTAATGATGATCATCGGGTTCCTTCTTTGTTCTGCGATGAGGAACTGGATAAGGATAAAGATTCAGATAATGAAGAATATAAGGAAAAATCTGAACCAAAGATGTCTAATTCTGATGACATCACATACATCACGTGTAAACGAGAGGAAACAACCACTGAAGAAGATCCACCGGGACTAGTTTGGAATAAAGGTGTCGGAAAGCTACGTGGAAGTGAGCTTAATTTTAAAAGTAATGAATTTGGCCTTATTGAAGTCCTTGAGGATAACTTGGAAGGTGGTTCAACTTTAAAGTATCATACTCCTCTAAAACAAAGAATAGAAAAGAAGAAAATAGCATCTCCCGAAGAATTCATTACTTGTTTTGGCTGTGGGATTCACGGTATGGCTGCCGAATTTACTAACGAAAGCTTCTGCAGCGAAAGTTGTCAAACAGAACATGAGAAATCGATTATAAAAAAACGGGAGAAGGAAAGAGCTGATCAAGCGAAAAAGAGAAACAAAATGAAAAAACTGTTAATGAGGAAACAAAATTCCAACTCGGATCTAATGAACGAGAAGAACGAGACACCTCTGGGGCAAAGCGATTCATTGCCAGAGACACAAATATCTGAGGTTTTACTGATGAAAATGAACGAAGACTCGATGGAAAACGAGAAGTATCCGTGGATGTGTGGGAAAAACGGATTTTCTTGGATGCGCTACTTGGACGTGTGTAAGGCAAAGGCTGCACCTGTGAAACTGTTCAAGGATCCGTTTCCGTATAATAAGAACGGGTTCCGGGTGGGGATGCGGCTGGAGGCAATAGACCCGCAGCACCAGTCGCAGTTCTGCGTCGTGTCGGTGGCGGAGGTGCAAGGTTATCGCATGAGGCTGCACTTCGACGATTATCCAGACGTGTACGACTTCTGGGTGAACGTGGACTCGATAGACATTTTCCCGGTGGGCTGGTGCGAGAAGAACGGCCGGTCCCTGAAGCCTCCCTCCGGACACTCCGCCGCCACTTTTTCGTGGCCGCTCTACCTCAAACAAGTGCGCGCTATCGCTGCCCCTAAACAGATCTTTGGGCATCTCTCCACTACCACGGTAAGTTAACTCAAAATGCCATCGCATCTTATATAAAATATTGTTTAGGATTTCCAATGGTACATCGTAATTTGTGTTCGGTCGCAGGTGGTAAAGCCGCATAGTTTCCGCATCGGCATGAAGTTGGAAGCGGAAGACCGCCACAATGACATGGTTTGTGCGGCGACAGTCTCCGACGTTCTGGACGGACGACTTCTAGTACATTATGACAGCTGGGACTCCGTGTACGATTGCTGGTTAGACCCAGCATCTCCTTACATACACCCTATCGGGTGGGCCCAAGACAACGGCCACGCGCTCACCCCGCCTACCTGTAAGTCTCATTTCTTTTATATTTTTCGTTTTCTGCAACAACTCACGTGTATACTCAGATACTTAGGTGTAGATTAAATAATTATACCAATTAATTAAAAAATTAAACATTAATTAGCCCTAAACAGCATATTTTACTTCTATTTTCATAATATTGAGCTCATAATTGACTGGTTATGAATGTCATCGTCTCCTCTTAATAATATTTTCTTAAACTGCTTGAGTCCTAACCTAACCACGGTCTAATCAAATAAAACCCATTTATTATATGCAATAAAATATAAAGCAGACATTAATACTTATTTCTTAGATTATTTGGCAGCTCTATGATCGAGACCTTTGTTCGCGTTTGCTCTTCGCTGTTATATTCAATGTTTGATATTTTCAAATAAACATACATAATTTATTGTTATTATCTTTGTTATGAGTCTATAACTTAGGTTTATCTCTATATATATAAAATTCTCGTATCACAATGATCGTTCGCATACTCCTCCGAAACGGCTCGACCGATTCTTATGATTTTTTTTATGCATGTTCAGTAAGTCTGATAATCGGCTACTATCTATTTTTGCAACCCCAAAGTGATAAGGGGTGTCCACCCCAAAAAATTTTTTTTCAGTTTTTTTATGATACAGCATACAAAAATACATAAAACCCCTAATTTTCACCCCTCTAGGATCAACCCCTATTTTTATTATTGTAAATAGTTATTTTAGTTGAACTAAGCTAGCTATATTTATTATATATGTACATGGCAAAACAACGTTTGCCGGGTCAGCTAGTATGTTATAAAAACTATTCGAATATTTCCAATATTTTTAACGTAGAAAGACATGTTACTCGTTTTTATGGAGAATTAAAGGAATTTTAAAATAATTTGAGAAGTGAAAGAGATTTACGTTAAGGTTCCTACTTAATATGTGGGCGTTGATTAATAAAAGAAAAGTAAGTAGACAAAGAAAATTTCGCTGCAAGACTATTAACACATAACCATGAACTGTCAGAGCAACCTTGTCGGGTGCCGTTGAGAAGTATATATTTTTGGACAAAACATCTCACTGTCGAAATACTTTAATCCTATTAAGGATAATAATTCCTTGATAAATGCATAAATATTTATGAGAATAAGCTTTCCATAAAGCGTGGTCTATATCTACAAAATTTAACCTTCCCTTTAAATAACTGTTATCAGTTAAAGTTATAATTGGTGTATTTACTTAAAACTTTGTTGGGAGAAATGTGTCATTTCTCAATCTTATAAGTAGCTTCTTATAGTAAACATTATTTTGTTGCGCGTATCAGTATAAAATGATTTGGATTATGATAAGCCATCGCGATTTAAACTAGATGCCTACGTATCATAAACGAAATGAATAATATTGTATTACAAACCGAAACAAGTTTTTCCTTTCCTCTATTTAAACGAATCCGCAACATCGAGCCCCTAAATAGATTGTTAATTTAGTACAAAATGGAGGAAAATTATTGTTTAATTGTTGGTGTATTGTAAACATTTATCAGTTGTCGCTCGGCGCTCGCTCGCACCGTAGGCTGGGCATGTTATCTGGTCGGCGATAAGGAAACTGTGGCCCTGCGTTGGGCATTACGAAATTAACATGTCTTCCCAATCTAGAATAACGTTCGTAAGTTTATAATTAGCGAAGCCGATGTTTCCATGACCTAAAACAATCCACGAGTTACCCATAACGATGAATATTTAATTAAATAAATGTTTGTGGTCGAAGTGAGCGTCTATTGTGTATAACAGGTATTGTTTTTATCAATAAATTATGTTGAATTCTTTTCGCCATACAGTTTCGTTTATTTTTATAAGCTTAAGCGATTTATATATACAATTGTTAAAGTTAATTTTATATCATCGCAAATTGTTCACACATTAGTCGAGCCATAAAAATAAACATCACAAAGCTAATTAAAATAAATAGCAAAAGAAAAAATATTAATTTACAAATGACAGAACGAGAACTGTTAGCGTAATTATAGTACTTATTACCTCGACTTGCTAACTTTAATCAAGTTTTCGTGCATTCGTTCGTGTCTTAAATATACTACGCACATTTTTATTAAAGGCTTTTATCCTTTTAGCATCGTTACATTTATAAGCCTAGAAAGCGTTAGGATATGCTAAAAATACTGACGGTTGCAAATAACACTAGTGTTTTATTATACTTGTGTTATGTTAATAAGATCGAAATAGGTATCACATGTTTATAATCGTGTTGATTTGTCCTCGCACCAATATCAGAAACCTGCCGACTGGCGAAGCCTATAAACGAGTGGCGCAACGTCCTCTACGGCCTTACATAACAATACATATTTAATATATATTCTGGCCAACTGGAAACTTAAAAACTGTACGTGGTTAAAATAATTGAATGTTAAAAACACATAAAATGTACAAACTCGGGTGAAAACCATAATATGCGCCGTGTTGACGATCGTATTGATAAAACACATCTTGTTGAAGGATTTGTTTGCGTTACGTTCTTCCGCATGTAACTCAAGGTGCTTTAGAAAGTAGGTCTCGTAAAAATTAAATGAAAGTAAGCACTTTAAATTAATTCGCAAACACGTGGGGAACAATTTATCGGACGTTATGAGTTATTTTTATTTATTAAGTACTTTTTCTAGTAGATTTCGATATTGATTCGATATATATAGTAAGAACTTCGCGCTTCATAGGGATTTGTTAATGATTGATGTGATAAAATAAAGTTGTGTTTTATTTGAGAAGTACTTATTAAAAGACAATCAATGTTATTCTAGCAATGGTATCTGATATTTACCTTGATTTTATAAGAGGACAATAACAAATTGAGATAACATGTTTCTTTATTTTTAAACATAGACGTATGTTTAGATTACAAAGAAACCGAGTTCTCATGGGAGACCTACCTTTCGGACACGATGTCCATAGCGGCGCCGCCCCGAGCCTTCAAGCCTCGTCCGCCCGCTGGCTTCAAACCTGGCATGAAGTTAGAGGTCGTCGACAAGAGGGTAAGATATCTTTTATATCATGTGATATATTGTATTGAAAAATATGCCATTGCCAAACAAACAAGGCCTTCAACATTTTTCTTAACAGGCAATTATTACATTATGATAATCGCACAATTTAGTTTATTTTTGAAGTGAAACTTCTTTAGGCGCATGAGGGTAATTTTTTACGGATGGTACGTCACGAAGATGTGCAGCGTTTTTGTCAAAGAAAAGGGAGAGAGTGAGAAAGGGAGATCGAGAAAACATTGGTTGATGTATTCGTTTAGTAGTAACATATTAGAACTTTAGATGGCAATTCTGTCGCATAACGTCTTGTGCGGTAAACGCAGATTTTTTATTTATTTGTTTTATCACGTATAGGTGTGCAAACAGTGTGAATATACATGGAGTGATCATATACTGGTACATGATCTATTGGGGCTTTTACCTAAGTAATAATTAATTTACAAAGAAGTTTCACTTCTGACACGTGTACTTTGTACGCACGCACTTTTTTTTAATTATAATTTGAATTAATTTAGATACGATTTATAATTAGTATATTGTATTTATCTCTTTTACTTAACAATTTTGATTTTCAGGTGCCGTTTTTAATTCGCGTGGCAACGATAAGTGCGGTGCGGGGTCATCAAGTGCGCGTGTCTTACGATGGGTGGCCGGACACGCTCTCCCATTGGCTGGACGACGACTCACCTGACTTACATCCTGTGGGATGGTGTCTCAAGACTGGACATCCTCTGGAACCACCCCTCAGTAAGTATATGTCATCGGGAATCCACTATAAGTTATAACGGATCAAGGGTTCGTCTTAACAGTCACAATATATTATATATTATAATACTAGCGCCAGTGCAAAGTGTAAAGCTAGCAAGCTAGTTTTGATGACTTAGTAGAATAACTATAAAAAAAATAACTAACCTAACCTAACACACGCCGTCAACTTTTTGTGTCTAAGTCAAGCCGGTTTCGTCGCGATGTTTTCCTTTACCGTTCGAGCGAATGTTAAATGCGTACATAGAAAGTAAGTCCATTGGTGCACAGCCGGGGATCGAACCTACGACCTCAGGGATGAGAGTCGCACACTGAAGCCACTAGGCCAACACTGCTCTATAGTAGAATGGTAGAATAACTATATTTACTTATTTGCCAAAGTGCTTACTATATATTTTTAAGTAGTAAGCTTGCTCCTAAGCGATACTAAAAGGTGTATTATGCAAAAATAATCAATAAGTAGCCAAATCATGCATTCGTGCATTTTGTATAAATCACCTTCCGTGTTTATAAAAGAGGATCGACAGCATTATGCTTGAAACCTTGAGACCTGAACATATCTTCATAAACTTTCTAACAAACAAACCGCATCATAATCGGTCTGTTCGTTTATTTATTTGTATATAAGGAAACTTGACAGACCAAATAAAAGTTATAATTATAGAAGATCACAGATAGTTATACAATTTAAAAAAATGCGTGCGTACAAAGTACACATGTCAGAAGTGAAACTTCTTTGGCAAACTAATTTTTAACTCTTGTTCATATTTATACAAATCTAAAACTTTATATTTCCGAGACTTAGAGGGAAAAAGGAAGAAATGTTATGAATTTAATGAATTTAAAGGTGATATAGGTGATATCAGACGGTTCATTTTTTGTTCATTTTCACCTTTCATTCGGTACATTTCACTCGAAATGAAATGTCTGAACAAAAAATGAAACACGAGTGCCGAATGAATTCATTAGTGAACCGATCCAACAGTGTTGGATATTGGCATCCGGTATCTTTCATTCCCACTCCGAATGAACGAGAAATGAACGGTCTGAACACTGAGAGAACGTTCATTCGGATTCGGCCATTTTGTTTCGAGTCCTGTAGCCGACGGACATCACGTTGTCGACGAAGTTATAACTTTTTTTTAACTTTTCTTCAAATTTACTTTCATCCATTCGAAGATGATTACAATATGAATCAGGATCTTCAACGGCTAGTTCTCTCAACAATGTATTGGAAGCTCCTAATAAATTTATTCTTTCAATCCATGGTCGCACCCACCACCGTCGACATTTTCTTTGCTTCTTTTTTGTCAACTCTTTGATTAAATGATCACAAATTAAACTAATTCCAAGACGTACGACTTCATTCGATGACATATTTAAAAGAAAGAACAATGAATGTTCATTTCTGTATCATTTCGTCTAAGCCGTGTGAACATAGAATGAAAATAAATGAAGCATTCACTCGAGTGAACAATCATTCGAGTGAACCGTCTGATATCACCTTAACTGTCATTACAATGTGTCGAAAATTAATACAAATAATAAATGTAATTTTTCAAAATTTATTTCTTCGTTAATAAAAACACGTGGCATTTTAATTTACAATTGGTCATTTGAGATTGCAATAAAATATAAAATACTAATACATAATAAAAGTAATTCAAAATTATTAAAGGAAAATCAAAACAAATAAACAAATTTAAAGTATGCTTGATTTAATTTAAAAAATAGAATTTCTATAAGGTTCCCTTCTCACTCTCTTTCAATCGGTCTCAATAGATCTCTCCCTTTTCTTCGACAAAAACGCTGCATATCTTCGTGACGTTCCGTAAATTTTTTACCCTCATCCGCCTAAAGAAGTTTCACTTTAAAAACGACTTTATTTATTTATTTATTATATACATGATCTTAAATAGAAAATAAGTTGGTGTGGTGGAAACACAAACTGGACACAGTTATTCCATTCTTATCCTTATTCCATCTTTACAGCTGCCGAAGAGTTCCGCGTGAGCGGGCCTTGCGGCGTGGGCGGATGTCGCGGCTTGGGCTCGGTGAGGGGCGGAGCGCACAAACAACACGCCGCAGCCTCCGCTTGCCCATACCGGAACCCGGAAGCCGTGTTGCCAGACCGCAGGTGACTATTTATATTACATCTTTTATATTTTAGCTAATTTAAATTATGATCTATGTTGACGATTACATATTTTATTGTGGTTTTCACCTATTTTAGCAAATCTATCAATCTAAAAGTACACAATCAAGGAGCAATAAATGATAATGTGGCCCATTACTCCCTAAGAGAGAATGGAGCCATGTTTCTGTTTGATTTTCTTAATTTTATTTTATTTATTTATTTTATTTATTTTATTTATTTTATTTATTTTATTTATTTATTTATTCTATACATCATCCTAAATAGAAAAAAGTTGGCGTGGTGGAAACACAAACTGGACACAGTTTTTCCGTCCACCAGGTCGTCGAAAATATTTAAATAATTAACCTATTACACACTCAGGCCAGTGACACACTATACAATATAACACCCCCACCAATAAACCATAAAAATTGCACGAACAACATATACCAATTGAAACAATGACGCTCCACAGCCGATTAGATTAATTCTCTAGTTACATAATATTAAAGATTCTATATTATACAATAAAGGTGGTTTATTAATTTCAGATCCCAATCGAAATCAGTTAAATCATCCCAATCACTGACTCCGACAAGTGATACGCCAAAAGAAAAGTAAGGCCAACTAAAAGACAAATATTTTGTAATTAAATACAATAAAAGCTAATTAATATTTTATTTAATTTACAGACCCGGCCGCGGCCGACCTCCCAAACACAAAAGAGTTGAAGAAGTCACCAAAACTGAGCCGGTACGTTTTTATTGCATTTGGAAAATTCTTAAAAAATGAAACTTTCTTGTGTTAATTAAAAAGATTATAATTTCAATAAAATATTAATTTAATTTTTATGCCTCGATCCCGATGATCAGTTTCGTTATGCCAATTGAAGAAAGTTATTTTTTTCGAGTTTTGTAAGTTTTATAGCAGCTCAGTTCAAAGATAGCTACTTCTAGCAACACTTTTTATTAACCTTTGTGGCGGCAGGTGTCCGACGACGAGTCATTGTCCAGTAGTGGGGGGAAGAGATGGCGTGGGGCGTCGGTCGGGCCGGAGATGGCCGTGAAACAGCCCTCGCCGTCGCCGCCCGCGCCCCCCATGCGGCCGACTCCGCACGCCCAGCCCCCAATCGTCATGCTGCCGTCCACTCCGAGATCTCTCATCGCCTATCACCTGGCCGAACTAGCCCTCTGTCCCGATCCCACTACGTGGACTCAGGTACCCGTCACTATTACTATTGATGTAGGAATTTATTACTTAAACAAAAGATATACTTTTATTAAAATGTAAGATCAAGAGCAGACAGTCTATATATTATTATATGTATATCTATATGAAAATTTGAAAGCTACCTACAATATTTTGTACGATTGTAAAAATTATGTAGTATCTCTTTATAACGAAATCCTTCGTTATAGGGAGTATAGAGAAAAACTTTCCTTTTGCTGGCCATCTTGACAGTTTCAAAGTTTGTTTACGACTGATAATACACGATAGTTGACGGTGGTGCGTTTAGTAACTGAGACCAAAATTTCCTACAGGCAAATAAATAATAATAATGGCACACGTGTTAATGCAATTAACAAAAACAAAGTCGAGACGGCTGTTTTTGACTTCTTTTTGTTTTGTAAGCTGATTTTAAAAACAATTACACTTAAGTATGTTGTTGATGTCTGAAATCTGAATATGTAAATATTTCTTTGTTATAGAGAATGGCTGTTGCGTTATAAAGAGTAAATTAATCTATAAGTTTTGTGTTCAACTAAAGAAATGTAAAAAAATTTACGATATAGAGATTTTATACTATGTATATTATATTAATTTGTCTTTCATAGTTATGTTAGAGTATGAACAGTGTGCAATTGTATCTGTGATTGCAGAAAGAGGTGTCGGCACTAGTGTCGCGTGTGGCGGGAGCGACAGCGGGAGCGGCGGCGGCGGCGGCACGCCTCTCGGGGGCCGAACTGTTGATGGCCTCCTGCGAGGAACTCGTGCATTGCCTTCGGCTTAGACTAGGGCCCGCTGTCAAGGTATATACAGTTTCAATGATTACTATAGTGTTTGAACTTTAAATAAACAAGCTTAATTTATATAGCTGAGTTACTCCGTTTCATATAGGTATCTAATATATAAAATACACGTGTCACAATGTTCGTTCCCATACTTCTCCGAAACGGCTCGACCGATTCTTATGAAATTTGTTTATGCATATTTAGTAAGTCTCAGAATCGGCTACTATTTATATTTAAAACCTCTAAGTCAGAGCTCCCCAAACTTTTTTGTGTCGTAGACCGCTTGCCATGTTTTCCGTGTTGGGTAGACCCCCTACTTACCTGATATTGATTTCCTGTAAATTTCTAACTGTAGTGAAGTTTAGTGTTAAAAACTTAAAGTAAAAATACATGTTAATTTATACATTCATTAATTGAATTTAAATTAAAACTACTCAAAATAAAATTTTGTATCTGTTATATAAAATATACGTAGCATTATTATAATTATATAATAAACATAAAATAAAATATAAATAAAATAACATAAGCAATAAGTCAATATAATGTTATATGTTTAGATATTATAAGATTGTATGATGTAAGTAAATAGGTACTATCAGTGTATGTGTTGAGATCCACTATCGTGGACCCCCATTTTCATTTCATGGACCCCCAAATTTTTTTTCGCTGACGCAGACCCCTTGCAGGTTGTCATAGACCCCTAGGGGTCGATATAGACCACTTTGGGAATCACTGCTCTAAGTGATAAGGGGTGTTCACCCCAAAATTTTTATTTTTATATTTTTTTTTTTTTTGTTTTCATTTTTTTATGATACAACATACAAAAAATACATACAACCCCTAATTTTCACCCCTCTACGATAGACCCCTATTTTTGATTTTAGTAGATTTTTAATGAATAAAAAAAAATCCTAGAAATAATATACATGGCAAAACAATGTTGGCCGGGTCAGCTAGTAATTTATATAAGTCATCCTACCTTTAAAGATAATTGAATGAACTATTAAAGAAACTCTGGGCACAGTATTTATGAATTAATAGTTAATTTGATATAATAGGTACTTTTAATTAATATGCTTTTTGTATTCTTATATTTAGAGTTAAATGCTTTTATATCGTATCTAAACAAGTTTTAATCGTTGAAGGTGTACGCGGCGGTGCGGCACCTGCGCGACCGGCTCTCGTGATCGCGGCATCTCGCGCACTCACGCGCCATCTCAATCATCATGTGAACTTAGTGAAGTGATATAATGTGAAACGTTTGTGTTAGATAGTGTTATTACAAACTATTTTATGGATGAATTTTTAGTTTATTTGATTACCAATGTTCGGTGTATTCATTTGAGACTGTTTTGTGAATTCAGTGTTGTTGACTCGTAGACAATTTATGTTTAAACCGATTTGTTATCCGATATGGAAAGTGGATTATGGCAAGTAAACTAGTCAATATTAGTTGCTTTTGGCAAAATTAATTAAGAGCTCATTTTACTGACATTTTAACTATAGTTTTGATGTTGCTAACTTTTGCGACTTATGTATTCTACCGAAGGGCAATGTTACCCTTTACGTTGAAGCACAAATTGTGTGGAATATCTTACAGTTGTACGAGGTTGTGATGAATGAATCACTATTTTACATGTGGACTCATTAAAATTACCTAAGACTTTCTTATATATCGCTTTTGCGGAACAAAATTACTAAACATTAGTTGGCCGTGCTCTGCATTCTTTGGTGTTCCATTTATATTGACCTCACATTGACAAGATTAAAATAATTATGAATTATATTTTTATGATTGTTCAGTATGCCTTTACACGAACATAAATTTCTTGTTATCAAGTTACATTTAAATTTCTAAATCATTTCAAATTCTTAATTTAATATATATTCAATTAAATGTTGTTAAAACCAAAGAATTGTAACTAATATTCAAAATCAAAATGTATATATTATGTTGTATATAAATGTATTATATTTGATAATATACTGTATATAGATTTTATACATATAATGTAGTGCAATTTAAATGATTTAGATGAACAACTCTGCGACAAGCATGTTTTGTAAGAAGAAAATATTTAGTTTCCTAAATTTATTTTTGAGGTATAAGAATCATATTTTGTTAAATTAAAAAACAACATTGTATTTATATATTTTTCAATGCCATTAATTAAATGTATGAGGCTGAAGTTCACCCACTGTTAACTGATAATTTTTGGGATGCAGTTGTTTTACAAATAAAAATAATAAAATGGTAAAGTTCAGCCTAAATTTTGTTGTAGCTATTTAAAAGATGTTTTCATTTGAAATATAATCATATGTATTCATTAAGAGGTCTTATTTTAATTTAATATAAATGAGAAAAGCTATTTTCATTAATCAATGTGACAAAAGTACCTATTTCTATGTAAATAGTTATTATCGGAGATCATGTACAGTTTGGTTACACTATTACGTAAGTTTTTACCTTTTTAGTGCTAAATACTGTGCCATTCTCATTGGCAGTATGATAAAACTGTTGTTCTTTTGTTTAATAAACTTTCTGATAAACAAAATTTTCTAATGCGTGCTTATTTAATTAATATTTGTTAAAAACATTCATTAAGGGTGGTTTCGACTAGCGTTTTTACGCGCGTAAAAGCTCTTCTTGGAAGTGCATGTAGGCACACGCGCAAAACGTACGAGCGTTCACGCGCTTCTAAGCTCGAATAAGTTCGCAGTTCTGGGTAGAGTGTATTAAAGTGATCGGTTCTCTGTCCAGTGCAACCATACGTAGACACCCAGCATCGGGTTTCATCTTCTCAGTGGACGGCGAATAAGTAACACAAAAAGTAATATTTCTTCGTCAGAATCCATGTTGATATTGACACTACGTCACTACCGGTTCGAGCGAACACGCCGAAATATGCCAGTTTACGCGCGTCCGGTTTTTGAAGCGCGTATGAAAAACGAAAAATACGCTAGTCTTTAACCGCCCTTAGGCCCTATTTTCCTTGCAGTGCTAATAGTTTTTTTTATTAAAAACCTTATACTTCTGACAACGCCATTATGTCAAAAGATCTGGGAGGCATTTATGTTCCCTATTAATAGTTGGGTAAAATAAAATATTGGATATATTTAGAGTTAGTTTATTTTTGGAACCCACCTTAGTATTAAATTTTGGTATGACTATATTGGAGAGTGACTCCTTTCTCGTACTTAACTGTAATTTATTCTAGAATCTTGACACAAAATCACTTAACAAGAGGCTCGCTACCGATAAACGAATTTGTAAGGATATGAGTCGGTCAAGCATTTGACCGACGCATATCCCTGTTTTTCTCATTGAGACTCAATCTTAATTACCTACTTAAACTTGACGGATGCCTCCAGCCTGCCTCATCCTCACTCCGTCAAATGCAAATTTACTCACCGAGACCCTCAGACCACCGAGATCTTCAAAAAATACTTGGGCAAACGTGCGAAAGCATGGTGTTTCTGCCCCGGTCGTCGTTTCAGGAGGAGCGTCTGGATTGTGTTTACGATGACGCTCCTCGCACACTCATTCTCTGTTTGAGTCATGACAAATTTTTTGGGGAGAAATTGCCCCCAGAGATAGTTCTACACACTAGTCCCTTAACTCAGCTAAGGTTTCAATTGTAGAGCGAGCACGCCGAAAACTGAATTGAGTAGGGTGCTCTGATTCGGTTTTGGGTACTTTTTGAATAATTTCAAAATTTTCGGAACCCTACACTAATTGAAACATGAAGTTAATGTAATGTATGTACATTTGACAAGTAATGGTTAAATTATGTTTAACTTTAAAATTAACAAATGAGGAAATAACCGATTCGATTAATTTACCGAGAATGTCACATCACTTATAACCAATAGAAAACGAGAATGTCACATCTCTTATAACCAATAGAAAAGTAGAAAATGGCCGTTTCACAATTTGACGGTTTCACTTCGATAGATTACAATCTACCGAATAATAATACGTTAAATTGTAAGTCGCTGAGGTTCACAATCTTTCGACAGTTTACAATCTCGCGAGATAGATTACAATCTAACGGTATTTACAATTTTACGTTAACATATCCATACTTATATTATTATTATAATTAATTATTGATTTTTTCTCATAAAGGAAAACGCACCAACACAACATATTTTTAATAAAAAATGATGGATTCTCACTTCACACTTCACAGTATTATATATCTACGTCAGGGCTGCCAGATGTACGATTTAAATCGTACTTGTACGATTTTTTGTCATTTTTACTCATGTACGATCGCTAGACCAAGATCGTACATAAAATGTACGATTATTCTGTACCTGGCAACATTTCGTAATGAAACGAATATATACTCCACCGGCAAGTATTATGTTTGGGGATTTCCCCAACAACCTAACGTATGCTTAGACCTTTTACGTCTAAAGACCCTTTTTTATATGAAGTCTATATTTGTGTGCATTGTAACAAAACTTATTATTTTTCTCTTGTAAATACCTGTATTGGAATAGTCAAAAACCTGTTTTTCTCATCAGTCTCTAGCTCTAAGTGATTATACTATCCTCTTTTGATCTGCATATTGTCTTTAGGGGTTTTTGTGCTATACGCTTAAGCAAGAATGGGTAGTGAAAATGAAGAAGACCGACCTGCGCCAGGTACTCCAAAAAAGAAATTAGCCAAAAGAGGAGAGCTTTCTACAACACAGGTCATTGAGGAACAAACACAGAGCACAGAAGTAACGTCCCGATCGGGAAAAATTTGATTTATTTACGGACCGGTTAGGGCCCGGTAAAAACCAATTTAAAGCCAGGTGGACTGTGTGTGACGTCGAAATAGTTTCAGAATATGGAGTTTTAAAGTAACACTCTTCAAGGCAAAGGCAGCTACTTATTTTAAATAAAAACTTTCCACTTTTTTGTTGTACGATCTTTTCGTTTCAAAATTTCCTTGGTGTACGATTTTTTAATAGTTGGTGTACGATCATGCGTTTTTTTCACCTGGCAGCCCTGATCTACGTGGTGTGGTCTGTGATAAATTATATTATCTTTAAATTGGTCATATTATGTGTGTTTGTGTTTCGTAAGTCTCTGGCAACCAGTCTGCGCGTCATTTTTAAAATCAATATGTTTGTTAATAAATAATGTATGTTATAAATGTTAAGATATACCTAATTTGATTTGTACTGTGACTGTGATAAAAATTGTTGCATTGGACAAACCCTTTAAAATGTGGTTCACATTGATACTTCTTGTGTCCATTTCCAAGTTTGTTTTATGTAGTGACGGTGATCGATCTCCGTTTTACAATCAATGTCTGAAGAATTGTAATAATGAAAATTGCACGAAAGGTACATTTGGTTTTACATCAATTATCCGATTTAGCAATAAAAATGGAATAGAAATTAACTATGAATCAAGATCTGATTTTTGGAAGTCTTCTTACAGGATAGGTTTGTTTAATATTGTAATGCTTGTGGAAATGTTTGTTTAAATAATAACATCTGTTTTAGAAAATCAATTTAAGCCACATGCTGCAGCTATGCAAGACATATGGAGTAAAATATCATGGTGGACTTGTGTTGATGAATGTCGATACAATTGTATGTGGAAAACCGTACAAGGATTTGAAGAACGCGGCTTCAGTACACCTAAGTTTCATGGAAAGGTGAAAAGTTATTACTTTTAAACACATACAATATACCAAATATTTTAGGATTAATACTATTAAAGAGATAAGCAACACAACCTCTATCAAAATTTGTATTTTAAAATTTACTCAGTACTAATTTTGATTATAAATTATTTTAATTACAGTGGCCATTCAGGAAAATTATCGGTGTGCAAGAACCAGCTTCCACTTTTGCCTCTTTGCTAAATCTTGCTGTCCATGCCTCCATGTATCATGAAATAATAAAGCAGTTTCCTATTAAAACAACACCTATAGTTCTCTTTTGGCATGTATTTGCTATTGTAAGTATAAATAAGAAATATAATCCTTACTTTTAACGTTATTGTAAATTTAATTTGAAATATCTTCTGTGTCTTCATATCATTTGAGAAAAGTGACAACTTTGAACAAATGAAAAGAGACCTGACCTTAATATAATGAAGAAATATGAAATCTATTAAGGTGTTAATCATGATAGTAAACTAAAAAAAATATTTTTAACTTTAAAATTTGGTCATGATTTTTTGCATATGTAAATGCCATTATTTAAATACGGTGAAATCTGAATATACTACATAAATAAAAAAATGCAACATTTTATAAAGCTATCTTCTATGTAATCACATTTGTGCCTGTATACAGTTTTATTTTACATTAAGATTATTGATAATGGCCTCTTACAGGTATGTATGAATGCATGGATATGGTCTACAATTTTCCATACCAAAGACAACTATTTTACAGAATTCATGGACTATGCATGTGCATTGTCTATGGTAATTGCGTTATTTGTTGCTGCTGTATTAAGGTACCATTCCTTCTATTCAAAATATTTTTTTGGAATACATTTAATTTAATATTCTTTTATTTAGAAGAAAAGATTTGATTATGTAGTTAAGTTATAATTTCATAAAACAATTCCAGGGTGTTCCACAAGAGAAGAAAATTGTGTGCAGTGGCATTACTAGCAACAGTGGTGTATTTCGTGGAACATGTCCGATATTTGTACACTGGTAGAATTGACTATGACTATAATATGCTAGTGAACATCTGTTTTGGTCAGTATAAAACGAATTTAGTTAACATTATGAAGAAACCAAACATAATAAAACAGATAAATTTTAATTTGATTGAGTCCCATAACTGAATAAAATTTTTGTATTTTGTCAATTCTAATAAAATATTTTTAAAATGTTTTCAGGGGTCGCAGGCTCCGTAATCTGGTTATTATGGGCCGGGGTTCAGTATATATCTGGTCGGCGCGAATGTTGGTGGCTGGTGGCCTTCACGTTGGCGTCAGGCGCGGCACTTACCCTGGAATTGCTAGACTTCCCACCGCTTTACGGCTGGGACGCGCATGCTCTATGGCACCTTGCCACTGTGCCATTGCCTTTACTATTCTACAGGTAAAATGTGTGTCAAATTGATTTTTATTGAAGTGAAACTTTAGGCGCATGAGGGTAAAATTTTTACGAAACGTCACGAAGATTTGCAGCGTTTTTGTTAAAGAAAAGGGAGAGAGCGATTAAGACCGATTGAGAGAGAGTGCGAAGGGTGAATTACCTTATAGAAATTCTATTTTTAAAATTAAAATTTCGTTAAGAGAATTTATGAAATATTAGTATTTTATATTTTATGCAAAATAATTTATTGAAATCTCAAATGACGAATTGCAAATGAAATGTCACGTGTTTTTATTATCAAAGAAATAAATTTAAAAAAATAAATGTATTATTTATATTAATTTTCGACACATTTAATATTATATCTTCCTTTTTCCCTCCTCTAAGTCTCGGAAATCTAAAGTTTACGATTTGTATAAATATGTACAAGAGTTAAAAATTAGTTTGCCAAAGAAGTTTCACTTTACTGTACTTTGTACGCACGCACTTTTCTTTTATAAATAGTACTTTTTGACTATTTTCAATTGTTTTTCAGATTCGTGATCGATGATCTCAATTACCTAAAGACTATACCCAGTGGAAAAAGTAGTCTAAAATCAACTTAAAACTTAGCAATTTAATAAAATATGATTAAACAAAATACAGTAATTTTATTGAAAACACTTCACATAATTTGTCACCGAACAAATTTTCTTCAAACCAATTAATTGTCCAAGATTAAATTTTTCCAATGTTCCCCACAACGTAGTCCCAGCTTATGTTTTTTTAGAAAGCTTTTTTTTTCTTTTGTATTGTCATATTGAGCGAGATCATGGCTACTGTCTCTTTGGATAATCACACTTCTGGCCTCGTAATTGCGCCGGTAGGGAGCGTACTGTTGTTGGTATCTCACCGAGTGGCTAGTCCCGGCTTGATCCCGTGCCTGCTTTTGCTCCTTTTGTCCAAACGTCAAATCTTCGTTCCAATGCCGCCGGTACTCTTGCTCCATGTAAGGAGATCGCCGTATCCTTTTACCGTTTACTTGGATATTAATACGCGGCTTTTTCGTGTATATTGTTCTGTGAGGCGGTGGGTTGTTGTCTCGGGTTCCGTTACCACTTCCGCTATAGACTGTCTCATAATCATCGGTCTCGCTTTCTTCAGACGATTCGCAATCCTCCTCTTCAACTATGTCATCGTGTTGTGAAACTTTACGCCTTCTCAAAAACTTCGCAATTCTATTGAAAAAGCCCTTTTTGTTCTGGAAAATTTAAATGATCTTATTCGAAAAAGTTTTAAATTAAACTCTAATATTGAAAGCTAACCTTAACCTACCTTTTCATTAAAACTTCGAGTTAAGACTGTGCTGTGACTCTCTGCGTCGCCGTAGGTGTGTGCCAAATCTTGTTTTCTAATATCATCATTTCTTATATTATTTCTTTCTTCCAGTCTATACAGATGATATAATTTGGATTCTGGTTCCTGATTTATTTTTTTGTCAGTAAGAGTTTCTTTCGATTCTTTTTCCTCTGACTGCGAACTAGTTTCAGTGCACATTGATAGCAAAGCTTCTATTTCTTTATCAGTTTTTACTACTTCGGATTCGTCCACCATGCTTTTCATATCTGTTTCAGACTTATCATTATCGTAATTCGTACTGGAATAATTATTTTTAGGGAGATAATCTAAATTTAACGCGACAGACTTGTAAATCTCTTCAATAAGATTGTTTGTCTCAGTTGTAGCTGTGTGACTATTAGTATTAGTTGCTGTTGTAATGGCGTGTGGTGTGTCACACTTAAAGAAACAATTGTTTTTGCGTTGACAAGAACATTTGCAGCGTCCTTGACAAGACTGCATAAAGTACGGTGAGTTCTGGACGCATTTTACTGGCTGACAAGGAATATTATCAAAACATACTCGCCCAAAAGGCATGTAAGGCTGTGAATATGGAGAATAAAATGAAGGGTTTGGTGGAGTGTAAGTAAAATGATTAACCGATTCCTTGGGTATGTTATTTTCAGAGGAACCTTTTTGTACTATAGCATCCTTTTTCACTGTTTCACCTTTGTTTAATTGAGTATTTGTTTTAACTTCAGTTAGCACAGACTGCAGTATACTTTTTATTTGGTTCAGCATTGTTTCAGTCTTCGTGTCATTCAACAAATCGACTTCTAATTGTATACTTTTTGATGTTTTTCCAAGATTGTCTTTAGAATTGATGTTAACTGTTATGTGATTTTCTCTTTCATTTGTCATGGCTTGATCGCGAGTGACGGTTAATTTTGGTGAAAGTACACGTTTCGTATAGATGCTACCGCAATTTACTGAGAAACTTCTAGAGGTATCTTCGTAAACTTGATTATTCTTTTTCAAATATTTTTGTCTTTTTGAATAAGATGGGTTGGGCTCATTTTTATAAACGTCTTGTCGAGTTTGGTAACGACGATACGTTTCTGCATGATAATTTAAAGTAATCGGATCGATTTGGTATTTATTTCGCGGCGTTTTATGGTAGTTCATATTGTTAAATGTTTTCGGTATCGCTTTTTGATGTTTTTTCTCTGAACTTTCTGATATTTCTTTCACAGGTACAATATCATAGAATTTAGAATCGTAATACGTTTTGTTAAAATCTTTCGATTTAACATATGAGCGATCATGTTCAACCATAAAATTAATACCATTTCCCATGTAATTGTCAATGTTTTGAAACCTACCGTAGCAGCAAGAACAGATATCAGAGTCATTCCGTACTGGAGAATTTATATCTTTGCAGATAGGTCTCGTAAATTGACTTGTATCAGAAAATTCTTCAAGTCCAAACCTTGAGTCATATTGCTTTCGCATAATTTTGGAGAGGTGTTTACTAAATATATCTTTTTTGATCTGAGGCTTTACTTGGCTTTTTAGATTTCTGCTCATTAAAAGTGGATTTATTGTTTCAGCGTAATAAACAAAATGCGTTTTTGGTTTTTGTTTGTCCTTACAATCACCCTTTCTTTTTCGTCTAAAGATATTTCGCCTTTTGCTTTGTTGTATTGACTGCTTAGCACACTCAGTATCTCCAATAGTTTTAGTTTGTTGTCCACAAGATCCAAGCGATAATGCAGAGAAGACGAAGGAAATATCCGAGTCTTGTTGATTGGGACAAAATATATTCTTGCTTTGTTTATCTGGATTGACGGATTTGTCAATATTAGCCTTTGAGTCATAAATTTCAGGACCCCTCAAACAAGTTTCCGGGACAGTCGCGTTGAAAGCTGTCGTTTTTTCAGATGTCTTCTCTCTTCTAGGTACGTCTCCTGAAGTAATGTTCTTATCGGACCCTTTAACATCCTGCAACTCCTTCTCTAAATTCACAATTTTTTGTTGGAGATCAGTCACGTCAATCGGTATGCACGAAATAATTTTGACTTCGGTTTGTGAAGCGCTGTTTCCTGGAGCACATTAGAAATTCATGTATAATAATTGAATGTTCGCTGTAGCGTACAAATATTGTCTATAAAAACGTACCTAAATTGAAAGCGACTCTGCGCAGAAAGTTTTCAATTCCTTTAAACCGTTGTTTGAAACTTTTTGCAATTTCCTCGTCACACATTTCAATTGGTACAATAGGCAATAGATACACTTGAAATGAGGAAATAAAGAAATTTAATTGAAAATTTCGAATTTCATTTTAGAATAATAACCCAAATAATTTAGTACTATATTGACATAATAATGGTTACTCAACTTTCAACCATTCAAACTTTTTCCGTTTTTGAAATGATATAGTGTCTTTTCACGCAAAAGAAGTTTTTATCGGCTCTCGAAATATTTTTTTTTATTGAAGCTTTTATAACGGAAATATTTATAGATGAAATAGACAAACGTCCTGTGATATGAGACATGACAAGTAGCGATTATTCAGATAACAGACGGGTTTAGGAAGAACTCGTCCTCATATTCTGTGAAGATGACAATGAAGATAAGAAGCAATTATAATGTATATATTTATTTACATTTACAATCAGTTTATGTTACAAATTAATTATTGCGATCGAGACAATTAAGGGTCCTCCCTCACCGGGACGCCATGGCGACGTGGCCAGCAACGCCGCCAACTAGTTCTTATTGAGATGTATGCCGGCTAACTCACTTGGCGACCGACTGTCCCAGCGGTACCCAGCGTCGCCAGTCGCCGCATGCGAAACGGTCGACTCTGGCTACGCTGACTACTTGGCGACGTCGCCAGTTGTTTGCACGTGTTTGTATGCTCCGTCACTCACTCAGTCGCCAACCAGTTGCCGAATTAGCACTTTTTTTGCTTTTTCATAGTGTCTTAATTTACGATTTTTACTTAGTTATCCTGAAATAAATTGTTAGTAAGGCTCCTGCTCTCCTAATTATCAATATTTTACATAAAAAATGAATTTAAAATTTGATTTAAAATGATTAAATAAAAAATAATAATAATTTTATTGTTATTTTATTGATAATTTTTGAGTCGAGACAGAACTGAATGCATTGGCGACGCGTTTTGGCGACGTAGGGACACCAGACGTCTCGGTGAGGTATGGCTCTAACTTTTCCTTCGTTTATGAAAATATTTGTCAAATGTACTCGAACATTATCCGCACAGCAGGCCTGGTATAATATGAGGCTAGTCTTTCCAGTGGTGGAGTATAAAGTGTATCTTCATAATTATTGTACCCCATATTTTTACATAATTGTGTAGTGTACATATCGCTTTGACGATCTTTTCTGGAAAACCGATGTTCACATCTAACGGCATTAAGCCAAAAGTACAACATACCGGCGTCCTAATTTCAAACGGGTTTTAAATATTTTTTTAGAATGTGGCCTTCCCCCATATGGCCGCATTAAATTCTGCATCATGCCAAAAGCTTCAACGGCCACTATCGCATATCGCAACACTGTCGGTCTATTTTGTATTAACAATGCCTTTGGCTCTGGTAAGTCTAATGATCTTTCCGTCAGCTTTTTGTACAAATTTTTTACCGTAGGCACCTGACAGGTGACCCACAAAAAACAAGTTTGCATCCGCTAGCGCCAGTAAAACTAGCAAATTTTATTTTTGTAGCTATAATACATGAGACCCCTGTGCTGGATTAACCGTCGGTATATATTTCCCGTCCAAGGCTCCTTAATGCTTGGGAAACTTACGAAAAAATTTAGGTACGAACTTTCTTTACTATTTTTGGATACAAAATTATATACTGGCCTTCAGTCAGCCCGTGTGACAAAATTGGATGGACCAAAAATATCCGTATTCTGTCGCATCGTTTCTGTCGAGTCCCTGATTTAGTAAAAAATGTGTCTAAATTCACCGTTTTAAGTAAAATACTTTTCATCACAGCTAAACACAATTTGGTAGACAAATAAAGATAGATTTAGTTAAGTGTAGAATTCGACTGATTTACTCTTTTTAAAAGACCTTTAACTTTAACTAAGAAATTTTTAACCTACATTAAACTATCATCAAGTAGATGTGATCAAACAAAACATTTTGGATTTTTCCATCGCCGCTTAGCATAAGCAATGAGTTCTTCCCCTTTTAAAATATTGAATATAATGGTTAATCATTCTTTAATTTTAAATACACAACGATAAAAAAGAACATTTGTAAACATCGCAAACTGCAACACTTGACACGAGATCAATTACAATTTTACATAGGTTTGATTTGCTTATATAAACATACGTGGCTTATACATTCGGGGTGGGTCACCCCATGACGACTTGTCCTTACCGAGCAGTGTCCGTACTATAAGGTTTCGCGGTGAAAACGGATTCCTTTTGTAAAATAATTTCTTTAACATTGCATTTCGCATCTTCGTATCTCCTAAAGCGAGTTGTTTCTGTGTTTTTATCGAGAACTTAAGAGGGTCAGAATTACTGCTCACATTTTTTGTAGCTTTCTGTTTCAGCTTTTCCCAATTCAGAATTATGTTCCTTTCCTTTGGGTTCTGCGTCGTTATCGTATCATGTTGCTGAAGCTGCATCTGAGCAGATTGTACTTTCTTTTTAAATCGGGGAAAGAGTGAAAGTTTTCTGTCACTCTGTGTGCCAATGCTTTTGACTTCAATTTCTTTCAGGCAGAGAGGTACTTGAGGCATTTGCGGCGTGTTGTGGTGATTGTGATCGTGACAGCAGGAGGGAGCATGCAACATTGGGCAACGTTGTGGCGTAGAATGAGCCTGCGGGTGTCTGTGCTTGCATATGTCGTAAGGAAATTCCTGGGAAATAGGATCGTTACCACACGCATATTCGTGCAACGAGTCGTGAGCCGGACAACATCTCGCTTTTCGTGGTCGATTAAAGAACTCTTGAGCGTGAACGTTGTAATTTAGAATATTTTGCTTAAACGGAGGCCTAGTATGTGGCTTAACATCGACTTCTACCGTACTCTCGCTTTCGCTTACTTCCTCAATTACGTCCTTCTTTTTACGTTTAAACAGACCAAATCTATTTAACACCCTTGAAAATTTGTTCTTTTTGGTCTGAAACATTATTATTGAGAATGAAAGGTTTTGCAGATCGTTAGATAATAATTTTATAATAAGGGAACATTGCTTACCTCACAAATCCTATCCATTTCGGTCTCAGATGAAGATCCTGACGTTTGTAGGTTAAGCTTTTCTATAACAGTATCAGATAAAGTCGCATTTGTAGAGTAACAAGAGTCACTTGTCATTCGCGATCCGATAGCTTCACAACTCTTCGAATAGCACTTCATTTTTGGCGTTTCTACCATAGCGTCATGCTTAGAAGCTTTGGAACTTCCGACACTTCTAGATGTTAATATCTTCTTTTCGCCTTTCATCTGTCGTATATTTTCATTACTACCGCGTCTGGCACGGGGCGAATTACCGTTTTTAACGCATTTATAAATTTCTTTAATGAGTTCTTGGGTTTCATGGTGACAAGATGGTGCAGAGGTTTTAATTACATTATTATCATATGATATATTTTCTTGACAATTATGAGTACAAGTCGCGCAGGTATAACTTGGCGAAGGTACCATAAAACTGTTAGGAGAGTAGTTAATAGGACAAATTGGTAAAATAGGATAACAGCAAGGATTGAAAGATGGAACAATTGGGGGCGCCGGATATTGTGCTGAACTGTTATGTATGAAGCTGGATTGGTTATTTTTGGGTGTCGTATTGGAGTTGCTCTGGTTGTTGACTTGTGTTTGTGATTGTTTAATACTTTTGCTACTCATCTCTGAGTGACTGTGAATTGAATCTCTTTTTATTTCTTGTAAAAAGCTTTGTAAAATATCTTTTATTTCACAAAGAGCTTTATCAGTTTTGTCTACTGTAGAACTTGTAACTTGAGTGTGCATTGTTTCATTATTAATATTAACATGTTCTGGTTCTATGTTCGAATATTGAAGACTACTCATCGTTCCGCCAACTAGCGGTTTTTTTGGTCCTTGGTCCTGACGCATTTCACGGTACTGAGATAAATCTGAATAATCGTCAATCATTTCAAGTGGCGGCTTTTTTCTTAACGATCTATGAGGGACGCTGGGAAGTATCATATCATCGTAAGCGTACCGTTGTGCTGTAAGATTTAGCCGTGGTCTATTTGTTCTAGGGGATGGTAATACTTCTCTAAAGCGCTCATGCCGCTTATTATTTTCTTCAATAAATTTTCGTCTAGATTTAGGACTGGACTTTTCTTTAACTGGCACTAAATCGTAAAGATTAGAATCATTATAGTTCGTAATATGAGATTGTTTGTACTTCCTTTGCTGCTTCGAACCGTACAACCGTGCATCGCAAATACTTCTCATATCACTAAGGTTATACCTCTCGCAATGACGGTGCCTAACTTTTCTATGGCCATCAAAACAACACGAGCATAATTCACTGCCTTCCATGACATCATCTCGGATGGTAAATTCTTGATCACGGCATACGGGCGCGGAAAATTGACTGAAGTCTGATAACCTTCTACCAAATAATTTGACGGGCTTATATTGTTTTCGTATTATATCCGCTATAAAATCTTTATCGACATTGGAATAGTGATGTGATTTCTTACGGGTTTTCCGTCGTTCAGTATCTTTTTTGTTATCAGTTTTTAAGCGTCCAGTATCTTCGCACTCCCTAAAGGTTACGTTTTCAATGTCTTTCCTGTGACGTCTATGACTATCCTGATATCTCGAATGACATGCCTCCTTATTATATGTTTCTCTAGGCGATTGAAGACTTATGCTCGAGTATACTCTTTTTAAATTATCTTCATTTATTTTATTGTCACGTTTTGATTTAGGATATGAGATCGGTTTCAAATATTTAAGCTGACGTTCATGATTCTTGGCTACGTGGCCTGGTCTCTCGACAACGTATTCTTCGTTACAATACTTGTGGAAATGTTTATTATCATTCATATTTATTTCGCCACTGTCCCATTTACTCATTGACTGAATATGTGCTTTATTATAATTCCTTCTCGGTGTTTCATAAAGTATTTTAGTTTCTAAATCTCGTGTTCTGCTGCTTTCACATGCCGGTTTGCTTGGCGTGGTCTGTTTAATGTCGTGGCTTACCGTGCTCTCCCCTTTACGAATGCTGTGTTCAAGAAAGGACAGGTCCCGACAATGCTTGCTTACTTTGTCAAGGTGTTGTTCTATTATATCTATTTTACTTTTGAGATCTGAAACACTAAGTACGATGCTTGAGTGAGTTCTGTTGTCTGTTTGTGATAGGGTTCCTGGAAACAAAGTGTGTTGTTATCGTCCAAAGGGCTTAATGATAGTTTAAATTAGAAAGGCAGCTGGAGAGAATTTACTTTATGTCAATGAATTACTCGAAAATAATACTTAATGGGCGTGTTTGGCCGAAGTAAGTACTTACTAAACTTAGTAAGCCAGTAAACATAAAAAAAATTAAAGTCTTACAAGCTGACTGTAGCGCTTTTCGGCCAGGACAGACTTACTGGCTTATTAACATAACACAAAACACCGGTTTATGTCATATCCCGTACATAACCTCATAGACTGAATATAATTGACAGTACTAAATTTAGGAATATAATTTAATACCTGTGAATAGTTTCAAATGGATAATTTTATGAGAAATATTTTATTGGATATTTTATTGTCCGTTTTGTTTACATCAACAATAAGCAAAATGGCGTCGTATATTAAGCCATACTTACTGCGTTAGCACTTATTTTGTGTCCCGGCCGAAAATTTTGTAAGCATAGTAAGTGACTTACTAAATTTAGTAATGGTGCGTTCCACTAAGCGCTCACGACGATCAAAATGCTCCTTTAGCCATTCCACATACCGACCGCGGTCGTTGTGGTCACGGCGAAAACGTCACTCATGACGTCATGACTAATGCTCACGCAACGCTCACAACGACCCATCTAAAGAGGTGGGTCGTTGTGAACGTTGAGAATAATTTGGCGCAATTTTTGACATTGTTTTTGAAATATGATATTCAAAGCTTAAAGATGGCGACAAGAAAAATAACATTATATGATTCTGAAAGAGAAATTGTAGTAGAAGCTATCGTTTATGATTTTAGTTTATATTCAACAAATATTTATACATTTTTCCTGAATAATGGATAGCATAACCTAACTCAATAAGTAAACGATATTTATTATCATTAATAATATATATATTTGGTAAATTTATTTTATTTGTAGATGTATTTTTTGCAACTGAGCTGTTAAGAAAAATTATTAATCAAAATTCTGAAGCTTCCGCATCTGTTGAAGTTGATCAAGAATCTAGTGAATTATACGATGAAGAGACTTCAGAGAGTTTTATTGGAGAAGAATGACTTGATAGTGATAATCCAACCGATCTCAACTCTGAAACTCCAGAATTTGAAGGTTTAATGAACATCTGAAATTCTATTATCATTTTATTTCACATATATTATGCGAGAATTTTAATTATATTTATTTTTTTTTTTGCACAGGAGAAACTTCAGTATACAGGTGGAACTCACCCTGCGGTGAACTCACTATTATTGGAATTATATAGGTCTATGGAAGGAACTCTGAACAGTGGAAAAATTTCTCAAAAACAAGTATGGAATAAAATATCCCAAGATATGAAGAAAAAAGGATACGATGTGACGGGACCGCAGTGTCATTCTAAAATAAACTATAAATAAAAAAACATATAAATCTACTAAGGATCATAACAATAAGTCAGGAAATAATAGAAAGACATGGCAGTTTTACGATGTTAGTACAAATTACTCAATATTTTCATAAATCTTACATTTACTTGAATATTTTATAAAACCAATAAACAATTTTCTTATTCATGAAATATATTTTTTATAATTATTAATTTTTATAATATACTTTTGGTAGATTATGGATGAAATTTTTGGCAAAAAAGCATGGTGCAATCCAGTTGCAGTTGCATCTTCTACTGCCCTGCGATTCTGTAACTCACTTTTCGAGCTCACACAGCGGTTTTCATATCGGCGGTCGCTCTTAAATCAGTCGTAAAGCAGTCATTTTATGATTTGGCATTCTAATAAACAATAAACTACAAGCTCCCACCTTTTCAGAATGCCAAATCATAAAATTACTGCTTCACGACTGATTTCAGGGGGACCGCCGATGCGAAAACCGCTGTGTGAGTTCGAAAAGTGAGTTACAGAATCGCAGGGTGGTCTGTCGTTGAAAGAAGCAGAAAATAATGATAGTACAGCGGGATCTGATAGCGGATGTTCACTAAGTAGGTTGATTATGTGAGATAATTTTAATTGTAACTAATTTACAAATTCAATTTCATTCTAGAAACAAGTAAGGCGTCGATAGCATCTTTACTGGGAAAAAGATTGCATCAAAAAGAGGAACATGAAGAAAATAAAAAAAAGACACTTAGAGCGAATGAAAATGGATGAGAAATTTCTTCAAGTTTTAGAAAAATTAGCCAACAAATAAGCATTTAAATGTTAAATTAAAAAAAATTTGTTTGTAAGCATGAAAATTACTTTTATTATAATTCCTTTTATATTATTAAAGTAACAGAAACAAATTTTATTAAAAAGACAAGGCTTTGTAGTCCAAATATTTTAAAATACATTTTATAATATCCAACTGCCGCCAAAGCCATTTCGATTATAAGTTGTTTGATAACTTCACCAAAATTATTTATAAAATATTCAATTATTCTTCACTTTTAACATAAATAAATTTAAGTCACAAATATTAAAACTTATTGTTTAGGATTACCTAACCTCCTTAAAATTCTACTATTTTCAAACTTGACATTTGTAATATTTACATGAACGCCCGAAACGCTCCATAATCCATTCCACTTGAGTTAACGACAGTAACATTCACAATCAAGTGGAATGGGGAAATCGCGGTCGTGAGCGTGAGCGTTGTGAACGCTTAGTGGAACGCACCATAAGTACTTACTTCGGCCAAACACGCCCATTGTCATGACTGTCAAATTAGGTTACCGATTGTTTTCTTAAAGAATTCCTTGATAGCTCGACAACGGCGTTTAGTTCTTGGTGATATACGCCGGTGCGGGGCTCGTAATGTCATCACCTTTGCAATATCCGAACTATAAGCACAACAATGATTTACTATCGTATTAATAAAAAATATACACGGTTTAAAGTATTATATTATACTTGATCTTTATGATCCTTAAATTTTCATTTTAAGGAATTGGGCGATTATAATTACACAAATTAATTTTCATATTGTCTATAATAATATCTGTTTTCGAATAATGTTTGTCTTATAAATTTAAGTAATTTTCTTTTATATTAACTTGACTTTTGAATTTCATCTGACGTTTTTATTATTTTTTTCGCCTAGTCTATATACTCTTTGTAGCCAGCACTCAAACACCTGCCAATACTAAATAAGGGGTACATTTATTTCGTATAGCTACGATACAATTTATTATTTTTAATATTACGGAATAATCGAAGGTTTCATCGAATCTTTCGCCCTTAAAATATAACGTCTTAAGTATAATTTAAAAATAGAACCAATTCGTGAACGCCATAGCTACAAATGATGTCATAAGTCAAAACAAAAAAATTCAACAATGACTGTTAGATTGTAAGGAACAAATAATTTTAAGTTTTTTTTTATTTTATTTTCGAATGCTCTCAAAATTTCTGTGTACGGCCCAATTATTGCGGCCGTCTATTATTGCGTTAAAAGTGAACCCAGCGAGTAGAGTTTTGACGAGGAACGCGGGCCATTACATCCCGCCAACACAGTACGACGTACCTATACCGCGGAGGCTTCATTTAAGTTATGCTCTGAGGGTGTATTGGGAAATCATTCCATTATTTCTCGTCACTTGCACCAGTCTCGCTCTCTGCCTCTTTTCCATCTACTGGGCTTCTAGCCATAAAGTAAGTTTGATTCTAAATAGACTGTTGAGATTATTTTTAATGGTTTTGTTTCTGGGAAAAATGTATTTGTTACACGTTAGAACCGATTTTTAATGAGTTTAGGTATCGAAAAGTGAAAAATCTTTTACTTAAACTCTGGTACACAGATATTGTTATATCAACCATATACTCTTTATAATCTCTTCATTAGAGAGAGCTAACAGCAATAACAAGGCAATACGTTCTTCTGTATTTTTTTGTCCAGGCTGACGTAGTATACACAACTCATACCCGCGAAAACATCTCCCGCACGATGGATCTGCGCAATCCAGACGTGCTGAAAATCTTCGTCATCCACCAGCGCTACGAGCCTTGGCCTGAGATGCAAGACGTGCTCGACAAGATGACCTACGCGCAAAAGACCGCACTAATGAGGGCCCGCATCTGCAAACCTTCTTAAGCTGGACCAAACTCACCAAACGACAGATTTGTATGTAATTTGTTTATCATAAAATTTCTGTTGCTTGGAAAAGACGCTATGTAACAAATCTTGGGGTTATTTATGAGGTTTCATTCTTCATTAATTAAAGAGCAGGGATCAAGATAACCAAGGACGATAGTATTTTGAGTTTGAACGTAACGCTGGTAAAATATAACATCTAAACCAGATATAAATGGAAAGGTCGTGGAAATGGACACTCAATCTTACCTATTACGGTTAAATATCAGTTTGAGTGCTCAATTAAATATGCTCTGACTTTTCCGTGAAAGCTTTAAACATGTTGTTTTATATATTGTAAGAGCAGTTTATTAAATACTTCATATACCCCTAATCGATTGTTTCATTGAATTCCTATACCATTTTTATAGGATTAAAAGGACAAAAAGCGCAACGCATTTAACATGAATTTGTGTTAAAACTTTGTAATCACCAGGTTGGTAGCTCGTTCTGCAAAGATGGACTAATACCTACGTGGTTAATTAATTAAATTAATAATTTTGTTAAGTAACTAATTGAAATTTAAGGAAAGAAAGGATGTAGTAAACCGCTCTATGGAACGCCTTATTGAAGTATCTTGTGAGGAGTTGGGGTAAATCATTATTGTTAGTTTGTATAGCCCTCCTTCAGCTCAATAATATGTTAGCTTTGAGAAAATAATAGAACTAGTGCGGTATAAATTGCAAATGTCCAAGAAAATGTTGATTGTTTGTGAAGGAAAATTGGCTTGATGTCTTTTTAAGTTCATGTATACGTAATCTCTTTAAATCATACGATTTAATTAAATTTTTTGTACCTACCTACTAAGTACCACCACGGCAAGTTACATTGATAATATCTATAGACATATAGCTCTTCTCAATAGTGGATTCAACAAAATAACGTCTGACCGCTCAGATCAATTGTTTGAATTCCAAATAATTAAATGTAATCTTCCTAAATAATAATATTAATACATATCTACAATTCCTGTTACAGAAGATGATATAACAAAACATGATTCGTAAAAGGCAATTTTTGTATACTATTGGCCACAATTATAATAAGATTGGACAATTTCGGACACAAGTAGTGCGTCAGTGTCCATGCGTCGGGTTGTTTCTCTCCCTAAAATAAAGGAGGCCGATGGCTGGCCATACGTCATACTCGTGAACAGGTGTTACTTGTGGTGACTGGCCATACTTGAATTCGTGTATGCGGTGATTTTAGCTATTTCGACTATGTACTTGCGTGTTGTTCCCACGAGAATGTATGTACTCCTATTTCACCATGCTTCCTGCTGATAGAGGACAAATCTTTGTTTTTAATTTATTTTATTATTATTTATTACGTAAGATGTCATGTGGAACATGGTGTAATGGTTGCAGCTCCTTACAAACGTTGTGTAAAAAAAACTTGTATCCTAAGAGCCCACGACGGCCAGACCTTCGTCATTTAATAAAAGCTGAAAGTTCTTCTGTGCATGTCCCCTATACAGGTAAGAACGACCAGGGACTATAGAGTTTGGGTAGTGGTTACTTCGGCAGGTAACAGGTAGTAAAGGTGTATAAAATGGTAACGATACGACAACGATGCACCCAAATTGGGGGTTGCGGGGGGAGGGGTGTAGTAATCACCCCCCACAAATTTTGCGCGCCGGAAACAAAAAAAAAGATTTTTTTTTATATTTTGCACTTGATCACTGTGAACACACACTGTTCTGGCAAAATCCACATTCGAAATGGCCGTTTGCGTTTATAAAATGAATAGGGCTGTGAAAAATTATCTATTTTTTAAAAGTGAAAATCGATTTTAGCATTCGATTTTGAATCCGATTTTGTATTCGATTTCGAGTTTCAGTTGAACAGTTATTTTAAAAAAATATTCATATACTAACCTAACCTAACCGATCTAAATAATAATTGGTTTTTTGGACAGCTCCGGCGCTACGGGAAATGCAGCCCCTCCACCCTTGCGTACCAAAGCACAGGCGTTGCATCCCATACCAGTACCCGGCCCATCTTCCATGGAATCAAACTCATACCGTCCGGTCTCTTGCCATCGTCTCTTGCAATACCACTCGGCTCAAGTAGACTTGGCACGTTGACGGTGCGATTCGAAGCGTGTCAGGCTCAAGAAAAGTTCCTGTATTAGACGAAGGGTAAGCGTGAAGCCAGTAGCCGGCCTCATGCGTACCCACGGCTAAAAGCCTAGCACGCGCCGAACCTGTACTACAACTCAAAAGATCGTCAAAAGTCATTTTGCAGTGCATGTCATCCCAGCTCCTCTGTGAATTTAGAGATAATGGAAAATTTTGACCTGGGCATGCAATTAAGAAAGCTTAGCTTCTTCCAAGCCAGCAATCTCAAAGTTTGAAGGGGATGCCCTTAAAATTTTACTTATGAGATTTGCTGAACTATGGCCAGAAGATAGAAAGGCTGGTAAAGCGACACTGGAAATTTTGCGAATCCCTAAACCACCAAGATTGCTTGTTCAGCTGCATATTAAGAAGTGATTCTAAGCTAATTTTGATTAAGTCGTCTAATGGTGTTAAAAGATCTGGGTGATTCCAAAAGGAGCAGCAACGGAGCACTACGTAAATTTTGGGAGAAAAAGACAGAATTTTAAGATGCAAAGTGCATAATGCGGACTAATTTCAAGGAGACGGTCAGCAGAATTTCGAAATTTAGTAATTGAAGTATGAATATAATCAGAAATAGATTCATTAAAAATTGGAGAACCTAAAAGGTAAAGGGAATTCCTGTTAACTATTTTAATATTTGGAGCCAAAATTTGAATTTTTTTTTACATCATTTAAATTTAAGTCGCAATTATTTAATTATTTAATGGTTAAATTAGGTTCAACTTTAAAAATAACAAATGAGAAAATAATCGATCCGATTAATTTACCGAGAATGTCACATCACTTATAACCAATAGAAAACGAGAATGTCACATCTCTTATAACCAATAGAAAAGTAGATAATGGCGGATTGCTTACAAATTTCAATACATTTCACAAAACTTTAAATTTTTTTTAAATACTTTGACGCATTTCCGGCAGCTAAAATCACTTGGAGGTGTTCCAACCAAGGTCCCCGAGACTCCTGCATAATCAGTATCATCAGATTCGGGTGCATTACTCTCACACCCAACCCCTATGAGCTATCAGAAGTTTAAATTTAACCACGTTAGCTGCTATAAGATTATAAAAATATTTAAACTTTTTAAATTAGGAAAATGTAAAGATTTTAGGGGTGTGTCTGTATATATTTTACAATCATTAGTAACAGCAATCAATGATAAAAAAAGATAATAACCTGTGGTTGTCACAGGTTATTTCACCAGTTTATTATTCCTTCCTAGTGGGAGAGCCACGAGTTCAAGCTTCAGCCAAATGGGCCGGCACGACCGGGGCGCAAAGTGATTAAATAAATACTCTTATTAGGCATTTGTATTGTTTGTGATTGGTTCTCCGTAACGTGATTGGTTAGTTGGTGAATGGCATCAGAAGTAGACCTTTTTTCTCGAAAACCGAATTGATTAGGTGACAGGTTTTATTCAAAGAAATTAAATAGGCGAATATAAATAATACATTCAATTAATTTTAATAGAACTGGTAACAATGCTATGGGTGTAAAATTGTATACCTACCTACACTTCACTCACACACAAATGGACGGTTTGCCAACTTATTATTATTGGTTACTACCTTCCTTATCCAATAGGTGAAGCAATTACTTTTGATTAGCACATGTATTTGATTTCCGGGGAATTTTCGTTAGAACCTAGATGCACCAGCCGTATGTAGGTATGTATCGTACTGTTACAACTCCCCAATGCATCCTATATTGCTGACATACACTAAGCCCTATCCTCGTCATCATTTCTTCCCATGCACAAACAACCTCTCATTTCCCATCCAGTCAGTCGATCTCCTAACTCTCCGAACAGACGTGCTAATATTTTTATACTACTTCCTTTGTATTTCTAAATCTTTGTTCTGATTTTCACCAGATATCCATCTCAGAAAAAGATACCCCTAAACCTGCTTTCACTGTCCCTTAAGGACATTTCGAATTTAAACGTATGCCATTTGGGCTAAAGAATGCTCCTGCAACCTTCCAACGGCTTATGAATACTGCGCTAGCAGGATTACAATTTACAGGGTATACATTGTTATGTCTACTTAGATGATATAGTCATCTATTCCCATGACCTAAATTCCCATTGTGACAAGCTTTGTAAGATTATTAGTAAATTACGTCAACATAATTTAAAGTTACAACCAGACAAGTGCGAATTTCTACGTAGAGAGGTCGGATATTTGGGCCATGTAATCAGCGAAAACGGGGTTAGTTCTAACCCTGAAAAGGTTAAAGCCGTTTCCAAATTCCCAGTACCAAAGTGTCCTAAAGATGTGAAGTCATTTCTAGGACTTGTGTCATATTATCGCCGATTCATTCCAGACTTCTCAAAAACTGCTAAACCGTTAACCACTCTGCTTAAAAAAGATGTTTTGTTCAATTGGTCAATAGAACAACAAGCAGCCTTTGATGATTTAAAAAATAAATTAATTTCCGCTCCTATCCTCATTTACCCAGATTTCACGAATCCTTTTGTGCTAACATGTGACGCGTCCAATTATGCTATATCTGCGATACTATCCCAGGGCGAGATAGGTAACGATCAACCCATTGCCTTTTCTTCAAGAACACTGAACAAAGCAGAAACTCGACAACAGAAAAGGAATGTCTCGCTATCGTGTTTGGAACAAAGACTTTTAGACCATATCTCTACGGACACAAATTTACCATCGTCACTGACCATAGGCCCCTAAAATGGCTTTTTAACTGCAAAGACCCTGGCTCCCGGTTAGTTAGGTGGCGACTAAGGTTAGAGGAATTTGATTATAAAATTGAGTATAAGAAGGGTAAGATAAATAGCAATGCCGACGCACTCTCTCGATTCCCGGTAAATCCGATACAAAATCCTTTTGATGACCCCATTCCTTCTACTTCCAGGCAAAGTCAGCCTTTCAGTCCAATAACCCTTGAAGATCTCGGTGAAATACCCCTAACTCCTATTGACTCTGACAGCTTACCATCCGTAGATCTCCTTAATAATGAGGACCTTTTAACAGACCTCTTGAACCCCGAGGATAAAAAACATTCACCTCGAATTAATGATCCTTTAAATCCACAAATTACTCAGAATCCCGAAGAATTTACAAATCCATCCTTACCCATTCCTGCGTCACCCGTTCCCACTAATGAGAGCTATTCTAGCTTTCTGAAAGCAATATCTAATAAATCCTTTAATAGTAATGCTAGAATACAGGAATACAATGACAATATCCTCAAAACTAGTAGTAAACATATATTTATACCCACCTCAATAGACCTCGACGAATCAAATCCATACGTAGAACAAATCTTAAGTGAAATTCAAGATCCATCTGAAATCTTACAAAAAGAAAGAACACTATACACTTGTCTTTCCTTTGAACTTAACGGGAAATATATCTATTTTCTTTTCACCAAAGTCTATCATTTCGATAGCTGTACTTACGAGGAAATTTTCAAAAGCCTTCTTTATACTAAGTCTATACTACCCCTTTCAACCACATCTTCCACAGAACACGAAACTCAAGTAGCCTATACTGACTTTCGTAATAGCTTTGATAAACACACCTGGTCCAGAATTTACAATATGTTCTCTTATATTTTCACAAATACTAACATAGAAATTAAGATATACCACGGCCGCCTCATATATCCTTCACTTTCAGAAATACGTAAAATATTACACGACAACCTATAGCAGGTCATCTCGGAACCGCACGCATGCTAAATAGAATAAAAGAAAAATACTATTGGAAAAACATGCGTTCAAATGTGGAAACCTATATAAAGAATTGTTCATTGTGCCAAAGTAATAAAGCCCTTAGACAGACGAATCGCGCACCCATGCAAATAACAACTACCTCTACAAAACCTTTTGAGCGTATTGGTATGGATCTAGTCGGTCCTCTGCCCGAGGCAGGTCTTCAATCTCTTAAATACATCCTTAACATGCAAGACGACCTTACTAAATTCTCCTTTGCGTATCCCATTGCCAACGCCACTTCCGAAGACACATTCGAATGCCTTGTTCATTTTATATCACTATTCGGAATACCTAGGATGATTTTGACGGACCAAGGCAAGGCTTCACTGCAGAATTATTTAAGAAAACATGCGAATTCCTTAAAATAAAACAAATTTGGTCCTCACCTTATCACCCACAGACTCAAGGTGCTCTAGATAGCCATTCGACGCTCATAGAGTATTTGAAATCCTATGTTAACGAGAATCACACAAATTGGCATAAATATGTTTTTACTTCAATGTTATCATATAACACGTCTGTCCACGCTTCCACAAACTTTACTCCCTATGAACTTCTCTTCGGTCATAAGGCATATATTCCTGATTCCGTCTACGAACAACCACCTGATGTAACTTATCCTGAATATATAAAATTCCTTCATCATAGACTCAAATTATCCAGGGAAAAAGCAACACAAAATATTATTAGATCTAAGGAAAGGTCTAAAGACTATTACGATAACCATTCACGGCCAGTTAGATATCAAATAGGCGATTACGTTTACCTTAAGAACCACGTGCGCCTACGAAAGGCTCTGTCACCCATATGGAAGGGACCGTACAAGGTAGTAAAAATTAATGGATGAAATAGCCTTACCTTACTTATAAACCAACGCCATGTTACTCATCACTATGATGAGGTTAAGCTCGCACCTAGGTCCAGTTCGCCAGATTAGTATACACTAATGTAATAACTATTTATTAGGTCTTTAAATTGTAAGTCCCTAGTGCTAATAAGCCTTCGATAAGTTTAGTCTAATATTTTCTATTCCTCTTTCAGCAATTCCTCCATGGCCCAACAATTCATCGAACAGATGATTAATAGCCCCGGAATTTACTTCGATCCCGTGGGTTCCCTGAATCAAATTGATAGTTATTTAAGTGTCGTAGTCCCTATAGATGTCTCATATATAAAACCTCACTTAATAAATTTACAACGTAGTATAAGTTATTCTAAATTAATTTGCGAGGAGAGTTTAGTGTTTAATTCTTTAGAATGTAAAAATTTATTTCAACCTATAATAATTCAATATGAAGATATGACTCGCTATAGTGAAGCCATACCAAATCTTGCCTCACATCACTCAGCAAAAAGGAGTGCTTTACTAGGTGTTATAGGTACTATCTCCAAGAAATTATTCGGCACCTTGGACGAGCTAGATGCTATACGCTATGATAGCGCAGTTAGGGAAATTCAATCAGACGAAAAGAAAATAGCGTCTTTTGTAAAGGAAAATATTATAGTTACGACATCAGCCTTAAAGACATTCAATAAATCGATTAGTATTGTAGAATCAAATCAACGTGAAATTTCAGTCGCACTAAGTTGAAAATATTACGATTGAATCTCGTGAATTAAAAATTCAATCTCGTGTCCTAGAACTCGTATCAATGATAAGAAATAATCTCTTGACTATATCTTTCAAAATACAAGATCTGGTGGAATCAATTATGTTCAGTAAGTCCAACGCGCTACATCCCGGAATACTAACTCCTAAAGAACTCTATACAGAGTTGATTAATAATTACCGTTTTATTCCACCAACTAAAAAATTTCCAACTCTTCTAAGTCTTGAAAATATTCATATTATCTTAAATATTTCTACTATATCGGGATATATGACAAAGAACGAGTTAGTTTTCGTCCTTCATATTCCATTACTAAGCCCCACCGATTTCCTATTGTATCATAACTTACCATATCCAACGCCACATAATGTGGAAAACCCTACCTCTTATTCTACTATTATACCATCCTCTAAGTACATTGGTCTGAGTAACGACAAATCTCTTTATTGTAAAGTAGATGAACCCCAAAATTGTAAAGTAATTAATAGAGATACTTACATCTGCGATGACGTCATATCACGCTCTACTTTCACAACTCCTATCTGTGAAACAGACATAATTACTAAGGCACTTACCTATATTCCTGAAACGTGTAAGACGAAATTCTTCCATGGCCATTTTGAAATTTGGCAGCCTTTACAACAAAATAGATGGTTATTTATATTGTCTGAGAAAACTAAATTAAGTATACCTAATATATAATTTAACGCAAACTGTAGAATTAGAAATAAGCGGAAGCGGAATCTTACACTTACCTGCTGGTAGTGTTGCATATTGTAAGGATTCCAAACTTATAGCTAAGGACTATCCTGTTATTATTCTTAAGCCTTTAAAAATAAGATAAGCTATACTAAATTACTCCTGTTGCAACATAGATAGTTATTCAAAAATAAGTACTCAATTACCCACTGTTAATTTAAAGAATATTGATCTAGATTCAATTATCTATGGAAAAGAAAATGTCTTCAAAGATTTAGATAAGTTAGTAAGTAAGGAAAATATTGTCCTATATGAAAACTCTTATAATATAATTTTAATTGTTGTAGTAATCTTAATTTTAAGTTACATTATATTTAAAATCTGTAAATGCACTAATGTTTATAGGAGATTCCCATTTAAACATAAGAATGTATCCGTTCCAGATCCCATCTCTAATTCCGTTCTAGATGAAGTCGAAAGACGAAGTCCTGCTCCCCCATCACTTCGTATTAGCAAGGATTAAATACCTTTTCTTAATCCTTAATTAACTATCCCCTTTAGGGTATAAGTTTACTCTTGATCGGGGGGTTGTTACAACTCCCCAATGCATCCTATATTGCTGACATACTCTAAGCCCTATCCTCGTCATCATTTCTTCTCATGCACAAACAACCTCTCATTTCCCATCCAGTCAGTCGATCTCCTAACTCTTGTCCGAACAGACGTGCTAATATTTTTATACTACTTCCTTTGTATTTCTAAATCAATATATTTGTAATTGAATTCATTAAATCTTTTTTTTAAAAAAGATCTTATTATTGTTCTGTGTAACAGTACGAATAGCACTCTTGCAATAGTACGAAATCCGGCTGCAGGATTATAAAAATTGCTAAAAAAACTAATTTTTATGTATATTTATTACTAAGAGCGTGTATATCTACCAAGTTGCCTATCAAAATTTGCCCGCTAGTATTTTTAATTAAATTATTTTGAATAGATTTTTGAAACATTTCGTTCACTTGTTATTTAAATTAAATATAGTCTACATTTCGGAAATTTAAATAAAGATTTTAAAAATCACGTGTGCCGTTGCACACCTGGCCGCACTTCTTCGTAGCCAGGTGTAAAAAGGTATGATATCGATACATTTATACGTTTTTAACGTAATTTATTAAATATATATCAAATTGAAGCTGTTTTATTTCTATTAACTATCGTATATGGGTGCCTAGTTAAATCTAGCCGCAAATAAGGGTTACCTGCTGTTAAAGATTATTAATATTTAAGGTAGAGTGAAAGAGAGTTAACGCAGAACATCATTTGTCAGACGAGGATAGCGAATGCCGCCTGTGCGACGCTTTTAAGTCATTGCGCATGCGTCGAATGTTAGTGTTCTGAAAATGAATAGATGCGGCATTTTTATTCTAACATAAAAACGACGCTGTTTTTGTTTTAATTTTTTTAATAATTTTAGATGCACAAATAAAACAACAATGTATATATAAAACGTATTTTATTACGAACTCTAAAACAGCAGCCGGATCTTAGCCCAAAACTACAGAAAACATTTGTACAAATGGTCATGGTGTGTGTATAGGCTTAATAAAAAAAAATATTTAAATAAATAGAATTATAGAGACTACAATATGTCAAATCTTTGAAAATATATTTTGCATATAATTAAGAATAGTTTTACCTTTACAAATTATTTAATAGATAAATTTACAGTGCTGAATATCTAGGCCCTAACGCAACATTCTGAAATTTCTTTCAGAATGTTATCCAGATTTGTTAAGTCTGCATGTGTGCTTCGACCGGCGCTGTTGACTCGTCCGACCACCCCGAGTCGCCTGATACGGAGATCCTCTCATGAATATGTACCGCCAACTCAGTATGATGTTCCTATTCCCAAGAGGCTGAATATTCTGTACGTTATGAGAGTGTACTGGGAAACAATTCCATTGTTTCTAGTGACTTGTACGAGTTTAACGATCTGTGTGTTATCGTGCGCTTGGGCTACTCAACATAAGGTAGATTTATATATTATGTATCTACATGTAAACTAGATATTGGTTAAGGTTTGGTATTCAGGGATATTGATAGTTTGATTCCCACTTTAATCTTACTAGCACGCTAGCTAGTATAATAATTACAGTGCCTAGTTGTTTTAACGCTTTGTATACCGGTATTTTGTCTATTTTATACACTTGATGTTCATTGTATCCTGGAAACTTATAATATTCGTTGTTGTTGAACGTTATTGCACTGGTTTTAACACTTATATTAAGTAAACGATCACTGTATATTTTTTTAATAGAAAAATACTACGGAGCTGAAGTGTACACGGGCACAGCAGCCCCTCCTTATTTATAGGTTATATATATATATAGTTATAGAGTATATGTAGTTATTAAACAGAACCAAACCAATCTGAGGATTCATGTGCCTTGAAAAAATCCTTAATTTACTCATTTGTGTTGAATTTAGATGGACGTAGTGTACAAGACCCACTCCCGCGATAACGTCTCTCGCACGATGGACCTTCGCAATCCTGACATACACAAGATCCTGATTTTCAACCAGCGTTACGAGCCCTGGCCCGAGATGCAAGACGCTCTGGACAAGATGGCTTTGGCACAGAAGCGGGTTCTACTGCGTGCAGAATCCTGCCCGAGTAAATAACGCCTTTATCTATAGCACTCCGTCTTATTTGATTAAAGCACACACAAAAATTAATTGTACACTTACAATGTTTCTTTTTCCTTTCCCCCCATCAAATAATTATAATATTAAGGAATTTTCTATACATTTTAAATACGCGTTACCAGTTGCTGGCGCAAATCGTCAATGCAGAAGGCTGAAAAGCCCCCACCCAGGACACTGCCCAAGCTAAAGGCACCTCGTACCGCTGCAATTGTGCTCACGTTGTCTAAAGACGCTGAAGCTAAGGGTGTTACCTACGCCGCTGCCCTAAAAGAAGCACGGGCTAAAATAGATCTGAAGGAGGCTGGAATTGAGGGCGTTAAGTTTCGCCGAGCGGCAACAGGAGCCACTATAATTCAGATCCCCGGAGCCGGCAGTGGGGAAAAAGCCGATACCTTAGCCAACCGACTCAAAACCGTACTGAGTGACAGCGGAATCAAGATCACACGGCCCGTCCGATGCGCCGATGTCCGCATCTCTGGCCTGGACGACTCTATTGCAGCGGATGAATTGCGCGAGGCTATTGCGGCGAAGGGAGAGTGCCCGGCTGATCAAATAAGAATCAGCCGAATACGACAAGATAGATCGGGTCTTGGCGCAGCGTGGGCTAACTGCCCCGTAACGGCCGCCAAGAAACTCTTAGCGGGGCGTTTCTTTGTCGGATGGGTTGTGGCAAATATTAGTGTTGCAAAGCCAAGAGAGCTACGGTGTTTTCGCTGCTTACAAATCGGGCACGTAGCTAGCCGCTGCATGTCCGATACTGATCGTAGCCAACTGTGTTTTCGCTGCGGTCAAGCCGGTCACAGGGCAGCCTCCTGCAGTGAAAAACCCAAGTGCCTACTCTGCGACGAGGCCGGTAGGAAAGCGGATCACAGGCTAGGTGGCAACAGCTGCACAGCTCCCAGTGTGAAGGTACCCAGGCGCCGCTCGTCACCTAAAAAAAAGACGCCCGCAAAGTCTCCGCGTAACAATGCGCGTATGGAGGTTATAGAAACCGCAGCAAATTAACATGGCCCTACGGTTTCTCCAGAGCAACCTTAACCATTGCGCTGCTGCACAAGACCTACTGTACCAGAGTCTGGCGCAGTGGAATATCAACATAGGTATAATTTCCGAGCCCTACTCCATACCCGAAAAAACGAACTGGGTTGGCGACCTCGACGGTCTGGCCGCAATTATCGTTACACCGGCAGACGGCTCGCCCTGCATTGGCCCAGTTCGAAAAGGCCACGGCTATGTGGCAGCAAAGTTGGGAAGCAAAATGTGTATCGCGAGTACGTACTTGTCCCCCAATCGCTCGCTGGCTGAATTCGAGGCCTTCCTAAACGAACTGGGAAGCCTGGTGCAATGGAGTCACCCGAGACATTTAGTCATCGCTGGGGATCTGAATGCAAAGTCTGTGGCCTGGGGTTCACAGATGTCCAGCCCACGAGGAAAAGCGTTGGTGGACTGGGCAGCAGCGCACTGTTTGGTAGTGGCCAACAGGGGCTCTGAAGCTACGTGTGTTCGAACAAACGGAGAATCGATTGTGGATGTGACTTTCACGAGCCCCCATCTTTCATGCTGTGTTCAGGACTGGGAGGTCCTGACGGGGGTTGAGACGCTTTCGGACCACCGGTATATCCGCTTCCGCACTCTCTCTCCGTCGGCCAAGCCTAGCTCGGACCCGTCAGAACTGGGCCCAAAATGGGCACTTGGGAGTCTTAACAAGGAACAGGCGGAATTGGCTACGATTGTGCAGGCCTGGTGCCCGATCCCAGCCTCCGTAAATCCAGAGGAAGAGGCAGAGTGGTTTCGTGGCGCAATGACTTGCGTCGCGGATGCCGCAATGCAAAGAAGACGCCCTGGAGCTCACCGGACCAGTGTATTCTGGTGGTCGGCAGAACTCGCCCAGTTGCGGGTAGCTTGTGTAGCAGCTCGTCGAGGCTACACCAGGACTCGCAGAAGGCGACCAATTCGCATAGAAGAGGAAAAACAAGCATATAGCGTATACCGAGATGCAAAACTGGCGCTGCGAATAGGTATCGCCGAAGCAAAAAAGAAAGCATGGCAAGAACTGCTTGACACCCTGGAGCGGGATCCCTGGGGACGCCCGTATCAGATTGTCACAAACAAGCTGCGCTCGTGGGCCCCGCCACTCACGAAAAACATGGAGCCGGAACTGCTCAGCACAGTGGTGGCGGAACTTTTTCCTGAACGCGACGCCCTGAGCTCCCCACATGAGACGACTACGGAACACAGTGTCACAGTGTCTGAAGTATCTCCTTCGGAGCTGAAGACAGCAATAGCGCGCATGACCACTAAAAAAACTGCACCTGGTCCCGATGGCATGCACGGACGAGTGGTAGCTCTGGCCCTCGACGCTGGTCTTGACATGCGCTTTCGAGGCCTCCTCACGGAATGTCTTAGAAATGGCCTCTTTCCGTCAACATGGAAGACTGGGTTGCTAGTTCTTCTAAAAAAAGGTGGAAAACCTCCAGAGTCACCATCAGCGTATCGACCTATAGTTCTCCTAGATGAAGCCGGCAAGCTCTTCGAGCGTATTATTGCCGGTCGGATTTACAATCATTTGGAAACTATAGGACCAAACATACATGAGGCTCAATTCGGCTTCCGGAAACATAGGTCAACGATCGACGCAATTGCGCGCCTGCGAAGCGTCTGCGAGGAGCAGGTGTCACGGGGCAGAGTGGTTTTCGCGGTATCGTTAGACATCGCGAACGCTTTCAATTCCTTACCATGGGACTGTATCGCGGACGGCCTGCGCCACCACGGCTTACCGGCCTATATAAGAAAATGTGTAGCATCGTACCTCAACGGCCGCCGGGTTATCTTCCCGAAACAAAATGGCATAGGGAGTCACCTCATCAAGTGCGGCGTCCCACAAGGTTCGGTTCTTGGCCCCCTTCTTTGGAACATAGGTTACGATAGGGTGCTGCGAGCGAAACTACTCCCTGGAGTGTCAACTATATGCTATGCAGACGACACCCTCGTGGTCGCTATTGGAGAAAATTTTAAGGAAGCGCGCCTCCGAGCGACAGCTGGAGTAGCTAGGGTGGTTTCTGAAATCAAAAAGCTCGGCCTTGTTGTCGCCCTTCAGAAATCAGAAGCTATATATGCTTCTACGGCCACAGAAAAGCTCCACCTCAAGACGCAGACATCATTGTCGGCGGAGTAGCTATCCGGGTCGGTACCACGCTCAAATACCTTGGGCTGATTCTTGACCCACGGTGGACTTTCAGACCACACTTCGTGGCACTTGCCCCTAAGCTCACCGCCACCGCAAACATGCTCTCGCGCATAATGCCAAACCTCGGCGGGCCGAGTGGGGGGTGTCGCCTCTTATACGCTAATGCGATCCGGGCAAAAGCACTGTACGGGTGTCCCATATGGGCCGACAAACTGACCGGGTACAATCGCGCAATACTCAGGCAGTCGCAGCGAGTGGTCGCTGCCAGGGTTGCGAGGGCGTACCGCACTGTGTCTTATGACGCAGTGTGTGTTATAGCCGGTACCGCGCCATGGCACCTCGATGCGGCTGCTTTTAGCGAAGTATATTGGAGGAGGGCCGAAGCTCGGGATAAAGGGGATAACCCCACACTGGAAAAATTAAACGCGTGGCGAGCCTTAGAAGACCAGCAATTGTTAGTAGAGTGGGAAAGCGAGCTGGCGGGTGCGAGTGCCGGTAAATATACTACCGAAGCCCTCAGACCTTTGCTTCAACTTTGGGTAAAGAGGCGCTGGGGTCACCTGAGCTATCGACTTGTGCAGATGCTGTCCGGACACGGATGCTTTGGTAGTTATCTGCACAAAGTAGTAGGGTGTGAGGAGTCACCAACCTGTCACCACTGTGTCGGAGACAACCGGGACGACGCCCTGCATACACTGAGGGACTGCCCAGCATGGGAAGTGGAAAGGAGACCTTTGTTAGATGCTCTCCAGGGCGAGGACGCAATACTGCCAAACGTAGTGAAAGCCATATTGAGCGCAGGAAATGACGGCTCGTGGAAAATCTTCGATAATTTCTGCGAGTCGGTCATGAAAGTCAAAGAAGAAGCTGGAAGAACCAGGGAGCTTTGTCCCGGAACCCGTCCGCGGCGGCGAAAGAAACCGCAGGCCCGTCAAATCCTCGCCACCTAAAGAGTGCCCAAGCGGGGAAGCAGGGGTCCATGCGTTCAATAGAAGGGATGGTGATCCATCCCTGCAAGCACTGGACCCGATCTCCCCTAGCTATTCCTAAAAGCGTATGGCCCGATCTGTGAAGGATACTTGCTGTGTCAAGTATCTTCACAAATCAACAATGGGCGGGGAGAGGCGGACACAACTGCCGCATCGCATGTCGGGAAGCGGATAAGGCTCTGCTGTTACCGCATCCCGCCTAAGGCGATTGTTGGTGGCACCTTGGGGTTTTAGTGGGTATGCACATTCGCGAGTCCCAAATAACCCTCCCGCACTAAGCAGTCGCACCGCGGTAGGGTATGCGCAAGGCATTTCCCCAAGTAAAAAAAAAAAAAAAAAAAATCGTCAATGCAGACGCTTCATTCTCAAGTTCTAGTAAAAAAAAACAAAATGTTAATGTTTAGTCAGCTATTGAAGCTTAAGGTGGGAACTGACCAAAGTTACGAGGTGTAATGTAGCATTCGCATCGAGCGTGTTACACATCGAACATGTTACGCTGTGTTCTAAAATCGGCGTAACATGCTCGTCAAAACTCTGTGCTCCGCTTTCTCCGCCAGTGTTCACGAGATGGCCAACAGTGAGGACGTGTTGATATCTTTCATTCTATTTAATTATTGTTTCATCCAAATTAAAAAGAAGAAGAAAAAATGTTACTGGACATCAAACTTATTTAAAAACTGTGTTTTGAACGTATGAGGTGGTTTGTTATTGATTGCAATATTAAAAAACCGAATGATTACTGGACAGTTTAAAACCTTTGTACGCATGTCTCGATTTTGAAGAACTGTTGAATTTAATTGGACCAAAAGTACTTGCGACGTGCGACGCGTACTGACTGAACCGCGTAACAGTCAAAGGATTCGCTGAAAAACCGACCGCCGGGTGGAGCACTCAAAGCGAGCAACGAGCGGCTCGCTGGTTTCCCCGTAACACGACGTACTGACTGCACGAATGTTCGCTGTGTAACGTGTTAAATTACACCTCGTAACGTTGGTCATTACCCACCTTTAAAGGTGCTCCACCCGGCTGTCGGTTTTTTGGCGAATCCTTAGACTGTTCGCGGTTCAGTCAGTACGCGTCGCACGTCGCGAGTGATCATGATTATGATTGTCTATAAATTGTGTCTTTTTTAAGTACTTTTGGTCCAATTAAATTCAACAGTTCTTCAAAATCGATCGGAGACATGCGTACAAAGTTTTTATACTGTCCAGTAATCATTTGTTTTTTTTTTTAAATTGCTAACAATGACAAACCACCACATACGCCTGTGTTTTTAAATAAGTTTGATGTCCAGTTACGTTTTTTCTTTTTCTTAATTTGGATGAAACAATAATTAAGTAGAATCAAAGATACCAACGCGTCCTCGCTGTCGGCCATCCCGTGAACACTGGCGGCGAAAGTGGAGCACAGAGTTTTGACGAGCATGTTACGCCGATTTTAAAACACAGCGTAACACGCTCGATGCGTACACGCTCGATGCGAATGCTACATTACACCTCGTAACTTTGGTCAGTTCCCACCTTAACAATTTCACATTCACACGAGTTACATCGCTATTACTGAAAATAATACCGTGGGACCAATTACGAGAGGCCTGGGAAGGCTTCCGGAGAAAAGAAGTCCTATCGTAGCGCCTAACGATAGGTACAAGTAGCGGCACGAAACTCTAGCGCTGACCGTTATTGCGCAGAAGTAAAAAATAAGGTACCTGAGGGGGGCTAGCGGAATGAACAGCGGGCGCGCGTAGCGTCGATTGGCTCTCCAGTCGCATTACGTCCCCCGCACCGATACGACGCCCCGCGCACATCCCGTGTACAGTCGCGTCATTAATATTATTGTTACTGTTGTTACGTTTTGTTGTTTTTTGTTACGTTTGAATTTGTTAGTGTTTTATTGTTTGTTATTTGTTTTTAAGTTTGTTTGTGACTTTAAAGTGAAGCCTAGAACAAATACTATTTTGAAAAGACAAGCCAGGAAAATGGTTTATGACGTGAATTGTTTTTGAAGTGAAACTTTTTTATCGAGGTTGGAAAAAAATTTAGTGTAACATTTTTTCGTTACGCGTCACATTTTTCGGTTACGCGCCATGTTGCTTTTTGAAGTCAAACTTCTTTATCGGCGTTGGAATGAAACTTCTTTATCGACGTATGGGAGAAATTTTGTAGCAAATCGTCACGTTTTTCAATGATAATAATAATTCTATTACAATTAATGAAATTCTATAATAAGGGCTAGAAATGGTGGCCCTAGAGATCCATCGCAGAGCATTAACTCGTCATTAAATGACTCGCACAATTCAATTAACGGGTTGGGTGCGATAATAGTGCGTTGGAATCTGATGATACTGATTATGCAGGAGTCCTCGGGGACCTTGATTGGAACACCTCCAAGTAATTTTAGCTGCCGGAAATGCGTCAAAGTATTTTTAAATTTTTTTTAAAGTTTTGTGAAATGTATTGAAATTTGTAAACAATCCACCATTATCTACTTTTCTATTGGTTATAAGTGATGTGACATTCTCGGTAAATTAATCGGATCGATTATTTTCTCATTTGTTAATTTTATAGTTGAACCTAATTTAATCATTACTTGTCAAATGTACATACATTACATTAACTTCATGTTTCAATTAGTGTATGGTTCCGAAAATTTTTAAATTATTCAAAAAGTACCCAAAACCGAATCAGAGCACCCCACTATCCACGTGGTCTTGTCTGCCTTACCCCTAGAGTGTATATAAATAATCGGAGGCGCGGAGGAAAAGCAGCCCCCACCCGCTGTAACAAAGCACTGCCTAAACTTCCTGTGCTTTGGTACGCAAGGGTGGAGGGGCTGCATTTCCCGTAGCGCCGGAGCTGTCCAAAAAAACTAGTATTATTTAGATCGGTTAGGTTAGGTTAGTATATGAATATTTGGTCGCCGAAGGCGACCAAGAAGCCGAGTTGCCGAGGGCTGAATAAACAATTATTATTTAGATCGAAGCTGTCCAAAAAAACAAATATTATTTAGATCGGTTAGGTTAGGTTAGTATATGAATATTTGGTCGCCGAAGGCGACCAAGAAGCCGAGTTGCCGAGGGCTGAATAAACAATTATTATTTAGATCGAAGCTGTCCAAAAAAACTAATATTATTTAGATCGGTTAGGTTAGGTTAGTATATGAATATTTGGTCGCCGAAGGCGACCAAGAAGCCGAGTTGCCGAGGGCTGAATAAACAATTATTATTTAGATCGAAGCTGTCCAAAAAACTAATATTATTTAGATCGGTTGGGTTAGGTTAGTATATGAATATTTGGTCGCCGAAGGCGACCAAGAAGCCGAGTTGCCGAGGGCTGAATAAACAATTATTATTTAGATCGGAGCTGTCCAAAAAAACTAATATTATTTAGATCGGTTAGGTTAGGTTAGTATATGTATATTTGGAGTAGATAAATAGGTGAGATTTTTAAAAAAAATTTTTTGTTTCCGGCGCGCAAAATTTGAAGGGGTGATTACTACACCCCTCCCCCTTCCTCGCCACCCCAGCAACCCCAAATTTGGGCGCATCGTTATCGAATCGTTACCCAATTAACTCCAATTGTGAGTCAAACAATAAAGACCCACTTTATCGAAGCATCAGTGAGGGTAGTGTGGTTCGCGAAAACATGCATTCGTCGATTATGTCGGCCGAGACCGGTATTATGACTCATACCATGACGACAGGGGCGACGGTGAATGCGGAGGCTTCAGCGGAGACAAGCGTAACTCAACAAATGAGCTCTGGACAACTGATCGAGACGGTTTTTCCAGTTGATAATATCGAGCCCACGGATGGTGCGTGGCAAACCGTTACGAGACGTAAAACAAAATGTAAACAACGTTTTGCAGGAATGACGGGTCAAGCCAGTGACGGTGTTAATTTCAAGGCGGCGGAAAGGTTTATACCTATTTTTATAAGCAATGTACATAAAGATACGGTTGAATCGGATATCATAGATTATGTTCTCAAGAAAACTCAAGTGAATATATCGCTAAAAAAAATATCAATTAAAAGACATAACAACCATTTAGCGTACAAGTTCATGATACCTGAGGACAATTTGTCATTATTTTTAGATGATAAACTCTGGCCTAAAGGAATTATTTTTAGGCGCTTTGTACATTATAAAAATCGCCATATTAAAAATGAAACAAATATGAATTCCGGCCTTGTAAATGTAAACAATGGATAACGGCGTATACGCAATGACAACATTTAATTGTAAAAATATTAAACGATCCTTAGAGTGTATCAGGGATTTATGTCGTCACTCAGACATCATAGCTCTTCAGGAAACATGGTTGCTACCGAGCGAAATCTCATATCTTGGCAGTATTGAGGCGGACTTCGGGTACACGGGAACATCAGCGATGGACACATCAGAGGGAATGCTGCGGGGGAGGCCCTATGGAGGGGTGGCCCTGCTGTGGAGGAGGAGTGTGTTCAATAATGTGATAGTGTTACCGTGTAATAATTCTCGAGTTTGTGCAATAAAAATAATAACGAGTGATCGACCCATAATCGTAGTGTGTGTGTACATGCCTACGGACTCGCAGGACAACTTGCCAGTGTTTACGGACTGTCTAAGTGTGGTGAGTGCTATTGTTGATGAGTATGGCATAGAATCTGTTTACATACTAGGGGATTTTAATGCGCATCCGTACTCGATATTTTACTATGAACTTTTAAATTATTGTTATGATCAAAGGTGGTCATGTATAGATGTTGAGTTGCTCGGACCGCACTCTGACACTTATACTTTTGTTAGTGAGGCTCACGGATCACGGAGGTGGCTCGATCATTGTTTAGTGACAGACGCGGCTCGCCATTCAATATCAAAAGTGTATATTATGTATGATGTGTTGTGGTCAGATCATTACCCGCTTATACTTCATTTTAATATTAAGATTATTAGTAAAAAGTTGTCCTCTATACAAAGTAACTCTGTAAACAATAACGTACGTTGGGGTCAAAGATCCGAGGAAGAAATATTGTTATATCAAAGTGAATGTAACAAGAGGTTAAAATCAATAGATTTTACAGAGATATTTACGGATTGCGCAGGTTGTTATTGTGATAGACCTAATCATCAAGGTGCAATTGATATATTATATAACAATATTGTTATTTCTCTTAGTGAGGCAGCCGTGACTAGTCGGAAATACCCTAATAAAAATAAAATTAATGATAGAAATCAAAATATTATAGGTTGGAACAAACATGTGAAGCCGGCGCACTCGGAAGCGAGGCTGAGGTTTAGGATTTGGTTACTTCATGGGAAACCAGAATCAGGGAGGGTTTATAATGACATGTGTGAAAGCAGAAAAATATTTAAATCACGACTAAAATGGTGTCAAAACCATCAAGATTTAATAAAAATGGAAAAACTAGCCACTTGTCATGATAAAAAGATTTCGTTTCGTTTTGGAAAGAAACAAAGAGGCTGACGCCGAGGCCGGGACTCCCAGTCAGCGTCGGAGGGTTAAGTGACTCGAAAGAAATTGCTGATTTTTTCCGAGACAACTTCTATATATCATCCTCGCTGAGACCGTCGCGAAACGAACTCAGTGCTGTACCCATTGGTGATAGGGTTAATACTCAATTTAGCGCCAAACATGTAAGAAGCGTTATAAGTTCTATGTCAAGAGGAAAGTCCCCTGGTCATGATGGGTTAAGCATCGAGCATATACGGTACGCTGGTTCTCATATATATAGGTTATTAGCCATGCTATACTCGTTGTGTATAAGTCATGCATATCTACCCTATGATCTTATGCGAACATTAGTTATACCGGTTGTAAAAAACAAGACAGGAGATTTGGCGGATGGTTCAAACTACAGGCCTATATCGCTGGCGACTATTATGGCTAGGGTGTTGGACGGTTTGCTTAATACTCAGTTAAATAAATATCTACATTTGCACGATAACCAGTTTGGGTTTCGACCCAAGCTGTCTACAGATGGTGCTATACTGAGTCTTAAGCACACCGTTTCATACTATCTGCGTCGGAGGACGGCGGTATATGCCTGTTTCCTTGATCTTTCCAAGGCATTTGATTTGGTTTGCTACGATCTACTTTGGAAGAAGCTAGAGGATATAAGTGTTCCTCAAGAACTTCTGAACGTATTTAAGTTTTGGTATGGTAACCAAATCAATAATGTTAAATGGATGGGTGCCTTGTCTAAGCCCTATACGATGCAGTGTGGAGTAAGACAAGGTGGACTGAGCTCTCCATCTCTCTTTAATTTATATATAAACGCTTTGATTGAGACGCTTAGCAGCGAGCGTGTCGGCTGTCACGTGGACGGTGTGTGCGTTAACAATATCAGCTACGCAGACGATATGGTGCTGCTGAGTGCGTCGGTCTGCGGGGTTAGACGTCTCCTTAAGCTCTGTGAGGTATATGCGGCTAGTCATGGTTTGAAATATAATGTAAATAAAAGTGAAGTCATGGTCTCTGGGGCCGGTTGGAAGGGTGTGTCCAGTATACCCCCATGTCGCTATATGGGGTCCCTTTAAAAATTGTAAAAACATTTAAATATCTTGGACACATTTTGACACCCGACCTCAGGGACGATGCTGATATAGATAGGGAACGGAGAGCGTTGTGTGTCAGGGCGAACATGATCGCCCGCAGGTTTGCACGATGCTCAATTGATGTGAAAGTAACCTTGTTTAGAGCATTCTGCACATCATTCTATACGAGCGCCTTATGGTCGAAATATACTCGATTGTCATACAACGCTTTCCGTATCCAATATAATAATGCGTTCAGGGTGCTGTTGCGGCTGCCTCGATTCTGCAGCGCATCGGGGATGTTTGCTGAGGCGCGGGTGGATTGTTTTTACGCCACCATACGCAAGAGATGTGCATCCTTGGTGCGCAGGGTGAGAGCTAGCGGTAACGGTATCCTCCGCATTATCGCGGACCGAGTCGATTGCCCATACCTGAATCACTGTTCCTCTATTTCATGCGGAATGATTCCGGTATGAATTAATGTAAACATACTAACACTTAGATTTAAGGTATTAAGCTGTAATTTACTAACATTGTTATGGAACCTTGTTTTCTGAATTAAACAATTAAAAAAAAATAATAATCTTCGTAGTAATAAGGTAAAATGAAATATTTGTATTCATGTCTATGATAATAAAAGCCTTTTGTTAAACTTTATCTAATTTAACGAATTTCTGTAAAGTTGCATATACTAGATCATTTTTCGAAAAATAAGATCTTATTTCTTAGTTTCACTTCTTACGTGTGTACACCTAGTACACGCACAATTTTTTTAAAAAGGGAATCTAACGAATTAATTGATTCTTTGTAACAAATCCAAAGTGAGATTGACGAAGCTACAAATACTTTGTTCAGTCATTCGGACAGCAACAGTGTAAATTTGAGCCAGATAAAACAAATTGCCGCAATCATTAAGGCAGGAAACATAAAATTTAATAGTATAATCAGCGAATTAGATAAAATCCAAAAAAGGACAGCAGAGTCAACAAAAACGTCAATTGCAACGGTAAGAAACATCTCCAATCAAGCCAAAAGTTCTGATTTGATCACAGTGTTCAGAACACCTGGCAAAAAACGTTCCAGAACAAAACCGGTCACAAATATCGATAACTTCGACCAAGGAGTAATAAAGAGAACCATTCATAACTTTCACAAGACAAATAATGAACTTCCTACCATCGGAAAGCTTAAAAAGCAGCTAGAAGATGACATAAATTTCAAAGGTTCAGAACGAAGTCTTCGGCGAATAGTTAAGAGTTTGGGATTTCGGTGGAAAAACACCGAAAACAACCGGAAAGTGCTGATTGAGACTTCTAATATACGTTTGCAACGTATCGAATATTTAAGGATAATAAAGCAATATCGCCAAGAGGGAAAGCCTATTGTTTATACAGACGAATCTTACGTAGATTCATCGCACTCTTCTTCAAAAGCCTGGACCGATGGTACTACTAAGGGGCTTAAGAAACCTATTTCGAAAGGACAGCCAGTTGTCATTGTCCACGCAGGGTCTGATACTGGGTTTATACCTAATGCGTTGCTGACTTTTAAAGCTGGTACCAAATCAGGCGACTACCACGACAATATGAATTTTGAAAACTACGAAAAATGGCTCCGAACCCAATTAATGCCCAACCTACAACCCAGTTCCGTCGTGGTAGTCGACAACGCGTCCTATCATAATAAGCAGTGGGATCGCGCACCAACCTCTAATTCTAAAAAAGCTGACATGCAGGCCTGGCTCACTGAAAAAGGTATACAGTACGAGGAAACACATTTGAAACCTCAGTTATACAATTTAATAAAGATCAACAAAGATAAATTTAAAACATTTTCGATTGATCGAATCCTAGCTGAACGAGGTCATCAGGTACTGAGACTACCACCATACCACCCCGACCTAAATCCGATTGAAATGGCATGGTCGGATATTAAACAATATGTAGGCAGCAAAAATATAAAATGGAGTGTCAGTAGACCTAATACAAGAAAAGGTTTTACTAATGGATAGGTACATGGGATTGGCAAAAGTTGTGTAAAAAGGTGAAGGATATAGAAGAGCAATATGCAAAGAGTGATCATGTCGTGGATTTGGTATCAGAACAATTCATTATTCATGTCGATGGAGATAGTTCCGAGGATAGCAATGTAGATGACGCTAGTGCCGACGAACGAAGCAGTCCTGAGCCCGGGCCCTAGGTAAGCAAAAGGCCTTGTCGCGAGACCATTGAAGGCGTGATACCGTTCTCTGATTCAGATTAATAAAAGATTACAAATTAAAAGATAATGTTTTTATTTTTCTACATCCCATTAACTTGTTAAAATATCTTAGGTCTTTTTTGGAAATACGTTCTATGTACAGACACTTTTTTACTGTCTTATTATAGTAATCGACAGTAATCATGCGCAGCAGCTATCCTTCACATTTCGTTCAGCTTAATATCGTTATTTAGGTAATCATTAATCAAAGTGGCATATAATGTATTGCGTGCGCGACAGTACACATGCGCAGCAATCCCCTCCACGTATCGGCCAGCGCTAGACTTACGTGCCGCTGCCTATACAATTTGTATTTGTAAATTAGAAACTTTTAAAAGCCCTTCTGCCTGGGTCTCGAATCTAATTGGCACAGGCGGTAGGATCGTGAGCGCGATTCACTCGGCTGTCGGTTTTTTGGCGAATCCCTTTGAATATTACATAACAAGTCAGTCGCCAGCACCTCTACGTCCGCCATTTTGAATGTAACTGTGGATGGGATGGAGCACAGGCGAACAAATACAAATATTCATGCGTATATTCACATCGACTGAAAATTCGATGTCAGTCTCGCCACCTTTACAGTTTTTCAAACGAAGACTTGCTCATCCGCAAATAAATAATTAAAGAACTTGTCATCACATTGCTTAAGGTCGGTGAAATATGTATGAAATAATCCCGTTGTAAATCTTTCACGTAATGGATGAACCCAATATTGTTTCTTTTTGTGTTTTCGCTTCTTTCTTGAGCGATACACAAGCACTGCTACTTCCTCAACGTCCCTTTTGAAGCGCGCTGTATTTGCACTGACGAATATAGCTTGCCCATAAACCATGAAGATGATGCACTTACGCCAGAGAAGGATTTACTGATAACATCATTCGGCAAATACGAAATCAACTCGACTTCGTAAACCTTTCTGGCTGGGTCACGAATTTACCTCACGGCTAGACAATTTTTTAAATATTTTGATAAGTCAGACATGTTAAAAAAACTGAAAATAATGTGAGGAAAAAAGAATTTAAAACAAACAAACCTTTCCTGAGTAATATTAGTATAGGAGAATAAAACATAAAATGATTGAGATATTTTATTGTCATTCACAGGTGCACCCTATCATGCTACAGACTACGACTTAAAAATATGTATTGACTGGAGGTGTAGGGATATTCTTGGAAATTCTCACTACAATAGAAATATATGTCGAGGTTCCAAAAAGTGCTGAGACAACATTAGTTGCTCTTGATTAAATTTCTAGGAATCAGCATAAAGCGTGAACCCTTGATGATATCAACAATGATCCATAAACTTTTGCAGGGGTATTTATCTGAGAATTCCAAGAAGTAGGAAATAACAATGTATGTTCGTTTTACAGCGGTACTGAGGCGTTCATTAAGAGTGAAAAGTAAAAACTTAACGAACCATAGATCACTGCTCTTACTAACAGGGCATTATATTTTAGGTTTCCTTTAACTTAGGTTCATTTAACTTAATGGACGACTCCGTACCTCCATTAGCAACTACACATTACATAAAATTGCAGGTTCGTTAGGAATAAATAAAGAGTATTATAGTTTATCTATACAATAACAAGTCAACATATAAGGAATATCTAAGCTCATCTACACTTGGAATGTAATTGGGTTTTCCGTAATCAAGTAATTTTTACTTTACAGAGACCTTACTAAGCTAGGCGTTAATTCTTATGTTAATAATAAATAATATACGTCTAAATAAATAGGAAATACTAAATTATAGTTCCGTAGACGACGCTACAGTACAGAAAGAACGACTGATGCTTCAACGTTCAAACATTTCTTTACCGTTTTTTCAAATGTACGGTTTTATAGATATCAATGTTTTAGTTTTATTTTTGGCAAGAGCACAGGTTAAGGCAAGAAAGAAAAATTGTTAGGTACTAGTTAATTTTAAACTAGATTCGAGATTGGTCTAAGTCAATTCGTAAATTTATTATTATTTTATATATTATTTAATAAATATTCATTTGTGCTTCGGGTAACAACTCACAACCGAATGTAATAGAATATTTATAAATATTCGATTGGAAGTCACGACATAATACGATTAGTATGGTAGTCACAGCAATTTTGATTAAAAAGAGGGTAGGCAATATTTTAAGTGAGAAAGGTAGCGTTGAACTACTACTTTTATTAGCATTTAAAATTTCTTATTTAAATTTATTTGAAAACATCTAATTTGGGTTGAGATATTCAAATGCTTGTTTGGGTTAGCGACAAAATGTTCGTTAAATGGTCCCTTTCATTGAAAAATAATTAGCGTAGTATAAGAAATATTTTATCATACAAATCGTATATTATTAAGCTATTGCATAGCTTTTATCGCGGGCTTTGAGCGCAGCGACCGAATCAAGAAATTCCGTAACGAAAATAAACCTAACACACGATGACGTAATGAAAATACGCGTTAGAGCGGGACAGACTATATAGGCGTGTTAGTCTGAGTCTGGTAGATTGAATTAATATCAAAATATTATAAATATAATTGCATAAGTTGATAAAAAATGCTATGCAATAGCTTTACCGCGGCAGTCTCCGAGTGCCACACGTATTTTATTATTACTCGTTGAGGTAATAATAATTGTACCAAAGATATTGAAGCTGGAGGATGACAGCGGGTTCTAAGCGACCTATTTAAAGGTTGGAGTCCGTATCACCATTGGAGGGTTCTATGACTGAGTCAAGGATTAACGGATTTGGGGCACAATTTAAGTACAAAGATAGTTCAATTAAATCGATATGTTTAAGTGTATTTACATTAAGTACGCATTCATCACATTAAAGTAAAATGTTCGACACAAGTATACATTTGTGGCCGATCTCGATAAAGAAATCATTCAAAATATTATATTAACAATATCATGAGAAACGGATCTTAATTCTCTGACCTGACGAAGTTATCTCGATATTTGTAGAAGTCACCCCCAAATGTATACAGGCCTCGAACGAGATATGTGAATTATAAATAACTAAATTATTTACAGCGAAATAGAAACATTCAGTCTTAGTTTTAAAATCTATTCAAGTTATCCGTCTTTTCAAAGTTTGTTAGTTTAATATGATCAAGCCGGACTCTTTATTTCACTTTTGATACCAGAAAATCTCATCACACGTGTACAGGCAAGAATGGCCACGAGACAAATTGTTCCTTTACAAAGTAGTTCATTCAATCGATTAACTTTTAAATTAGATTACCATAATCGAATTCTTTAGTAATTGGAATATAAAAAGGGGTGCCTATTTAAACTTTATCGCCTATAATTATAATTCATCCTATATGACTTTCATGGTCGCTTCTGGAATATTTGAGAGTTTTCTTTCACATCGAGATTCGTATCCAAACTATCAAACTACAGCCGATCTTAAATTAATTTTTTTTTGTTTCTGAAATCTGTTTTTTTTTGAAGTAAAAACTTCTTTAGCGGCGTTGTACACTTTTTTGGGATGGGTAAAAATGTTAAACTCGCGTCAGGACAAATTTATAAGATGGATGTTTTTTTAAGGATTATGAACCTTCGTGCTATATAGTTACGGTTTTGATTCATTTGTCTCTTTCCTCAGATACATTGATGCATGTGGAATTGGACCTTAAGTCAGTACATCAAGGTTTAATTTTGCGAAACTTCTAAATCTTTATTATTAAAGATTTGGTCAGACTGACGAAGGATGAAGAGTAGACAGCTGGCGCGGCGTATTTAATGTAATATAAAGTGGCATGTTTGTGTACGATAGCGCAATAAAAAAATATTGTATTCTACCACATAAATGATAGTACTTTTATACTGATAATTAAAGCAATTCTTGTAAAGTTATTCCCTAACCATTCCAAAATATCAAAAATGCACAACGTTAATATTCAAGTTTTCACTTCTGCCGGCACTCCCGGAGTGCAACCCGTAGTTTTTTTTTAAATTTTAGTTCAATTTCGACCAATCCAGAATATAAGCGGGGTCAAATAGTTCAATTATGTGCAGCCCGTTTTCCTTGCATATATCCTTCCCAGCGTTTCGCCGTGTTTATCAAAATCGGATCTGGGTCCAATCCTGCCAGAAGATACAACTGGTTGACGTGAGTCGCGTGATAGTCCCACCTGGCGATGTTGGGACTCACGCCTAAAGTGAAATGGCGCAAATCGTAGAAGCTCCCGCTGCCCGTGTCGAAGATGGGTAGCAGGGTTTTGAGGGAAAGCATACCGTCGTCGAACATCTTCTTGGCGAGTGAGATGGAGTTGTCTCCTTCGATCACGTGCAAGTCGTAGAGCCCGAGGAGGGTGTAGATGAAGCCGTTCAGCACGAACAGGGGTGGCTTCGTCGGGTATTCCTCGTACCTGAAAGGTAAAGGTAAACGTCTGTAATTAATAAACCGGGTTTTCCATTTAAATATACACACGAAAATGTAAGTGCGTGCTCCTATTTCACCATGCCACCTGCTGATAGAGGACAAATTATTTATTACTTAAGATGTCATGTGGAACATGGTGTAATGGTTGCAGCTCCTTACAAACGTGTAAAACAAAAAACCTGGCGAGTAAAAAGAGCGGCGGAGAGTTTATTGCTGGTTCTTCTCTTCCGCTCTACGCCCTTGAACTGGCCGTAAATGTAAAGTTGTTCGGTCTAATACCTGCAGCTGAGTTTCATCATCGGACGTCAAGGCAAAATACCATCCGTATCACCTCGACGTCCGTCGTTCCACTACTGGCCGTTTTCTAAGGCAGTTTTTGCCGCGCACCACCACTATGTGGAACCAGCTGCCCACAGAAGTATTTCCGAACCAATTCGACTTAGGGTCCTTCAAGAAAAGAGCGTACCAATTCTTGAAAGGCCGGCAACGCACTTGCGAGCCTTCTGGCATTGTGAGTGCCCATGGGCGGCGGTATCACTTAACATCAGGTGAGCCTCCTGCCCGTTTGCCTCCTATTACATAAAAATTAAAAAATAGAAGCATTTAATATGTATTTCTTTTTTGACGTTCATACATGTACATTGTGTTACCTATATGAATAAATGATTTTTTTGACTTTTGACAATAGGCCATTTGTCGGGCGGCACTGGGAGCTTACCAAACATATTTGTCCATCCACATGGCTTTGACTCCGCCAGCCGAGCTGGGCACGTCCAAGAGGTGCAGGGCGCGTTGGGCGGCTCGTAGATACGACACGTCTTTGCTGCGATGGAAGGCTCGGGCCAGCACCGAGATGCCGTGTCCTTGGCTCATTGCCGAGTGCCTGAAAGTTTTTTTACACTATTTATTTTGACACCAATACGATAAGGAAAATACACCAATTTACGATTAGCTATTCTAAATAATGGAAGTAGTGTTGAAGAAAGGAAGACGTATTCAAAATTGCTAAACCTACTATTTTATTATACAAAAGATGGACTTGTGATTGCAATTTATTACGTGTACCTGTAGTACTTAATAATATCGAAATAATTATATTATACACAAAAGCCAAAAATGGAATACACATTCAAACTTAAACCACAGTAAACAATGATTACCTACTTAGACATACAAAAAATATACATATAATAAATTGTAAGATAATGCAATCATCATTATAATAATTGAATGTAAAAGAAGAATAACAAAACTATTATATTTATATCTAATAAAGCTTTTATTATATTTGGTGATAAACGTGTTATTATCTGAAGAATCTGAATATAGGATACATGACTGACATTTCGAAATAGTTTGTGTTAGACCGAGGAAATAGTTTGTTTTGTATGGGGAAGGGGTGTGAAATATTAAAAGAAACAATAAGTCAAGACAGTCAATTAAACCGTTGCAAATAGCGTGTTAAATCATCAGTTATGTCTACATTTTCTACGCAATGCTGTGATTTTACCAAGATAACGACGTTTTTACGGAATAATGGTTCTTTTACTCATTGAGCCATTAATTTGATTTCACGTAAACGTCATGCGCTTGACCCAGTTAACAAAATGCAGGCGCCGGCGCCGAAACTAGCGCACTAATAAATAAGGTTTTACGATGCGCGTGCGACATAATGGCCGAGTAATTGCTTGTGGTACCGACAGCTGAGTGGCAGGTCAAGTGGCACTTACGATTAACGAAGCAATGTTTAGATGTTTAATTGCTATTTTTTTTTTAGTTAATTACTTAAAGATGTCATGTGGAACATGGTGTAATAGTTGCAGCTCCTTACAAACATTTTGTAAACCAGAAAACTTGACGGTTAAAACGAGTAGCGGAGAGTTTATTGTCAGTTCTTCTCTTCCGTTCTACGTCTTTGATTTGAGAACTGGCAGTAACGAAATAGAACTAATTTGAGTGTACGACCAACCAGGCTCCAAAAGATAAACCACTCCTTATATGGAAATTGTATTCGTTTTTACAACAAACTCCCAAGCGAAATTAGAGAATTATCACTAAATAAATTCAAAGCCCTCGTTAAACGGAAATTAATCAATAAAGCTTTTTTATAAATTTGAGGAATATTTAAATGATCCTAATCCTTGGGATTGATTTGCTCCAGTTCAAACAATTTGTATGACAATACTTGGCGATTAAAAAGAGTGGCGGAAAGTTTCTTGCCAGTTCTTCTAACCCGCTCTACGCCCTTGACTTGCGAACTGGTAGTAAATGTAAATTTACAATTAATTTAACTTGACAATTCATAAGTGTAATTGTTTACCTACATGAATAAAGATCTTTTGAGTTTGAGTTTAACTGTAAAATTAAAAGCAATAGCAAATTGTGTTACCTAAATAAATTAATAATTTAGAACTTTTGAAATTATATAAAATAAATTAAGTATTCCATCTTTGGTAATTGTATTAGTGTAGTTGTTTTTTGTTACATATAATTTATGATAGCTGTAGGATTACGAATAAAAAAAATATACTCCTAAAATAAGAATACTGCCAGTTCTGAAATTAAGGGTGCAGAACGGACAGTGTTTTATTAGCAATATCTGCAATATCAGCCTAGGTGACCAAAATGGTCAAAATATCTCTGGTTATCGCGACATTTCTTTTTTCATGGGCGGCGGTATCACTTAACATCAGGTGAGCCCGTTTGCCTCCTATTACATAAAAAAAACATTTTAAATAAACACCTCTTATGTGTATCTACCCCACAGTACATGACCACGAAAACAACTCACCATCCAGCTCTGAGATCTGGCACACGCGATGCCACACGTCTCCTGGCTCGTACGGGCCATCCGCCGCGCGCTCGCTGCGTACTCACGAGCCAACGGGCGGCCGCAAAGAAATGCGCCATGTGCTCACTTGTCGATACACGAATGTTGGCCGCACTGCCCTCGCCCATCAGAATTATACTGGATATCTGCCGTTTTACATTTATATACATACATTGTAATTCATAAGAATAGAGAACAGAGCAGTGTTGGCCCAGTCGCTTCAGCGTGCGGCTCTCATCCTTGATGTTGAGAATCCATTCACCCGAACGGTGAAGGAAAACATCGTGAGGAAACCAGCTTGCCTTAGCCCAAAAAGTGGGCGTGTGTCGGGCACATGAGGCTGATCACCTACTGGCCTATTAGATTGTCAAATGATCATGAAACATACAGAAAACTGAGGCCCAACCCCTAAAAAGGTTGTAGCGCGACAGATTTTTTTGAAAATTGGTTTTAAATTGTTTGTCCGCTAAAATATAGTGCGTTCAATTTCTGTAATCCCTTCAAAGAAATCAGTCAAAATAGAAATCATATCCATTTTTTTTATAAAGTCAGATGTTAAACATTATAATTGATTTAAATATTAGGACTCATCTGTGCCTTTCGATCACAGCGTAAACACAATTCACCAGAAAGAGACGAAAGAGTACTTTTTGTGTAATTAACTTACCTTAAATTTATTTCTAGGAGATTTCCTCTTCGCCTTATCAAGGAGCGCCCAGCCTTTCTGCATGTCCGTGACTAGATCGCGGGTGAGTCGCCGCCACTTGTGTTCTACACCGATACCGTAATATATGTGGTCATCCTAAAAATCCCAGATTACATACAAAATTTCGTTCGTTGACATATTGGGTATTGGCTTATTTAACAGATTCCCGTAAAATGTATAATAATGATTATTTGCGTGAGACACTGTAGTTGATTTAAATTTAATAAAGTATGATATGATATGTACGATACAAATAATATAAGGATTGACTTTGACTAATAATGTTAAATATTTGTCAATAAAGGTATTTTATTAAAGACAAATTTGCGCGCCATTGTGTGTGGCAGAATTTGCAAACTTACGATTGTACCACGTTACACATTTTTGTACTTACCATATTCTTGCAATAAACAAATTATTATTATTATAAACAGGACATACCAATGCATAAATAAGCTGGAGACTGGTGACGTAATGCAAGTAGACGGTTTCTTTCTTATCTTTATTCTGCAAAACAACTGTCAAGGAGGAATTAGGTTTCAAGCGCAAATCCAGACTTAGCACAAAGTCCTGACTGATGTTAACCTTACACCACACTTGACTCGACGCCTGGTCAGACGTCGTAAACCTCAAAATATTCGATTTCAATTCCGTGTCGAATTCGCGGGATACAGTCGCATCTGTGCTAACGATCCAATTCCCCAAGTTTTTGTCTCCATCGTCGATTATCTTGACCCTCGGCTCGGGCTCCGTGAGATTCTTACTATAGTGTGCGAGACCGTACTGGGCTATCTGAGTCGGGTAGAAGAAACCTTTGGGCTCCCATTGAGTGGACACGGGCACTCCCTCTATGCCGCTGATGCATTTGACCCGGTCCCGCACTTCTACGTTATAGTTCTCGAAGGTCGCGAATGTGCCGCGGGGATCGTATATCTTTTTTTGGGTGATACACCTTGCTATAACTGTGCGACCATTCAAATCTCTCGACACCGTCCGCTGGCGTTATTTTGCCGTAAACCTAGAACAATAACAAAATAAACTATCAGATATTAAAGTTTACAAACTCTGGTATAGAAAGGGAAATAATTCTGCTGTTATAAAAGTGCGAACCAAGTCCAGAAAATATGGCCGAGTCTGACTAAGACGATGTTAATGAGATATTTTGCAATTATGACTAATATATATGTAGTTAAATATAAAAACAAGAGCAGTGATGGCCTAGTGGCTTCAGCGGGCGACTCTTATCACTGAGGTCGTAGGTTCGATCCCCAGCCGTGCACCAATGGACTTTCTTTCTGTGTGCGCATTTAACATTCGCTCGAACGGTGAAGGAAAACATCGTGAGGAAACCGACATGTCTTAGACCCAAAAAGTCGACGACGTGTGTCAGGCACTGGAGGCTGATCACCTACTTGCCTGTTAGATTGAAAAATGATCATGAAACAGATTCAGAAATCTGAGGCCCAGATCTAAAGAGGTTGTAGCGCCACTGGTTTATTTTTTTAATATAAAATACACAACGCCACTTCTTGAGAAATCCGCTACATTATCTTTTGACATGTCTGTTATCGTGTCATACTGACTTAAATAGACAATATATTTTTTAAATTATTTGTATTATTATGGCGCTTCTAAACGGGCCATGTTTTGCTGCAATTGATGGCTGCACTGTTGGCAACTAATTGTCCGGCCATTAGAAAAATATTTTAATGCAGCTGATGCCCGAACAATCTATGGCTGGGCAATGTGTTGCAATATGTCTGCAATAGTATGGCCCACGATGCAGACTCCTAAACGGGCTACACTATCCGGCAACAATGGCTGACGAAATCACACTTGTCGCAGCAGCTGATATTGTTTTAAAAAAGAAACAGAAAAAGAGGAGATTGTGGATTCGACGTTACTTAACTAGGCGTGAAACTGTAGACAATTTGAGTCTAGAAATAAGTCTTGATAATAAATTATTCAAGAACTAGAATGTCAAAAGCAGTCATTTTTACGTAGTAATCTAACGTCAAATACAGCTGATCGCAAAACACAGAATATAGCAACAGGCACACTTCACTCATAGCAAACGTCATGTCGCGTAGAAAAGGATACACTGTACCATAACAAAGAGAGTGACTGAAACAACAATAGAACTGGCTGTGCAATATTGCAGTTGAATTCGATAGCCTAGCGATCGTCCGGCAACCCATCAGGGCAACATCAGCCATATGTGGCTATACAAAACAAGTTTGGCTATATGGCCGGGACATTACTGCAATATTGCATAGTGTGGCTGCTATTGTTTGCAATGTTGCCGGGCCAAAGTGTTGCAGCCATCAATTGCAGCAAAACATGGACCGTTTAGAAGCGCCATTACATTCATGCAATCTCGACAACAATTCTACTGATTGGCCACTCTCCCAAATGTTTAAAAGCTCGCCGCAAGAGTCATAAAGGACTGCACTTGTTTAGCCACAGTTCACTCAACTTTGCTAAAGGATTTTTACTATCATCACATTGATACAATATCTGGTTAATTAAGGAAATCGTAATCTTAAATTTGTTGATTAAATAGTTTATCAGGTTACGCTCGCATCCCATAATTCAATACAATACTTCGGCATGAGATGGCTGAGATTCTGTTATCATAATGGTATATTGTAGTGAAATAAATTTTCAAACGCCACTATGCAATCTCTGTACTGTGGAAGAGTTAATAATGAAGCAACTATTTGGCAACGTTTACTTTAGCTAATTACGTGACGCGATGCAGATCCGTATAGAAGATAATTAGTAACTCCAGTCCAAGTTTATAATTTCGTATTTAGTTGTATTATGTAGAATGTTTCTTATGTCAATTAAAAATAACTATGTTCCAGTTGCCAATATTTGATTATTACAATCAATTTCAACTGATATTTTGCAAAGAGGCTTATTATGTAAGACTTTATACTTTTGGAAGAAACCTATATCTGTGTAATGAAATAAATAAATTGCTAATTATATATACCCTTACCTCAAAATACTTGTGTATAAATGAGAAAGGGAGATAGACCTCGTCATGATCACGACGACACACCACCGAGTATTCCCCATTGATCAGGCACTCAATGTCCACCTTATTATGCTTGGTCTGCTCCTCGTTTAGTATTGAACCTAATATGAAATTAGTGGTGTTATATTTAACTTGTAATGTAAATTCTCCAATGGAATCATACAAAGTAACCTAGTAAAAAATTTAATATGACTTACTAGGTCTCAGTGTTATATCTGTGCAGCGACTCCAATACAGCATGACCAGTAGTGCTCCACCACAGAGTGCAGCTAGGCCCAAACGCATATTCCACCGCACCATCATCATTGCTACCTATAAAAAAGGGGATGCTTTTACCAACCATACTTTTGCTGAGCTCTTGGTATAGCACAGTTACTTTTTTGTATAAATCTTTATAATATTTTTTAAAACAATGTATTTTCTCATAGGAATTGAGTCAGATCTTGTAATATCAAGAACATAATATATCTTTAAAAAATACATTGAGTACCGACGACAAAGATTTATCCTTAAACATACATTATTTATTATACGTGTTTCCAAGAAACTGATACAACACATATAAATTTATACCTAACATAGTATGCAGTCATTACATGCAATACCTTATATGGCCACAAGACTAGTTGAGTTTGCACACTATTTGACGTCAATAAATTTTAAAACATACTTGAAAACAATTAAATACTATATTGATAGTACACTAGTTATCAAAAGCGTCTATATATTAGACATATACATTTTAGTCATTATAATGTTTAAACAAAACAGATTAATGTTAAAATCTAACCCTTATACAGTACATACTCATACTGGAAGCATTTTAATATAATTTATTATGCATATTTAAAAAAATATTGAAATATTGAGAAACATTCGTTCATATATTTGGATTTCTTTCAAATAGTCGCCAATTCTATTGGTACGTTTTTCCTTGTTAGAAAATATCTTTTTAAGTGAGTAATAAACGTACTACATTTTTATATTTGTAGAAACAATTTATGTAGGTGTCACGATCAATGTTTGTTTATGTGGTAGTAGATCATGTTTAGAACGAATCCCAACAGAAAACAAGGTTGTTATGTTTAGTATTTTAAGATCGTATTTATAAGGATTTAAATGTACTTACTTTTTACACCGCGGGCCATTCGTGAGTGCCAAAAATAAATATTTTGTTCACATTGCGATATCATATGGCACTAGATTATAATTATGCGATTCAGTAACATAGTATTTCAATAGCTTTCGCTTTTCACACGATATTTAAACTATTATAATTCTTTTAAACATACATTTAAAATATATCCTGTTCAACAATCTACATAATATACACTTTGCGTGATCATTTCAATTCACATACTATATAATTAGAATTAAAAAACAAGGATGCAAAATAACGTTAGGTAAACGTCAAAGTACTCATATGATAATATGTAGATTGAAGGGGCCAATTTAGACAGATGACACTAATTTTAGCTAACAGTATTCATATAGTCTGTAATATATCTGTGGTTTTCGTCAGAAACTTGCCATGTGCTTTTGAATAATTTTTATAAATTAATTTCTATTCGCTTTATTATTACAGTGTAAATAAAAGAATATTTTTATTTTCAGAAACTTTTATTATAATGTCAATACAAGATATATTATATTGGTGCAACCATAACTATGATAACTTCAATACTAACTTATGATAAATAACTCCCCCTAACTAGTTTTTATATCACTTCCAATAAGCCTTATCCAAATAGATCATTGCTAGAAATAGTTTCAAAAAACCAATAAGGTTAAAAATGGCTTCAGATCAACAATAGTACTTGTACAAATAATAAGATTATAGTAACAGGATTATCTACATAGTAGTGTCATAATGCAAATGGCCTTACAATTTATTTTTTCTTACATATTTTATTTCAGAGATTTATATTTCCTCAATAAACTTTTTATTAAATTATTAATTCATACTAAACGTAAATAAAGTTGTTGTTTTTCTCATGAATATTTATTTGTTCTTATTAGAATAAGGACTTTAACCTAAGTTTTGCTTGTTTAAAATCGTTCAAGTAAGCAAAATTACCTCGACTGCTAACAGTATAGTTTGATTTTACAGTTCGTTATTCATTGTTTGCCTCCCAGGCATATAAATACCAACTTATCCTACTACCTTACAGTGCAATAGATGTAGTCAAAGCAGTTTGTGCAGGACAGTTTATTTTTTTAAGCGAATGTGATCCCTATTGTACACGAATTGAGGCGTAAATCGTTTGATGTATTTACAAGATATAGTCAAAGTGTACACGTCGCATCCCAAGTCCATTGGTAGAAAGAGGTCAGTGTGCGTGCGAAGTGGGTCAGGGCGGATGCAGTGAGGCTCGGGAGGCGTCGGGCGCACTCGTGGGCGGTCGGGGACGCAGGCGCGGGAAGCACATCGATCGCCGCCCACGCGGCGCTGCGCCCAAGTGCTCCGCGAGTCGTGACGCGAGTCCCGGGCTGTGCCCCTCGAAGATGGCGGCGTGAGCGCGCGCCCGCGGCCCCGCGGTCATGCCGCGATGGCCAGAGAGGTAACGTTCGTGTGTCCGGCGCCGCCGCTTACGTAACCACTGACACGCCCGGAGATGGTTAATATCAGGGTGGTAGCGAATCTGCTCGTGCTCCCCCGTGTCTGCTCGTGTCTGACCGTCCCTCCCCGCCCTTGTGTAGTGCTAGTGCAGTGATGCCAGGACTATGTGCCGCAGTTGTCCGCCCCATCATGCGCGCTTTTCTTTCCTCGTCCCAATTTAGTGCACATGTGCACAGCAGTAGAAAAAGGCTTAACAACTATCTTTAAATATAATAAACTACTGAGGTTTATTAATTAAGATTTTAATACAAAAGATAAACCAATATATTCAACGCATATGTGTTAAAAATAAGCAGATATTATATTGATTTTAACATAGTAATGAAATAGGATACCCAACGTTACTTGAACAATAATTTATATGAAAATGTATCGACCGATGCGTGAAAATAAAACTGGAAGTTCGTAGCAGATATGTAGCGCTTAGCGTAGCGCCTAACATGATTTTAATATTAGGGGGGATAATAAAACTTGTTCGTGATATTTGTTTTAGGTTCTATTTGCGAAAACGCTTTATAACATTTTTCTGAAATTGTAAATTTTGAAATCGTTAAAAATGAATGAATATTACCTTACATAAAAGTAAGGTGTTTAAGGAAGGTAGAAAATTATAACGTCAGGAAATCTGAACGTATATACAATGAAACAACTTTATATATAATAATATTTGAACATTTTTAGGTTATTTAAATACTTTAATTGATTTATTTTACAATTAACCACATTTTAATTTATTGTCACACGTGTACATTTCCCATTGTTATGAAGAATCATTGGACAATAATGTTTATTATGCCGCTGGTTTATTAAGTAAAAGTTATTACGCCACACGTCAAAAACTGTCACACGATGACATTAGCGAATTGTCACGTGACCATGTCTCAAATGTTTTGATATAAATTAATGCCAATTTAACATGCATTATAAACAGAGATTTATTTCTTAAAAGAGTAAAGACTCATTATTATTAGTAGGATGGTTTTCAGGCCAAGAAGTGTTACAATCTTTCGGTTTATTTCTTCATTTGTAAGTTGATATAAATTAAAACGTTTCGTTTTCTACACGTACCTACGGGTACCTGAAGATGCCTATATTCTAGATAAAATAAAGTTTCGAATATATTCACTTGCCTTATTTACATTTACATTTTTTTTCATTTGTGACTTGTGCTGTTTAGTTTTTTGATGCTTAGAATAGAAGCCTCAAATTTTTCCCAACATTTATAAAAGCTAAAGATAACGTAGGGCTAATATGTTGTGGGTCCAGGGGTCGCTTGCAAGTGAGTGAGTTGCACCTCACGGACCGACCCCTACACTCCCTGCGTCACTTTTAAAAGTTGCCCCGGCACTGGGGTCTGTAGATTGGTTTCTTAACAATAAAAAAAACATAAATGGCTAATATTTTGTAATGTCAACTATTCAATAAATACCTAACTATACGATGTCAGACTCCCAATAATTTACTAACATATATTTATTATTATAACACTACTTACCGTCTCTATTAACGAGAAGACACTCTGTTCTTGTGTACTACTAATTAAAATTATGTGTGATTTACTTAATGAAATTATATTAAATTTAAAGTTGACATCACAAAAGCTTCAATTATTTTAACATTATAATAATAAAAATGGCTTATTTAGATGTGTAATACTTGCTAAAATTTTATTTTAGCAAGACGTAATGATTTAATTGTAAATTAAACATTAACAACATTTAAAGAACCAGATTGATTTTAATAATTTTAAAATTCACGTATTTTCAAAGTCAAACATACAAAACGAAAATTATTGTTCATTTTATAACTATGAGTAAAATTAATAATTATTAGATTCCGACATGAACTTTTTAGACTTGTTTTTTTAAAATAAGATAGACGATGTAATATTAAATGAAAATTTCTTAATTACACATTCCTTTTCCTAGAAGCAAATACTCTTGTCGAAAAACTTGCTAAAAGAAGCTGCAATTCGCCAAATAAATGAAATGGTATGTTTAATTAAGAGTGATATAGGTGGAAAATGTGAAAATTCTTTAAGGACAGCTGACAGATCGGGCGGCCTCATTACTTCAGCTTCAGACTTTAATATCTTGGTATTTCGTAACTCCTCTTCAATGGTTTAAAACTATTTTAGCAATAACGAACATCTTTTCCTTTATACAAAAATATACTTTACGGTACACTCGCATTTTAGTGCTTTCAGAAATTCTTGTAGTTGAATTAAAATTAATAGTGTTTGTTTTTTATTACTATTATAAAAATAAGATGGCGTGTCGGTAGCCTTAACTTTATTCTACATATTTGAAAAATATTTACAGAAAAGCATATTATTTCTACTTAAATATATGCTGTGCAAAGCAAGTTGTTGTTGATACTGTGGAAGCTATTCACTTGCTTATACATTGACTCAATATAATTTAAAAGAATAATATTTCTTCGTAACTGTCAACCAAAACCATGTATTACAATAATTGTATTATTGAAAACGCTCACTCCAAAAGTACACTATTTTTGCAGAAAAATACGATACAAATATGTCTAATTAAACATTGTTATGCACCATAGAGAAATCCTAAAAATAATCTAAGATTATCAATAAATATTTGCGTGGTAACATCAAAATGAAAATTTGCCATAGGAATTCAGTCTTTAATAACAATTAATCAAATCACTCTCATGCCAGAATAGTGTCTTAAATTATAAGCGTAGAAATTCAGTAATAAACTGCGTTTGCTTCAAGCTAGTTTTTCTTCATTAAAATATATAATTAATTATTGTGTTACATAAATATTTTTCCTCTTCAGTCAAATACACCCAGTTTGAAAATCGAGACCACTTACGAAAAACGTTGTTTGGCAAACTCGTATGCATGGGTTCACGTCGTTTAAGGTTTTAATATACTCGTGTTTCTAAAATGTATTTATTAATTAAAATAAATAATTCAATTTCAAAAAATATATATATTCGTTTTTATCTTCTAATAATATAAATTCGTTACGCTGTCTACAGTGTGTCGCAGCTTCTCGCAGACAGCTCCATGCAATGTCAATATCGTATAATATCATCTAAATGGGCGAATATATACGAATTTTTATCTTTAACACAATATCGAAGCAAGGAAAAAGTTATGTTAAAATAAACGCTACCTACTTTGTGTGTGAATTGGTCAATGTAATCGTGATGTTGCAAGCTCCGATCGTGGGCGTAGTATAAGTGCTTTTTAATATCCTCGGAAAACCGAAAAGTGCATCATTGGTGTTGTTAATTTCGAAGATGTTACGGCATCGGACCGGCGCTGCAGTGCGGGTCTGAGGGTCGGTGGGGGTGAGGGTAAGGGGCGAGGGGCACACCTCACCCCCGCCCAGGAGGCCGCGACCCGGTCATGAGTCAGTCCTGCCAACTAAGCGCTTACAGCGGTAAATTTACTTGTTTCGCTTCCAAAACTACATTTTTAAAATGTCATACTTTTCTTACATTATAAACTCTATTCATAACTTTACTTATTTGCATAAAACAACAATAGATGTGTCGTTTATTTTTAGAAAATTAAACGGGTACAAAAATCCCTCTAGTCTTACGAATAGGTTAAAAAGCATTTTAATTGTGCTAAGTATAACGCTATAGAATAATGTTAAAGAATCTTATAAGCTATGTTAGCGCTATTTAAAGCGGTAGCAGCGCCATTTCGTAGCTGAGTTGGCTGTAGTGTCAGGAGTTACGATTCGCGAGGCATTAGAGCCGCCGCGGCGCTCGCCGGCGCAACGCGCCGATCAAATCTACTTAACCTCTAAAACTAATTATATTACATACGCATTTAATAGAATTCTATTTAGCCGCGTGAGTATGTAATTGGATTACCGAAGCGTGGATTATTACGTAAAGTTGTGGAGTGTCAATGATTAGTTTAACTCAGAGGTGACAAAATATTATTTACGTGTGTATTACTTAATATAGGAATACAATTGAACGTTGCGCTTTTCCATATGATGGATAATAAATTTGCGTTTCTTATTTTGTGATAGAAATTCGTCTCAAATATTAACTGACTGAAAAATAAAATGTTTAAACTGAGAAATAATGTTTGTCTTTCAATTGATAAGTTAATATTTTTATACTGTTTTACTTTAAAGGATAGACATTTAAGTGGACTTTGAGTGAAGTGAGTGCCATCAATATGATTGTCGAAATACAAGAGGTAATTTTAGTGATCATTACCTTAGCTGCATCCTCATCGCTCATTCCGTCAAATAATTTGCTCATTTCCCACCGATCCGTAAGCATTAAACTTGGAATGATAATATTTCCATCACGAAACATCCACGACAACTCCAATTGCAGTAATTTTTGTTTTGCTTCAGAGATCCGATCTAAATGTGTATAGGGTTTTAAAACAATATATTATATTGACGCACAAATTTTAAAACGAATTGAGAATTTAAAAAGCCTAATTAAAGTATGAGTGGTGGGTTAGTTATACCAAATAGTGGGAACGTTTATATTAAAGATCGTGCAAGAGTCAGTAGGTCAACGCACAGTGCGTGCAGGGGCGTGTCAGTGAGTGGGACGAGTGCGGGGCGCGGGGGCGAGATAGGCAGCTCGGGCGTTGCACCCAGTGCAGTCTTGCAGCCTTGCAGGATGTGGACGCCGGCCCGCCGTAGCCCCTACACCCCGTAGCCGCTACGCTGTATCGCGTAGCGCGAGCATGATTTTCAGTTAATGCTTTGTAGCTTATGACCATTCATCGAACATTTTAATAAAAACCTGACATGTTATACCTGTAAATATATAGTCCTATAAATAAATTACTAATTCGAGTTGTTGTTATCATACTTAAGGTGGTCTGTTTTTAAACTTATGGCTGGCTATTCCGAAGCTAGAGTGTGAAGAAAGGTGTAATACCTCATATATATTTATTAGTACTTATAACTTACCTAGCTAATCAACTATGTATACTTTTTAAGCCGCTGTTTTTTAGCTCTGAATAATTTGACGACAGATTGGATAATAACAAATTAGCACCACAAATCCTTATCCATAACAAACACCGCCATGACTAGAAATACAAGATATCGTTAATAGGCAAATGTTTGCAGGAGGTTAGAGGAAAGAGGCCTTTTAAGATATGGGACAGCTCCCGAAATGTAAGGAAGGGGCTGGTCGTAACAAGTTTTGAAGAATTAATACACAGAGGTTAGTAATTATAAAACTAAAATCCATTTTGTGTGAAGAATTGACTATTGGAGTTATTATTTATATTAACTACGAAGCTATTTAACTTCTTGACACCACGGGCCTAGTGAGAGGACTGAAAAGGACCTTTTGAATAAGTGATTTAGTTTTAGTGCACCGTTATTCTTTAGTGTGAGTAGTGATATTGGATACGTTCTTATGTTAAAAATCCTTATTAGTAAAGGTTAGACTTTAATTACTAATTAGCCTTGTGTTAGGCTAGATCGTTATGTTCCATGATGTCTTAGTAAAGAAACATGTATTTAAAAAAAACTATATTAACTTTGACAGTAACATCTCATTGAAGAAATATCTTGCAGGTTATAAACCAACCTATAATACACATCATTTTGGAAATGACGTAGTTTTGACTTCTATTGCTATTCAAACTTGAAATAGAATATTATGTAGCTCATTGAATTTATATTTTTTATATTGAATTAATATATATAGGAAATTAAGGAATGAGTATTAAAAAATAGAGTTTATTATTATCACTGTTCATTTGCACATGTGATGGTATCAGCTCAATTAGGCACTCGTGAATCTAACACCTTTGATTAGGGCTGACTCAAGTAAACAGTTTACAGCGGGTCAATGGGATTTGTCACGGCTCACGGTTGCACGCTTGACCCGTTTTCTAGGCCTAGGGGCTCGCCTTGGTCAGTGTAGCTCCGTACTGCGCACTAAATTAACGTATGTAATATAATATTTAATATTTAAAGTGTAAGTTGTGTGTGAAAAGTTTTTGGTAGCAATTTATGTTTATTCAGAACTTCATTTTCATTTGTGGTTGCGGTTCTATGGAAGGAAAAAAATATATTTCTACTATATAAGTGAGCTTTGTTGATTCCAGGAAAGGAAAAGCTCTCGGTAGCAGCGGGTGAGCCGGTGCGGCTAGTGTTGGAGAGCGACGGGACGCAGGTTGAGGACGGAGACTACTGGCGAACCCTTCCTCCTAATACTGTGCTGCTTCTTCTACGGCCCGGCGAGCGCTGGTATCCCACTGGTGTCGACGTTATTAAGGCTGGTCAGTTGATTACCATTACAGATTAAGCCGCTGTCACAATTTTCGGACATATTTGAATTATAATATTTCATAGCGACTTTATCTCTTTTCAGCCATATCTGCAATACCGAAAATAGTATGCGAGACGATCCACGCGCTCGAGTTACACGATGAGACCCCTTCATGGAAAATCATGGACAACAAAGGGCGCGTCACCGTCGTGCTGCACTGGGACCAGCGGCCGCAGGCATCGCCGGCCGCGCGTTCACCCAGCCGTCAGGTTAAGCCTGACAGGCGTCCTTCGCTCGTTATCCAGACGTCTGTGGATCGACCGCAGCCGCCTCCACCCCACATAACCGTGGTTAATCATGACGAGCCAGGGCCGGCGAGACCGCGTCTGGCACGCGCAGGTTCCTCCCTCGACCATCATGTACACACGGCCGAGTGCCGGGCTGCCCCACCGGCACACGCTCCGCGGCCTGCCGCCGACGAGTGCGACTTCCATTGCTGCGCGCTGCACGAGGAGGGCCGCCGTATCGCGGTGCACAAAAGTGTCGCCACCTCGCCCATCCAGGACGCTCAGCCGCGTGCCTCGCCGCAGGGCCGACCCAAAGGTCACGTGCGCTTTTTAGACGCAGAATCGGCTCGCCGCGGCGATCGGGACTCATCCGAGAGCGAGACAGAAAACACTCTCGTCGAGGACGAGGCCGTCACGTCCGAGAAATTTCTGCTCCTTATAGACCAGCTGAGCGTCGACCAGAAGCGGCACCTGACGATCAAAGATATAGGTATCATTTTAGAGCGGCTCAGCTCAAAAATTTTAGACGTGGAGCGGTTAGACAGGGAATCAGAGTCCGACGACTGCTACAATTGGACGATCAAAGCGACGATAAGAGGGGACGCGCTGCGCGAGCTCGGTGTTATTTATAACGGTAATTACTACGCGATTAGCGAGCACCCCGGTTATCGGGAGGAGAACGAGGAAGCGGGAGACGAGGGTGAAGAAGAAGAAGAAGAAGATCGACTCTGATCGGGCCTGTGCGGCGCCGCCGTGCCCGCCGCCGCCGCGCTTCGTCTGGCGCTGTGCCGCGTCGCCGCGCGCTGACCGCCGCACGTCCATCGCACTGCAACCGCACCACACCGCCCGCCGCCGTACGACAACGAGACAGCACCGAACATAACACGGTCGATCACCTCAAGGTACAAGGCTACAGAGGACTCGTTAATTCTGTTAAGAGTGAAAAATCTTAAAGCAGCGAAATCCCGGAGTGTGTTTTAGAAATCAGCGACGAATCGATTTGACACATGTAGTTTGAAACATGAAGACACATAGAGACTTTTATGAAATTTTGCCGCGGGTGCTTCGCGTCGCCGCCTCGAGATAGGCGGCGCGAGGCAACGAGGCCTAGTTTAATAGTGAAATTAATATAAGTAAAACTGACTTCCTATCGATTTCTAAGATGAATTAATCGTGGCAGCCGGACGCTGGCCAGCCGTATGTAGTTAATGTACACATATAATACGTCGACAGCAGACATGGTAACAGCACAAATATGGATATCATCGACATTGTTTTCGATATATAATTAGATATGTAATAAATTATACACGATTTAGCAAGTACTCAAGAAATTAAATTTCATACATATGAATATTATCAATTGGGAATTACCTGAATCGGTGTCCTACTTTTCGACAGTATACCTGGGTTCGTCGTTACGTTCGTATCTAACAGCCATAGATTGGAATTTTAATTTGAATTTGGCCTAAGCATTCTGCCGTAAAGACTCGTTTTACGTTTCGGTTTAATTACCCAAATCATTCATCCGCATTTATACTTGAAATAAAAAAAAACAATAAATATAGCAAACTAGACTATTATACACAACAATCGTAATTGGTATAGGAAATTAATTGTAACTGGCTAAGGCGAATAACGTTGCTCATAATGTAATATTCGTTTGCGTGATTGCGAGCGAATGCGATTGAACGTTGTATCTGTGTCGATAAAGGAATAGCAAGCGTTTCAAAGAGTGAGTTTAGAGAATACGATAGATAAAATAAATTATACTAATCAATAAAATTACAATGTTATAAAAGAGGTTGTAATAAAATACGATAGAACCGCAAGCGCATCTACTTATCGTGCCGAATCGACACTTGTTAGCAGTAAGTCGGATCTTGTACCTAGCTCTATAATTGTAGTATTATTGTAACGTTTTTAATTTTTGTATAGTACAGTCATAAATCACTGTTGTATGATATAATAAGTTTTACAGTCGCGCCGTGCCCGGACCGTTATAAATTGTATAGTTATTTAAGATTAACATTAATCATATGATATTATATATAAGTACAGGTCACTAGCACACGTACGAATGGTCAGAATGTCACGTTCACTCATTATATTGTGTAATTATTGTGTACTAAGCCTGTACCTTTTTGAATGGGTTTTTTCTTCATTTATATTAACAGACCCGTGAAAATTGCTTCTGTATTATAAACTTAGTTATAATAATTGTAGTTTAGATTCGTTGCGTATTAATGCTCGTTTCTCGATGGCCACAGACTACTTTGTTCACAAAGGAATAAAAAATATTGTTAAGTTAAAAAAGTTTATCCCTTTAAAACTTTAATTCAACTGTTTACTATTTATACCAACACGCCACATCATTACTAAATTGATTTATTAACTTATGCATAGTTAACAGCTTATTTTATTTTCGATAACATATTATGTAAAAGTTCACATAATAAATAATGTACAAATGTTTCGCCTGTTTAAATATTGTTGAATATTTAAAAATTGGTGATGTGAGAAGTGATTTTCACGGGTAATACGGTGTTTCGAGAGCTGCTGTTTACTTTTAGCTGTGTTTATATGATATTTATTCGAAAATGGGTGATCTATGCAAATCTAGAAGGATATACTGATACTCTTGTGTTAGACAATTTAAAAGCTGTTTGACTTTAAATATTACTAAATAATCACGAATTATTTATTAAAAATCAAGCAATGTATTCCTCAACCCGGTGTGAATGTGAATATTACTTTATAGTGAAATAATATTTATCAGGTAATTTCACTTAACTATTGTGCAATTCAATTATCTAAATCGATGGCCAATATTATTGAAGTAACACGAATAAATTAGGGACAGGGCGTTGTTAAGATAACGATAATATGTGCAAACGAAACTGTCTTATGATATAACACTATATAAAATTAACAATTGTCTACTGAAGGATTAGGATTGTCACGATGTTCTTGGAGAAATAAATTATTTACGTTATACGAAGGAAGGAATAATAAGTCGCTCTCTTCGAGAACTCACAAGAATGTAGCAATAATATTGTTTAATAAAACGGCTATATAACTGTAGTCAAACGCTTAATTTTATTATTAGTACCGAAAGTGTCAAATCTCTTTTGTAAATAACTTTACGTCTGTCTTTGTGTCTGTTTAACCTAAGTGTAATGATGTCGATTGACTTGTCAGCCATTATTGTAAACATAGAGGCTAGAGCATTCAGTCGGAAGCATTTTATAAACTTAATAATTTCAAGAATTTGTACCATCTATGAATGCTATTTAAAAACAAGAAAGGTAAAATTGTTTTGACCGTCTCAATATTTTAGAACTTTAACACACGATATTCGTGCCCAAATTCTATTGTTGTTTCAAATTTACCATTTTGTAATTTTATATACAAATATGTCATCGCTATTGTGCCAAAATTGATTTAATTTTTGACTCTTGAAACTTGACATTCACAGCTCACAATATAAATAGTTTCCTGTGTCGACACAATTTAGTTTAATTTAAAGTTACCGGATCCCTTGAGTAAGATTTGGAGTGAACCGAGATCACAATGCAACCTATGGCTATCTTAGCGATTACCGTCTTAATTTTAACCAGTTTAATTAACTAAAGGGTGGTATGCCCTTTTAATTTATGTGATTGTACAGTTAAGAATTATATCAGAGACATCGCGATACTCAACGCACATGTATATGATTGTTTAAACTACTTAAGTGAAAAAATAGACATATGTTTGAAATATATTTTTGTTCAGATTTATAATACTTTCCCTTAGATATCTCATTTAAATATCAACCTATATTAAAGGTTTAAACTTGCGGCTGTCAAATAATAATTATCTAGTTTCTTAATTTCTTCAAATGTGTTCCAAAAATCTCGTGTGTAAATATGTTTTTCAATTATGAGGCGAGTAAAATATTGAATGTTAGTGACATAAATTTATTTTAATTTTAAGCAGGAAGACTTGTTGGGTCCTGCAGAATACAAATTGATTCTTAGCAATATTCTCACATTTAGTTGTTGTTAGTTCATTAAACAAAATGTTTTTTCGTACAGTATTCCATTTGTTCACAAGTATATTGTTAATATGAAGATTGCCAAAACGATCGCTTTAACGAATAAAATAGTTTAATGTGGTTACAATCCTATTGTGAAAGGGATTTTTATTATATATAATTCACGTTTGAAGTGACTGTCATTAATTTTATTATTAAAATTAATGACAGTCACATATTCTTGAAAAGTGCCAAATATTTCAGAAATGTTATCGAAACTTATGTTAACCGTTATGATTTCCAATTGTAAAACTGTAAAAGTAATTAAATTTATTTGTAAAGCTTCAACCTTTCTTAAAAACTTAATTTCTATTTGAATCGTTCATAGACTGAGGCAGGACCGGTTTTTTGTTTGTAAAATTAAGTGATGTACCCGAAAATTCACTGCCACTAATTTAAAATAAAAATATTCGAAACAATTAACGCATATTTTTATTACACCTATTATTTAATACATACTACATTAAAAAAGAAAACCTTGTTAAAAGAAATCTATGGAAAATGATTGTGAACAATAAATCCGAGAAATAATCACGGCAATAATCATATTTTATTCCCGAATAATTTTTAATTTTTTGTTGGTTTTATATTACAGTAATTGCTGGTTTTGTTTTTGAAGGAATTAAATTATCATATGAATTCCTAAGGTGAATTCTATCCAATATTGATAAATATGATCCAAGATTAAAACCACAGATTACTAGTAGTACACTAGTAACTAATAAGACGTATTACACACGCTCGCCTACGAAATGTGAACAGTACAAACCTTTACGGACTTATACTAGAGTATGGCTAGTTAAACAGTTTCCTTTTTAAAAGAACTCGCGTGCCCTATGAAATATGGTGTAGATGGTGTGATTTACTCTTATATCTCTCTCTTTTATCTCAATATACCATTGCACACGCAAGCCTACAAAAGACATGAGAGACCTAACCTAACCTAAACCATGTCCAACTCAAATATGTTATATTATAAACAAACTGTACTGAATATCTCATTTAAGCTTAGCTTCCTCGGCCCCGGGGCGTCGCCGGGGAGGTAGGTAGGTAAAAAAAATAAGAATTACAAAAGACTATAGAAGATAATTCTAATGTTACGGAATTTAAGGTTTAAAGACTGGGAAATAAGTCTAATTTATTTAAAACATATTATATCGAATATTATAGGTGTAGTAATAAAACGAATAAGGTCACATTAATTAAACAGTACAAAACGGCTAACAATTTCATAGACAACATCAGCTTTCTTGCGAAACATAAAATGAAAGCATATATTCCAGCAGCTCATATTAAAAAAAACTGGAATCATAAGATTTGTGCATTCACAAGTTGACATCATATGAAATTATTGCATATAGGTCAATAGGTGAAAAAATCTATGAAAAAAGTTGGTCATGCATATAACATTGTAAATAAATTTCAGTAAATCTACAGGTTAACCGAATCAGGTTTACGATGATGCAGTTTAAATAATTGTCAAGAAAATAAATTATAAATATAAACTTTTATCGAGTCGATATCTCAATTACAACATCAAACTATCGAAATATCGTCCATAAACTTATTAGTAACAAATATCGAAATATCGTCCATAAACTTATTAGTAACAAATATCGATATTTTATCAACAGTCCAACTTGCTAGTCTGTGGTATCTGGTAACTACGGGCTACCTAAATATTTTGTTGTTTATGTAATTAATTAATAGTTTATTTTGCTATCGAATACTGTCAAAATATTTAGTTGATCCGAAATGAAATTGAATTAAAATATTTGGAAGAAACAGAGACAATGAGCATGACTGTAGAAACTGATTTAGGGCGCTCGCCACTGTCCCGACTTACTAATGAATCTCGAAATTTACTATCCTCTCTGCTTAACACAAAAAAGATACTTCCGTGTATTTGTCCTGATCAAATTAAGCGTCACAGGTAAGATCTGCAAACATGGAAGGATGTTGATATTGTTGTGTCTATGTAAGGGATCCTTATTTAGTTTATTTGAGTAAGGTCTCATACTACATATAATACTGTAAAATCTATTTTTTATATTTAAACAATATTAGCTATGTTGATTTATCCAGAGATTGGAGGGGAGTAGCATCACTTGCCAATATTTCATCTGAAATAGCAGCAAACATAAAAGAATACAATGATAAGACCGGCAGAGTCTTAGATTTATGGATACAGCGTAGTGATGGCACAAGTACTGTGGCAAAGTTGCTAGAAATATTGCAATGGATAGACCGATATGATGTTCACGATGATTTATTAGAACTAGCCAGGAATAATCAACTCTTAGGTAAGTGATTTTTAAAATATTAAACAAAAATAAATAAATTATTTCTAATTGTGGTAAGGTGAATGTTGCATTTGCATTGCAAAACTTTCTATTGTAGAATAACCATCTGTCCTACATAAATAATTTCAGAAGTAACATTGTAACTTTGAGAACTCAAAATTTGGACAGCCTTAGAATCTTTTTTATTGATTTATTGTAATCAAAATGTATCATTACTTATGTAGAGATTGCCAAATCTATTGATTATCTTGTGATGCATGTTACAAGAAGTGTGATAAAGCAAAGAATATTATTATTATGTGTTTTAAAAACATTTCATTAGTTTATTATCTCTGGAAGGTTTAGTGTAAATAATTTTAATATTAATAGAATTAAAAATGGTTAGCTGAAGTTAAATTAGTTCTTTCCTAAACTCAAATGGAAAGTTTCAATAAGTTTTTTAATATTTCAGCCCAACCTGTAAATGGTGTGCAGATTCATGGTGGTGTACCACATGTCACAGGGGACAATGAAGAAGATCTCATTACTTTTGAGGATAAACAATTTGGAACACCTCAACATTATCATGCCTTTGTGCTGTATGCAGAGGAAGACAGTAATTTTGTTAAAAATGAACTTCTCACGCGAATGAGAAATGAAGGATTTAGAGTAAGTGGAAACTCTGCTATCAGCATATATGTACTATTGGGTTAAAAGTAAAAATCAGTGTTTGTTGTTTTTTCGAGAGCATTTTAAGATGAGTTGGGCACATTGGCTTAACCAAATCACTATTATTTACTCTCTCTCAAAAGTTTAACCTCTTCTGCTTCTGTATCCTGCTCATAAATATATTATACCCCAGTTAAGACATACTTTAAGATACAAACAGCAGAATATGGCTAATGCTAACTTCTCACCAAAAAAATGGTAGCACCATTTTCCACCATCTGGTATCATTTTAATAGTCATAATATTTGTGGCAGTCTTATGATTAAATATGTTACTACTACTAAGATATATTTAATAAATACTAATTTATTTGCAGATGTGTATTGAAGAAGACCTTCTCCCAGGACACAATACCCGATTTGCTGCTGTGGCTCGTCTATTGACAGAGAGGTGTCGGAAAATAATTCTCATATTCTCTCCAGATTTTCATGTCAGCCCTGCTATTAGGTTTTACACAAACTTGGCTCAGGCTGATGGTATTGGTAAGTTTTGAATTTTAACAAAACATTAAATCATATATTTTGTTGAGTAATGTTTGATCTTGTAAGCATCTGTATCTTGTAGGCACTAGTGGCCGACATTTATGAATCTAGGTCAATGTTAAATGTGGCCGTGAGATGATTATACATTTTTTTTCATATTACTTTGCAGTGAAACGAGAGCTCAAGTTACTGCCTATAGAGCTAGTTCCGACGGTGTTGCCGGCGAACCTGAGGCACTACTTCTGTCTCAAATACTCCACAGAATTGTCCAATATCTGTAATTTTTGGGTGAAGCTCCAAATGTCTTTAGAATCCAAAGAGTTGCCTAGGTGAGGACATTATACATACAATATTTTGTTTTTTTCAAATTATATTTGTGTTTAAGATGGAACAGTTGATCCGTTAGTTGTTAGATGGAAAGGCAGGCAAAGGCAAACTGTCTCCGAGTCATCCAGTTATACCCTAATAAGTTATTTAGGTGAAATAACGAAGAAGAAATCTGGAATTATACTAATAGGACAAAGAAAGTGTTAGGTATAGACAAGCTGATATCTTTTTTGTCTTAGAATAGATTCAAATCTGGCCGTTAGTTCACAACCGATGTAACCCAATATGAGCTTCAGACTACTGTGCACCACTGATTTCTGATTTATTCATTCTCCTGTATTTATGACACACAAAACTCATAGTTTGCCCTCAGACTTGGATCTGAATCTTCTAATATTCTTTCTGGACAATAGGAATGGAGCCCAGGACCAGTAACACCGCTATGTGCTATAATATAGTCGACGCATTATGAGCTGAAGTTTCAGAATTCAGGTCATATATCATATTTATCTGTCGTTCTCGCTCGCACTTACCGGTCTTATCGAGAGGTGTAGTGATGTGCGTAAGAATTGTAGAGGTGCTTATCGATAACGGGATAGGTACCATCGATATGCTAAAGAATGTTAAGTATTAATATAATTTCTTCAAAACCACGTTAGAAAATAAATTCTCCATTGTGATTATTGTGTAAAGGTGCGCTTACACGAGGGCAATAATTGCTCGGCAACACGAATGGACCGATCTGGAGCAATTAATGGAGCAATTTCAAGAAATTCAATAAATTTCAAAAATTATTTCGGCGATATTGCTTCTAATTGCTCCAGATATTTCATATCGCTCAATGTCGCAGATACGAATTGACGAATTTCCAATGGACTTGGAAATTCCTAGCAATTTTTGTATATATCTCATTCGCACTTGTTTGTTTTGCGGCTTGCCGTCTTGCTTGCGGGGAGAGCGAGAGGTCGGGTGGAAGTAGGATAGCGCGCGGCAAAAGTCCAGCGCGTAGTCAGCCTCTGTTCGTTGTGTTATAAATAAATTAAAAATAATAAATTAAAATAAAAGTTAAGTTAAGTTGTAATTTATAAATAATTAAATAATATATTTTATAATTATTTATAAATTACAACTTCATTCTGTTTTGGTTCACACAACGGTGTTCCTTTTTTTTACCGTCTAGTCAAACATAGCCAACAGCTTGATTATTTTATGTCGTATTTTTTAATTGATTCATTTGGAATTTTGCAAATCCGAGGAAATGTCCGTAATAATTTCAGTGCGCTAATTAACTAGCATTCAGCGTAAACATTGGAAATGAAACTGAACTGTTTCCTCGTAACATTATATTTTTACTACTGATTGATTTATTTGAATTTAAAATCTACTTAATTGTGAATTTAAATAAATAAAAAGGTTGATTAATACAATTATTTTTAAATTAAATATCCTCACTTTTAAATTAAAATAACTTACCTTTATATATTCTCGAAGAACTTCTGCAATAGCTCTGCATACAGTAGGTACAAATAGTGCAATACAACTGCGATACATTTGTATGAATCTCCAGTTGCCAGAAATCGAAGGGTTAAAGCAAGTTTATTTGATGCAAAAATTGGTTCTCTCATGTTGGTCGTCTGTTTCTTAATTAATGGGCTAACTTTATTCAAAAGTAATTCAAAGTCTGTTAGTGACATTCTAGTAAAGTTTTTGAATAATATATCATCTAATTCTTTACATAATGAAAATTTTGTCCTCTTTGCCAAAAACGATCGCACCCAGATACGCCTATTCCTTTTCTTTCTTTTTTGTTTTTGATTAATGATAAAAAAAGCGCTACAAGCCGCCGCAGCAAGAACAATGTCATCCATAGCGAGCGAAAACAGAAATGCTCGTGTATGACAGTATTGCCTAGTTGATGAAGTTGTGCCATATCGCTCAATATTGTATTGCGCAGTATTGATGCTTGTTGCCGTTGCCGTAAATTGCTTGATGTAGTCGTGACGTCATAATTGACGAGTATTGACTGGAATTGAGCAATTTTAGTTGCCCGTGTAAGCGCACTATAACGGAGCGTAAGTAATAGTGTTATATATAAAGTGTTATAACAAAAAAACAAACACATACACAATATGTCAGAAGTGAAACTTCTCTGGCAAACCAATTTTTGACTCTTGTTCATATTTATACAAATCCAAAACTTTAGATTTCCGAGACTTGATGGAAAAAGGAAGATATGTTAGGAATTTAATTGTCATTAAAATATTAAGTTTCAAAAATTAATACAAATAATTTAATTTTTTAAAACTTATTTCGTCGATAGTAAAAACACGTGGCATTTTAATTTGCATTCGTCATTTGAGATTTCAATAAATTATTTTGCATAAATTATAAAATACTAGATAATATTTCATAAATTCTCTTTACATTTTAATTTTAAAAATTTATTTCTTTCCAAAGAAGTTTCACTTCAAAAATCTTATATTTATTGAAAAACTCAACGACCAATCAGGAGTCAGAGAGCGTGCTAAGTGTGGATAATGGGTTGCATTGCGTGCATATTTCTACTCTCAGTGACATTTATTGCCCGACGGCGTCGACTTTAATAATTAAACATATTTCAGACTGCACTCAACGTCATCGGCCCACTCGGCCATCAACATCACGGAGATCACGGAGCAAGCTATCGACGCTCCTCCGTCTAAGGATTACTTAGCTCTGCCGAGCGTTCCCAGGACGTCTTCCTCCCTCACCGGCCTAGACTCGATCAACGTCGATTACAGAAGTCGCATACAGACGCACGACACGAAGTCCCTCTCGCCCTCGAGCGAGAAAAAGAAGAAAAACGGTTATTTTACGAATATTTTCAATAAGCTTAAAGGTAAGAAGCACAAAAAGGCAATTATGCTACCGAACTGAAGAAACTTGGCTTGTGAAGATTTCGATTATTCCATTTATATTATTTAGAACAGTTAAGATTTATTAAAGTGAATATGTTGTGTTAGGATGCGTTTGATCTCTTGATAAATGCATTTTTTTTAAAGTTCTATCGGCGGGTGATATCTTTACAAAATGTTTTCTGGTTGGGCCTGCCTCGTTACTCTGTAAACACAAATGACATGTATTTCGGGTTCTTTAAAAATTTGAATCACCTAATAAACGAAAAACGGGGGAGATTTGATTATTTGTTTAAAAACTCATGTATTTATAAGTAAATTTTAAATGTTACCATTATCGTTGCAATATTTATCGCTTAAAAAGCAAATTTTGCCTAATTAAGAGGAATCTAGGAAAAGTATTAAAAATCGTTTGTTATTTATTATTGGAAGGAATTTCGTTTAATGACAATAAGCGTGACGAGATTATAATGAATCTTATGTTAGAGCACATTATGCTTACGCCAGGATTGAGTGCGTGCTTAGTGTATCCTCAAAATTGGAATGTAGCCCTTCTGCGCTAAGCATATTTAGTAAGAATTTTAGCTAAAAATTTATTATTCAAATCATCGCTGTAGAAATTTCAACCATTATTCGACTTTTGATTAAAAATTACAAAATGAAGCTAGCAATTATAAAAGTGCATTTTAATAAAAAAGAATTAAAAAAAAAGACAATTTATTTTGGATAGAAAATACAGGCATTAAGATCAATAATTCAGCATTTAAACTTCTGGTTTACGAAGTCTATTTACCATCACGTTAAAAAATATAGTTACACGCTGCTAAATGCGAAACCAGGGTGCTTCCAAGAGTTATATTTTGTATGTATTTTTCTGTATAGCTAGATGTAAAGAGGAAAATAAAACAATTTTAATATTATATTTTATTTAATGATTTATAAGTTCCTTGAGTGACACACTCAACCTTTAGTTATAGGAATACTCTTTTGTCTCTTTCTGACGTATTGTGTTTACGCTGTGATGAAAAAGTACAGATGAGCACTTTATTTGAAACGGTTCGACCTATTTTTATGAATAAGATTCTGAATTTTGGTATTAAGACCTGGAAAATTTGACATATGCTTTACAATATGCAGACGAATTGCCGGCACCGTATTGGAAGCCATTTTTATTTAAAGATTTAAAAATTGATGGTCTATAACCAAGAGAACCTGGGTTCGAATCTCTGTGAAACAATTGCTTCGGTTTTTAAAGAAGGATGACAATGGAACAGATGCAGAAAAGTATTTGCCCTATGCCCTATTGCGGGGTTATCTGTTATATAAGAACAATGTTTACGTCAAAAGCTTAATGCAAGAGGAAATATTATATACATTTGTTTATTAAATCGTTTATAACGATAGTAATAAACAAGGAAATATATCGTCACTGTAGAATGATAACCTCGTATGTCAAAAAACCATTTATTTTTTATTCTTAGACTCATGTCATTTAACTGGTATAATCATGAAGTAAGGACTTATGTTATAAATAAATAAGTCCTTTAAAGGTCGATTCACATATATCAGTGAAGCCACAGTTCCGACACAGTACCGGCACAGCGCGAAATATTCTTTCATACATTCTCTATGAACGCATCCCCACTTGTCAGTGTCAGTGACGACACAGTGCTCTCAGTGTCAGTGCCGACACCGGCAATCACGGACAGATTCGTTGACAACGATATTTTTTGTCGGATCACTGACGCCGCGTTATTATTGTTACATTTTATTTATTGCAGAAGAATATTGAAGCAGCTCTCTGACATTTTAAAATATTTTCTTTAACTAATTCTTTGTATAATATGATGAATTCTCCTTCCGTCTCTCTTAATTGCCATGCTTCATGCACCCATTTTCTTTTTTTCCTTGTTGCTGCTCTTCTTCTTTGTCTAAAGCAACAGCTATCATTGCTAGCTCCGTAGTATTGAACAGAGCCATAATCACGTTACTTGACAACGCGACGGACACGTTTTCACTGAAGCTCCGTAAACTGAGTACTGACATGTGTGAATTGAATGACTGACGCAATACTGTATCACTGATACTGAACTGAGCGGATACGTTGACGGAACCGTGGCTTCACTGATATGTGTGAAGCGGCCTTTAACCTTCCAAAACTCAATTAAAAAAAGGGTGCGTGTACTTATGTAAGCGCGTAAGAAGTTATACTTCTTTGGCATTATTAAAAATAGTTTTTGATTGCATGCAAATAATTAATTACAATTAAATAATCAAAGTCTGGAAAAGGAGTCATTATAGTTAATAAAGTTCAGTTTACATTTGAAAAATTAAATAAATGAATATTTATTATTATTCTCTTACATTAAGTGTAACATAATTCTATTATTATTCGAATGTTGTTTTAAAATTATGTCCAATGCCGTAGCATCTTCCGTGGGCAACTTCATTCTGTTAATTTTGCGTCACGGTGCGCGCGCATCGTAAAATTTCACTCTCATCAATTTTTCATAACGCGCCTAAAGAAGTATAACTTCAAAAATCCAACAAAAACATAATAATATTATGGACATAGGAGGTTATCATTCTACAGCGACGATATGGCAGTAATGCGCTGCTACACGGAAAATTAGGCTTTATTTCTATACAGTGAAAGTTCAATACACTTTGTGTATGCGATATATTGTTTATAGATTAACTTCCTATCTTTCAACTGCCATTGCACATTATAATATTTTGACGTGACAACGTCTTATAATTCGATGGAGCCGGCTGCACCCACGAAAAAACATGACTCGTGCGGCCTTACCTCGCTCTTGGCGCATGCGGCGTTACCCCTCTCTGAGGCGTTCCATTTAAGGCTTGAAGTGCAAGCGAGAGCGCGGACTGAGCGACAAAGAGGCACAACCGGCCTCCGCGTTCGACATCTGTCTCTCTCCTACTTGAGTGAGCGATGCGTTCGCGTGGACAGCTGTACAATAATACATTAACATGTTTTCGTCAAGTATGAAGTGCAGTGAAAAGTAAATGTGGTGTCAATTGTTTATAGCAATTCAATTGTGATTTCCATTTACCTCCTTCTCTATATTCATACAAAATATCTATCAAATAAATGAAAAATTTCTTTTGAAAAATGCAACCATTCCATCAGTATTTTCTTATGACGCTGTCACGTTCAACTATCGTCAGTAAACCGACTTTACAGACAACCGATTTTATTATTATTTGTAGCCAATAACTGAATTTATTTTCACTTCTAGTTTAGACACACTTTGATGACTAAATGTAAGAGACTTTTAAATATCTAGAGGGATTGTACCCTGCAGTAAATTGCAAATTTAACCCCGTATCGCTTAGTTTTTGCGAAGTATTTTTTAAAATACACTTACTACATCCACAATTAGCTTGTGAAATCGGTAAAAAAAACTTAAATTAACAAAAAAAATCCTCCAATTTGTTAACAATTCCCGTATAGTAGACTAGGGAATATTATATATTTAAGTTTTTATATAGACCTTAGAAGGAATGGCGACAAAAAAAGCATCGGCATGTACGTATACTATATCTGGACAGTGTCAAACGCTATACTGTGAATTCGGACGAAGTGGTCGCAGCCACAGCTGGCCAAAACGAATTCTCTCTTTTTATCCTCTTTCGTCCTTGGCTTGAAGGATAGACGTTTCACCGTTAAGTGGTGAGCCGAACTGGAAATAAAATAAAAAAATGTTTACGTAAAACTTTGATTTATAAAAAGTATTCATTATTAATTGTTTACTTTTAAGTAGGACCTTCGCCTTAATATATGGCCTCTATAAGCGTGTATTCAAATGTCTAAATATTATATTTTATTTCTCTGTTAAAGGCTAGACTATTTTTTTTTATTATTATGATTAATTGCTTCAGGTGTAACTTGCAACTTCTTACAAGCATTTTGTAAAAATAACTTGGAGATTAAAAGAGTGACGGAGAGGTTTCTTGCTAGTTCTCTCGCCCTTGGTTTTGAAAACTGGTAGTTCGATTTCTTTACTCTGAATAACAGCTTTGTTTTTTACTCTAGAAACTTATGGGATCAAACCCTAAATTAATGCTTTTATCTTTACTATCACAATATATACGGATTTTTTATACAAAAAAACAATCAATATTTCATTTCAGCAGTGCAAAACTTACGATAAAATACTCACCTATTATCCAACTCGTGTAATATCGTCCAGGTATCGTCGTGTATGTATATCTGTATGCCCCCCGTCTCCAACCCTACCGCGGCAATTCGGCTCTTTAGAGTTGGCGCGAAAGCCAAAGCGGTCACAGATACAGATAACTCTAAAGGCTTTCCGAGTAGAGCGTAGTCTTTGAGCGATGAATCTGTGGTCGTATCTGTTTTTGACCATAGACAAACCTAAAAAAGAAATTTAAAAGCTGCAAATGACAATTGTCACTTATCCATACAGCTACAATTTCGGTATTTATGTACCGAAACCAAGAAAATTCCATTTTCCATATTTACTTTTCGATTTAGATTAATGCCTAATATGTTTAATTTATTACATTTATTTTACTTATGGCTCTAGTATGTCTGTTAATTTGGAAGTCATTTGTTTGATATCGATATTAAAAAAATTCAATTTTTTTTATTAAATAACAAGTTACATTTTTAGCAGATATTGGAGCCCCCGAACTAAGACTAGGAAGACCTGTACATCAGGGTACTTCGCTCTTCCAATGGTGTAACGAAATAGTATATTTCATTACAAGTGCGGAAAGCCTGTCATTGCAAAGAGTTTCGACAAATGTCTACCCGAGCCGAGGCGCAGCCGAAGGTAAGGGTTGACAGTCGGAACAAGTTGCAATGAATGATTTTGTGCCATTAAAATAGTAATTTTTAATACAGTTGCTTAAAAAGTGGCGTATTGCAGGGACGTATAGCGTTCGGGATGTGGGCTATTACACACTCGTGCTTTTTTTTACCTTTTCCGAACTAGTGCGTTTTCTTTCCCAACTGTCAAAATAATGTCTATTAAAAAGAAAAAACCAACCACGAAGTTTTTACTAAAAAAAATTCATAGAAATTTTTATGATTCATACAAATATTTCTAAAAAGAAGCTACTGCTTTGTTTCAATATAAGATTTAATGATTTGATTCAATGAGTTAGGTTAGATTTCATTTCATCTCCTTAAATTTCATTTCATATCAATAAAAAATTGTACTGAAGACTTGGCTGTATGGGCATAGTTCCCTTTGCCTACCCAGAATGGGTGAAGAAAAAAAAAATATCTGCTTATATTCTTTTACGGTTGGCGCCATTTTCCAAAAATGTTCTTTGCGCGTTTAGTTGTTTGTTATATTATATATTAAATATACATGAAAAATCATACGAAATAAATAATAGTTTGTCTCAAACAGTAAATAAATATGCAACCTAAAACTTCTCCAGTTAGTATAAAAAACTGTACCAATGTATATGTGAACAATAATTTGTATAAGAAATAAATGATTAGTGAGTTGAGTTTATTGTTTTTTTATTATTTTATTAAATTGCATAATTTTTTCGCAACTGTATTAAAAATAGTTGTTCAGTACACGTGCGGAACCGTCATTGCAACTTGTTCCGACTGTCAACCCTCACCTTCGGCTGCGCCTCGGCTCGGGTAGACATTTGTCGAAACTCTTTGCAATGACAGGCTTTCCGCACTTGTAATAAAATATACTATTAATAATAATTGAAACCAAAATACTATATAATAAAGAAAATCTAAAACTAATTACTAAGCTAAGGATACAGGTTTACATTTGTACGCACCAGAATGATAATCTGTGCCTGACTTACTTTAAATATTCGGTTATAATGGCGCCTATTTCTTTTACAAACATTATTACAATCGAGTAATGCCAAAAAGCTTGAGAAATGATCTAATAAATTGGCGACATACCTTTCCATCCCTAGACCCCGTCCCAAACCCACTTCCGTCATAAAACCACGCACAGCACCAAATAATCCTCGAATGTACCCCATTAGTTTTGTCAGTACTGGCTGCAATGCTGAACAGACCTGATTCTCTCGTGAACAGCGTCCATCTCCTATCTCTGGACACCGAGAGGAGATGACGCGAGTCGGGTGAGAAAGCTAATTGTGTGACTGTCAGCTGATGTGAGACAAGCTTCTGTATTTGTTGCCAAGAATTTGTTTCCCTATAGAAATAATTTATTATGAAAACAGTCTTAACTGTGATACCCTTGCACCCAAAAGTATTACACTGGATTATTATTCACGCCTTAGGAGGGTATACCCAGGGCCGGAGGGGAGGGCAACCGAGGATACAGCCTCGGGGCATCGACAAAATAGAGGCCCCCACAATAGATACTTCGGAAAGGAAAATTAAATCCCTACTAGTAAACAACTTTTCTTTTGATATTTTATTTCGCTGTTCTACCTTTACCTTTGTACAAACATATTGTTCTAAAATATTAACAAAAATCGTTGATCGGTATTTAAATTTTTATGTGTGTTGAATTCTAAAAAAATCTATTTGGTTTCACAATAGATTATTATTGATTGAAAAACTCGACTGAAAAACATTGTTATTTGGGGCCAGGGGGCCTCCACTCCTTTGTTGCCCCGAGGCCTCCAGACCTCTAAAAACGGACCTGGGTATACCACGGATCTCCAGTTGCTACGGTCTTGACCTTTCTCGCTTCATCCACTCGCATATTCACCATGCACTCTCGTCGGCTACGGATACTTTTGACCTGTCCCATGTCCAGTACCTCCTAGATTTTGTCCAGGTACGACAAGGCCTACCCAACCCGACTTCACCATCCACGATCGCCTTTTATATCTACAATCCTTTTATCCTTGTCACCAATAACTGAATACTTGTTCGTTTATATATGAAGTTTAGTTTCTTTCAAAATTTATCCAATAAGTGTTATTCCCAAGCAGGCGCTTGATTAGAAACCGTAAGGAGAGCGGTAGCGTGGCCGTCTCAGGAAAACCTGGCATCGTACAGTTGCAGAGGCAAAGAGAGCTGGAAAGACTTGGAGGTGAAATACGAGGCTCAAGACCGAACGCGATGGAGACTCTGTGGACGCCCTCTGCCCCATGTAGGGGTTAAAGGATATTATGTCAAGCAATGTCTTACCATATAAGGACCGCAGCGTGTTGAGCAGTGGTGGCTTTGCAGGCGGAGGCCAGTAGTGAGCCATCGGGAGATCCGGCCAAGCAGTACACTTCATAGCCGTGGCCATATAGCTTTTGGGCCTCGGGCCATAACGTGTTCTGCATTAGGGTTTCTTCTGTTGGGGGCTCTGAAATATAATATAGTACCGTATTTACGTGAATACTTATTTTAATGAAACTTAGACTGTTACGTATAAAGATGAAATATACTGATTTAATTAAATTTCGATGTGACATAGTTTTTCGAAATTGTAAACAAACATACAATTGTACATTTTACCACACCTGCTAGGAAATCTAAATAGGTACTCAGATATTCTTAACCCAACCTAACTTCTTTTTTTTAAGTTGGTTAAAGTTATTTAAAATGTGTCCACTGAATTTTAAAAACGTAAATACCAAAATTATTAAATTCTTACATATTAATAAATATAATTTGTATAACACAGTCCTGTAATAATAATTTAAATTTAATACGCGTGAAGTTCGCCGCTCTCGCCCAGCATCGAACGACCCAACTGAAGTTAGCTGCATTAACAACTCTTATTCTTTTAGTGCATACAATAAATCGTAACAAAGATTTCAACTCACCGTGCAATTCAATGGGAACAAAATATCCGTCATTGTCAGCATCAGAATTTTGGATGTCGTCTCCACAGAACACTGCTTTGTTGGAAAGACCTAGAGACGGTACTGACGCACCTTCGGGTCCTGTCATTTAGGAAAAATTCTTGAGTATACAAAAGAAAAACTTATATTTGATTATTATTTAGCATTCATTTAATGCCAGTTCTCGTTTTACATGTGAGTAAATAATCATAATAAACTTTATTCCCACAATAGGGAGTCCGTGTTGTGGATGGCCAAAAAATCGCTCTTCCGTGGTATATGGTGAACATTTAAAACGAAAGGAATATAAGTTATGTATAAAATTATTTGTTATGGAAAAGTAGTCAACGCTAAATCTAATTAATCAAAAAATCGTGCAAGACTTAAGTTTGTTTGTGAGACTGTGTGTATGTGGTAAATGTTTTTTTTTATTGACGTTCATAAGTCTACTTTGTGTAACCTATATTAATAATTTATATTTTATTTATTAAATAAATTTGTACACACGTCCAAAATCGATTACGGTGGGTTGGGTTCGATTCCCGGTGAAACAATTAACGATTCAGGATATACAAATAGGACTTACTTACGTAGACCTACATACTTGCCATAAACTAAATAATAACACATAAAAGCAGTTGTCCCTATATAAGAAGAAATATGTAACTACTAACTCTAGCAGGAGATTCTATTCTTTTCTTTCCATTAAATGAAAGGGAAAATCATTAATTTCGATACATCATTTAAAATATATATAAATTTGCCCTTCTTAAAAGTCTTCATTAATAATTAGCGATTAAAAAGAGTGGCGGAGAGTTTATTGCCAGTTCTTTTCTTCCGTTCTATGCCCTTGGTTTGAGAACTGGCAGTAAATGTAAAATTAGAATCATTTCATATTTATATCTTTTTTGACATTCATAAGTGTCCATTGTGTTATAAATAATGATTTTGACTTTTGACTAATAACTAACCAGCTGCATCCTCAGCTTCCAGCTCCTGGCCAGTGATATTCTGGAAGTTGCATATAAAGTTTCCGGGTGCTTGGAACACCCTGATGACCTTCTCCTCTGCAGCAGATGCGTATAGACCGGCGCCGAGTGGCGCCAGCGAACACAAATCGTATCCGTGTACTTGCGGTCGCGCTATCTCATGCCATTCTTCTATTCCTGGTGAAAAGAAGTCTACTTTAATACATTCGTAAAACTGCTATGACGTCACACCCTGAATCGCGTTAACGGGAATATTTTTTTATGTAATAGGAGGCAAACTGGCAGGAGGCTCATCTGATGTTAAATGATACCGCCGCCCATGGACGCTCACATTGCCAGAAGGCTCGCAAGTGCGTTGCCGGGCTTTTAGGAATTGGTACGTTCTTTTCTTGAAGGACCCTAAGTCGAATTGGTTGGAAAATACTTCAGTGGACAGCTGATTCCACATAGCAGTGGTGCGCGGCAAAAACTGCCTTAAAAACGCTCAGTTGTGGAACGACGGACGTCGAGGTAATACGGATGGTATTTTATAGTTATTTCAGACGATGAGGATAGGTATATACAACTTCTTGACCTAAGCCACTGGAGCCAGCTTATCAGTGGTTAGACTGGTCGAAGATAATCCCTTTAGGTTGGAGTAAGAGTATCATCCTTCCTTCTCACATTGAAAGACAGGAAGACCACATATTGTGGGTGAAATAGTTTGGAGATGGCTAAGAATGATATTATTTTTGAATAACACTAGTTTTTACTAGCTGTGCCCTGCGGTTTCACTTGCGTTTAAGCAATGGCGTTACTGTCATTTGTAAGTTTTTTTTGAAATAGAACAGGGGGCAAACGGGCAGGAGGCTCACTTGATATAAATTGATATGGATTGCTAAATGCCAGAGGGTTCGCGAGTGCGTTGCCGGCTTTTTAAGAATTGGGGCTCTTTTCTCAAGTTATTTATTTTGTTTTTAGTATGATTTGACTATTTTAATTTATAAGCTCTGACGTGACAGTGGCAGCTGACAGTAACACTATTGCTCTGACAATTAATAAAACTTGTTGTATCAAGACAGATAAATAGTCTGTAAACTAAATAGAAATCATAGATAAGGGAGCGTTCAAGTATAACGACGTAACGAATTGGAGGGGTGTAAAATGGGGGGAGGGGGTGTCAAGAATTACAGCCTTAGTTTTTGAATAGACAATCATTCTAAGTCTTTCATTCTTTTTTTCGTATTTTTCAATTTAAAAATAATTGTAATTTTTTATACGCAAACACATAATATATAGAATATTATTCCTAGAGGTTTACCTCGTCCAACTTTCCAAGGCGCGTGTAATCTGGCAGTCTGGTCAAGACTAGCACTTAGAAGGTACCTCCCCTTCGTCTCCCATTGAACGTCTTCCACTCCACTGAAGTGACCTCCCACCACTATACTCGACTCACATGTTTTTAATTCCTGAAAGGTTCAAACTATGATTAACTTAGTTCAAATTATGATTCCAGTATATAAAAATGTTGATGAGACAAATAAAAAAACACATTTATACATATACAAATGCATAATCCAGAAGTTTTATGAATTTTAACAGACAGAAGTAGACATTCTTCAAAAATAAAAATAATTTGTGTTTTTTTTTTGTTTTTTATCGCACCAGTGTTCAAAAGCATTACTTTTATATTAAACAATCCTTTGATGACACTCTTTGAGTCTATAATCTTCTGGTTCCTCGCCATGTTTTTCTTAACCTAATAGGCAAGTGTTTCTAGCGCATACAGAAAAACACAGCCAAGGGCAGAAGAGACAACTTCTTTTTGAGAAGCACATGCTTAAGTATTTTATTTATTAAAACTTTTTTACATTTCAAATAAAACAAGTAACAAATTTTAGTAGCGGCTTTATTGCTAACAAGCTATGTATTCCATGCAACCCTAGTAAAGAAAGAATTAATATTAAGGGTATATACATGGAGTGCATAACTTAATTAACAAAAGTTTAATTAAAAGTATGTTTAGGAAACAACAGTAAATTTTCCTTAAGTTAACAAGTTTGCATGTCATATAAAAATGTCAGCATGTTTATGTATCAGTGTCAATGTTAAACAAAATTTGTGTTAAATTTCTGTCTTACTTAGAGTACCTTATCTATTTTCCAAATATGAAAGGTTCCATTATAGCCGTGCCCCATAAAGGCACTTGGACCGAAACGGCTTCCATAGAAACCGAGACCATTTCCGCCTACTTCCCCAACTCTTATCTTCTCCACCCAAGCCCCACCCTTTTCGGGCTCCCAGATGATTATAGTTTTATCCAAAGATGATGACAGCAGACGATGGATTGGCCGCTTGTTGTCTGAAAAACCAATATTTTTTATTTACTAAACTATATTTCAGTATAGTATGTAGTAATATATCGCACCACTGGTGAATTCTGTAAATATTAGAAAGATTAAAGTAAGTGATAGATAAAAATAAAAGAAAAATACATAAATTTTTAGATTATACCTTTTTCACTGAAAGAGTCCCACTGAACTCCATAAACCCAGCCCTCGTGACCAGCCAGAACTGCTTCTAGTTTCACCGACCAAACCACATCATATGCATCAAACACTTTTTTCTCCACCTTAATCCCTGACACCTGCGACGACGACGACGGCTCATCGTAGAAGCGTTGGATGCGCCAAATACGAATATATGTGTCTTGTGATGCCGATGCTAATAGTATTGTGTTATCTGAAAATGATTTTCCAAATTGATAAATGTATCTTAGTAAGAATCCTGTAACATGGAATACTGCTAGTAGGAATTTTTGCCAGCAATGAAGTCTTTCTACATAATTAATACATTGTGGCTCAATTGGTGAAGCATTTGTTTCATGATATGCTTCCTGATGAAACAATAATGGATTGACAAAGATTAATAACTCACAGAGATATCTTATACACATAAAACAATGAAATACTGTAAGAAACATTTCATGTTTGAGTAATAGTAATAGCAGGTGAAGCTTTACACAGAACATGGACATAAATATTGATAAAGGAAAAAAAAATTAAAACTTATGGAGTTAAACTTAAATGACACCATCACATTTTACAATCATGTTACTAATAAACAAATAATAAATATTTAATTTATGTTTAAAAAATTTCATACCTTCAATTATGCTGTCCATACCCCGTACCCAATCTTCATGTCCAATCAGAACATCAACTCTGTGGTACTCCCCATTTAGAGCAAATACATGAATCTTATTGTCATCAAGCCCAAGAAACAGTATGGGCTTATTAACTACTGGTAACATAAGAGCATGTAAAGTAAGACATAATCCAGAATTCAGGTTAATTATCTGTTTTAAGGTGACAGTACCTAAGGAACAAAAATTATCAAGTATGAGTTTATGTTATTATACATTTTAATTTTACATTAATCTAGTTTTAGTTTTAAAGTTAAAAGGTCCTAGGAGAAACATTCATCCGCATTAAGTATGTAGTAATTTTTAGCATATTTTATGAGTATTTAAACTTTAATATTAATAAAGGAGTAAGTTAGTAGTGTAAATTTAAAATAATGTCTTACCATTTGATCTCTCCCACACTCTGACCGTAGAATCAATAGATGAAGTAAAGACAAATAAGTCATTTCCACCTGTATACATTCCGTAAATACTAGTAATTCCATCAGAGTGACCTTCTAGTACACTATTAACTTTCCACTGTCCATTTTCAAGAGTCCAAATGACAGCCGTTTTATCTGCTGACGCTGATATCAGTTCAGTACACAAACCACCCGGTTTTGTTAGCCATTTAACTGAATTAACTCTAGATTGATGGTGGCTAAGAACTGTAAGAGGATCTCTTCCTTTTAAATTCTGAAAGTAAGTATATATTTTACTAGATCGTGCACATAGCAGCAAATTTGTGGTTATGAAAAAAGAAATGAAAGTCCAGAAGCCAAGTGTTAACAGAGTCTACAGAGATATGTTATAAATTAAAGAAGGCTGGCTTGCATTTTTCAGCTTCGATTTAGGAGAATATTATAATTTAAAAAATCCTATTATTGATAAAATATTAAGTTAATACTAAGTTAAGAATCTCAAGATACCGTACCGTATTATAAATAACCACCGCATTACTTGCTCCATAGCATATGAGCCCTTCTTTATTCCAATCGACGATTTCTGGGGTACGATTACAGGCCACAGCTGTGTAAAGCTGCTTAACAAAAATCTTCATTTTTCATTTAACTATTAATTGTTAATATTTATATCGCATGTGCAGTGCAGTGTGAGTTTTGTTTTTAAAATTATTGTTGAGTTATTGACTTTGAGTATTGACATTCAGTTTGACATCTAGGTATTGATTGATTCCGACAACCCAGCAGGTTGCGTTTGATTTAACGTAACCGAAGAACGAAGATCTACCTATTCATATTGCATGCACATATGGAACATGAACGTACCTCATCATCATATTTATATTAAGATTTATATAGATTATAGTCGTTCTCGTCTCGTCGTTCTATTCTTGTTTCCCGCCAAAAGTGACAAGTTGTTATTAAGTTTTTATATGCATCAGCTGTTTTTAAATTATGATTTCTGTTCAATGAGAATGATGTTAGATTAATGTAGGAGTAAAATAAAATATCGACCAGAATATATATATTTAACTTGGCAAGATGCCTGAGGAAATGATTTGTGGGATTCCTGTTAACTTTCCTTTTGAGCCATATGATGTGCAGAAATCTTATATGCGTAAAGTTATTGAGAGCTTACAAAATAATACCAATGCCTTGTTAGAATCTCCAACTGGTACTGGAAAGACACTGTGTCTACTATGCGCTTCAATAGCTTGGCTGATGGTTAAAAAAGCACAACTTCAAATGAACGCACAGCTTGGTAATTTTACGGAACACAGTGGCGTTGATTCTCTGCAAGAAAAGCTCAAGACAGGAGCCGGAAAAAATAAGGACAATACAGCATGGGGCATGCCTAAAATTATATACTCTTCGCGTACACATTCACAACTTACTCAGGCTATGCAAGAACTTAAGAGAACAAGCTACAGACATGTTAAGGCTGCTGTGTTGGGTTCCAGGGATCAAATGTGCATTCATCCAGAAGTCTCAAAGGAAACTAATAATATGAATAAGGTACACATGTGTCAGCTAAGGGTAAAATCAAGAACATGTCATTTTTATAACAATGTGGAATCAAAAAAAGATGATCGATCTGTAAAAGGAGATGAAATATTAGATATTGAAGATCTTGTAACTGTGGGTAAAAAGTTGAAGTGTTGTCCATATTATTTATCTAAGGAATTAAAACAGGAAGCTGATATTGTTTTTATGCCATATAATTATTTGTTAGATCCAAAATCAAGAAAAGCTAATGGGGTAGAACTTTTAAATAATGTTATTATTTTAGATGAAGCGCATAATGTTGAGAAAATGTGTGAAGAATCTGCTTCATTACAGATAAGAACTACTGATGTTGCCTTGTGCATTGATGAAATCACTCATATTATGAGATCATTTGTAGAAAATTCTGAGGAAAATTTAGACACAACTGCAGAAGCTATAGATACTAATCAAGTAAAGGATTTTACCTGTGAGGATTTGTGTATATTGAAAGAAATTATGTTAGCTTTTGAAAAGGTAATTGATGAGATTGAGGTTGGCAATGAAGGTTCAACATATCCTGGTGGTTTTATATTTGAGTTACTAGCTAAAGCAGAAATTAAGGATCATAACCAAATGTCAGTGATATCGCTTATAGAGAACCTAATACAGTTTTTATCTACAGCAAGTGCATCACCATTTCAACGTAAAGGTGTTGGACTGCAGAAAATGGCTGACCTATTGAATGTTGTCTTTAGTGGTACAACTCATTCTTATAAGGAAAGAGTTAAAATGTGTTATAAAGTGCACATTCAAATAGAAGAAAAGAAAAATAGTAAGAAGACAGACAGCTGGGGTGCCTTAAAATCAGTTACATCTAAATCATCTGAGAGAGTTTTGAGCTATTGGTGCTTCAGTCCCGGATTTGGGATGAAGCAGCTTATAGATCAAAATGTCAGAAGCATAATTTTAACAAGTGGTACATTAGCACCATTAAAACCATTGATTTCTGAACTTGGTATCCCCATTGGTGTTCAATTAGAAAACCCTCACATAGTTAAATCAAATCAAATTTGTGTCAAGATTATCAGTCAAGGTCCTGATTCTGTTATGCTCAATTCAAACTACCAAAACAGAGATAACCCTAAATATATATCATCATTAGGAAGAACAATCCTTAGTTTCTCTCGTGTTATACCTGATGGCCTATTGGTGTTTTTTCCTTCTTATCCTATAATGACCAAATGTCAAGAACTGTGGCAGGCTGAAGGTATATGGTCCAGCATAAATAATATTAAGCCAATTTTTGTAGAACCTCAACGTAAGGATACTTTTAATTCAATTATCACTGACTATTATGGTAAAATAAGTGACCCTAATACTAGAGGAGCCTGTTTCATGGCAGTCTGTAGAGGAAAAGTTTCTGAAGGTCTAGATTTTGCAGATATGAATGGAAGAGCTGTAATAATAACTGGTTTACCTTTTCCACCTTTGAAAGATCCTAGAATTATATTAAAGAAAAAGTATTTGGAAGAACTAAGGATGAAGGAAAAGGACTTTCTTTCCGGGGATGAATGGTATTCTTTAGAAGCCACACGAGCTGTAAATCAAGCAATTGGTAGAGTTATAAGGCATAAAAATGATTATGGAGCTATCTTATTGTGTGATAGTAGGTTCAATAATCCAAAATTAAAGGGGCAACTTTCTGCATGGTTAAGAGATTATATAAGTTCATCCAATAAATTTGGGGAGGGAATTAGTGAAGTTTGTAGATTTTTTAAAAGCGCTGAATCAACATTACCATCACCAAAATTAAAACCTTTAAAGCCAGATGAAGGAAATTTTTACAATGACAGTGCTAAAAATATTACTGGTGTATCATTCTCAACAGTAAATGCCAGACCAATTCTTAAAACAAATAAGAAATCTGTCTGCCAATATCCTAATTCTAATGAAGTATATGCAAATTTTTCTATGGACTTTTACAAGAATGCTCAAACATCATCATATGTAAATGAGTTCAAACCTAAAGAAGCAAAAGAATTATTTAATGCTTTAGATAATAGTAGTGAATCATCACAAATACCTACATCAGTGGCTATACATAAAAGACATATAGAAGACATTGATATGCCAATAATTAGAAAAAAGAAATTAAAAATAAAAGCTTTTGGGTTTGAAGAGAACCTAAGCAATGCTGAAGTTTCAGATACCATTCAAATAGATAAAGTTGCCCCCACATCTCTAATGGACTTTGTAAAGGAGATAAAAACTTTTTTAGACAATGAGCAATATAAACAATTTCAGATATCTATCTCAAATTATAAGAAGACAGGAGAATATCAAATATTTTTAAATACATTAACCATTATATTTAGAAATAAAAAACTATTTTATTTATTTAAAGGAATGAAAAGATTTTTAAACGAAGAACACAAAATACCATTTCAGGAATATTGTGACAACTTAAAATTTCATAGCTAATAAGTAATTAAATTGTAGCATTAAATGTAATAATTATGTTATAATTTATGTGGTAAATAAATAAAGATTTTCTAAATTATATTTTATTACTTTCTCAATATTTTAGTCCTATTTAAAATACATTCTTTGCAGGTTCATTGATTTTATTGTTAATAACAACAGAATTGATTCTTAATATTGTCTGTTGTGCTCTTTGAAAATTTATCCTCATAAATTGCTTCCTTCTCTTCTTTTTAAAGTGTGTTCTAGTATGCGATAAACCTTTAGATATTATAGTTGCTGTGATTGTGACTAAACCGGGTTGAACAATTGGCCTTCCTATGAGGGATAAGTCTTTTGTTGCAGCAAGTAAAACCTTATCTAATGTGATTTTGTCACCAATATTTGGTGGCCAGTAACCTTCAACCACCAGCAAGTCTCCATCTGTGACTCTCCATTGTTTACCCAGCAAATGGACAATAGCAAAGTTGCGAGATGATCTTTCTTCTATTAATTTGTTACAAGTTGCTATGATATCTGTGGCGGTATTTGAAACATATTGAGTAGCCACAGGAGCATTATTTGTTATAGATTTTGAGACAATTCCACCTAAAAAATGATATAAACTGAGTTATTAGGTATTATCAAAATATCCAATAGTCAAAAAAACATTTTCTTACCTTGGTTACTACTACGAAAGACGCTTGCAAGCTTTTGCAATCCAGCCCTAAAAAGGACATATTTATTCAATATCTTTATGCAATTTATTTAAATTTGCACGTATTTTATCAATAATTACACATAAAAAAACTTTGGCTTTTTATTTTGATGAATATAATATAATAATTAATAACCTCGTTTCTTGTTTAATAAATCTTGACAACTGACAGTTCAGTTCGGTCACAGGTTTGCTAAAGATTATTACTTACCTGTACGTATTAGACCATAGTACATTACCTGTATTAGGGTGAGATTCAGAAACTAGACATAGCGCGAACTGTGATTCTTAAGTTGGCGGGGGGAAATTAATTTTTTGCACTTTTTTTTAGCTCTATCAACTGTTCGTTCACTGTTCTATCAAAAAAAATTTTTGTTCGTTTTTTTTTAATTATAAAAAAATTTACCCTCAATTTGGCACGAACTATAGATATTTTGATATTTTTTTTTCTAATAGTTTAGAACTATTCAATAACTGTTCGTTCAAAATAAACAACTGTTCGGCTTTCATTATCCTGTAATTTAATAATAATTAACTTTTTTTTATAAATCTTAATTAAATGTTATTGCGCATTGATTATCGCTCTCGTGAAAATTCATATTAATTAATAGTTTCTCGATTTTAACCATGACGTGGATATATGTATGGAGTATGGAGAGATAATAAACAAAATACTCCACTTTATACTAAAGTATTATTTAAAAAAATTATTGTTTTATTTCACTAAAAGTGATTGATTACAGTTGATAAACAAACATTCATCGTTTCTTCTGAGAAAGTTAGTATGAAATGTTGATAATATTGATATAACAATATTGTAGCATAATACTCTTTTTTATTTACTTTCGCAAATTTAATGAAAAATATATTATTATTTTTTGTAGACAAAGGAATGTATTTCATTAAAGTTTTTTTTAAAAATAACAAAGCAAATGCTTCAGCTATTAAAAAAAAGGAATTCGTAAAGAAACTTACCTATTAATAAATGGAAATAAAAGTGGGCCAATTGTTTATAAAAATATGCATTTTTTAATTCAAAACACATGTCCATTCGATTCTATAATTCAATTACTTTTTAATGGAGTACTGGAAAATGAAAGCTTCAGAGAATATGCAAATGGATCTGAAAATTCGAGTTTTAAACTTGCTTTAAATTTAATGAAAAATGGCGTTAAGAAGAACCCGAAAATATACAATGAACGATTTTCTATTTTGCATAAATTTTATCAGGAAATAGAACCAAGGCAAAAAATGCAGTGGACATCGGACGAAGAAAAAAGTAAAGCTCTTGTCATATCACGTGTAATTGACTGTAATGACAATGTGACTAGATTATGGAATAATTTGTTTCAAGACGAGCCTAGTTTATTCGAAAATTTTCTATGTGAATCACAACAGTGTAATTTTCGATTGAGTAAACCGGCAATAGGTGTAGATTATCATGTTCTACTGAAAAATGGAATTCAGGATTTGCAGTCTGCGTTGATTTTTCGCGGTTCTTTTAAAAAGCTTTGTCCGGTTTGTAAAAGTATACAAACTTGTGAACAAAAGCTCAACATGTATATTTATATTGAGCTAGCATTGATATACAAAAAACCCAAGATGCACACTCAACGTCAAAAAAACGTCCTCAAAAAATGAGCGCAACATTCTAAATTGTGCGCTCATTTCAAATAGTCTCGCGTCTACAAGTGGAGTCGATGTTATTTATTTGTGTTTTTTTATAAATAAATTTATGTACTCTTGAACTTCTTTGTGTGTAGTTTTTGACAAATATATTTACGCTATATAAAGTGTGGGTCAGGAGGTAGCCAATTTAACATTTTTTTTAATTTAAAAAAAAACTTTTAACCGGATTAAAGTTATGTATTATTATAAATTGACAACTATTTAACATCCAACACCTTTTGTCTTCAGTCACCGTGACCACTCACGCTGTAAAGCACCCGAAAAGTCGGATAAATTTAAAATTATGTTAAATAGTTGTAAATAAAAAAGTCATGTTCGACTCCACTCAATACCTTGTCCTACCGACCACGGTCGGTCGTAAAATTTTATTGCTTTAAGTACGTATACGCTGCGTTGTAATAACAACTTTAAGCAATTCGCGTAAGGTTGATTTTGCAATAATATATGCTTGTAACATATACTGTTATGGACAGAAATATTGTTTCGGGACACTTTCGAGCGTTACTTTTATATGAGACTGTGCATCTTGGGTTTTTTGTATATCAATGTGAGCTAGACATACGGTTGCGTAACGATATTAAAGGCTTATCATGTAAACTAAGAAATTTTCCCATTATTTTAAATATCAAAGAAAGTTAAACTAAAGTCGTACGGTATCGGTAAGTATGATTTTATTATATTTTTGTAAGATACAAAAAATTTTATATTGATATTAATTTCTATTTCAGTTTGTGTGGAGCTATTGGTCATAATGTGAATCATTATATTGCATATTGTCGAAGATTGTCAGGAATTTGGCGATTCTATAACGATATGTTACCAGCATCACAAATAATTAATAGGTGATCATTCTGAAATTGTGCCACATGGAGTACTTTATTTACGAGAAAATTCAGTAGGCGAATAAGTAATTTTATTGCAATTTATGTTTTGTTATTACGATGTCAAAATGATTTTTATTATGTTACCAAAAACATACTATTTAATGTTAAATTTTATTTTAAAATTTTTTTTATATTTGTAATGGTAGTATTGTTAAAGCAGAGTTCTTAAATTTTAAAGAAATTTTATTAAAATTTAATTTCTTAGATTATTTTTCTGCATGATTATTAAAAATATTATTTTATACTCAAATATATGCTTAGGTCAAAAAATGAAGAGAAAAGTTCATAAAAATTTAATTATTTGATTAATTCAGTAATGTTATCTGTCATAGTTATTTATTATAAAGTTAAAATCTTAAGTGTTTAGTTTACTAATATATCTATCGTTATTTAATGATTGTTCTTTGGCTAGTTTAAGTGCATCGGTGTACAGCATTTTAAACTCTATTCAAAACCAGCTGATTTTTGCTATATTTTTCACATAATGATGAATAATTTATAATAAGGGCTTACGATGTGATTATTTTTAACAACAATAAAAGATGTATTGATAATAAAGAACTTTTCTTGTTATTTCTTTTATCTGATAAAAAAGTCTAATAGATTATTCATTAATAATTGTGTATTTTTTCTGATTTGTTTATTCACAAAATAAGAAATATCCATATGCTATTTTATAAAATAGTCGTATAATATGAAAACTGTCATTCGAGATGAATCGCTAATACGGAAATAACTTAATGTTACGCGTCGTTTACGTTATAATTAAAATCTTGTTAACATGTGTTGATGAGACTAATATAAAAACGACGATTTTTTTTAATAAATAGTATGCTGAAGAAAATGTTATTATCGATAAAAAATATTTTTTTTTAACTATTAAAAGTATCGTATCATTAAACTTTATTGTTTTACTTAATATACATAATTTACTTTCTATTTGCAAAGTTTATTTATTAGATTTTGATATTAATTTTAAATTAAAATTCTTTTATATTAATTTTGAAGTAAAAACCTAAGTCAACTTATAACGTAAGTAGTACAGAAAAAAATTGTTAAAGTTTTCGTATTCGAAAATGAAATTATAGGTATTATCATCTATTTTAAATGAATAATTAAAAATATTGACTGAGAATGAAAAAGAAATTGGTTCTAGAATATATTGTATCAATATATAAATATATAGTTTGCATGGGACTAATCCTTTTCTATTTTTCTCAATCAATATATTTAATCAGGAATGTTAAAAGAATGGATAAGTACAAGAAATACGACTTTAGATGTTAAGAAAGAGTTCATTTTGTTTGTATAAAATAACAAAATATAAATGAAAGTAAAAACCGGGTGATGATGATGATTTTGTTGTTGCTGCTGTTATTGTTGTGTTGTCTCTTTGAATCGAATTCAAATAGGCCGCGCATAATTTATGAGAACTATGCGCATTGATACTGCGCATGCGCAATAACATTTAATTAAGATTTATAAAAAAAAGTTAATTATTATTAAATTACAGGATAATGAAAGCCGAACAGTTGTTTATTTTGAACGAACAGTTATTGAATAGTTCTAAACTATTAAAAAAAAAAATATCAAAATATCTATAGTTCGTGCCAAATTGAGGGTCAATTTTTTTATAATTAAAAAAAAAAAAAAAACGAACAAAAATTTTTTTATAGAACAATGAAGAACAGTTGATAGAGCCAAAAAAAGTGCAAAAAATTAATTTCCCCCCGCCAACTTAAGAGAGCCGCGCGAACTGGAGTTTGAGAGAAAATTACTTTTACTTTACTGGAGTGACTACCGATAAACGCTACTTGTTTCTGAATCATACCTTTAGATTGCGGAGCAGCGACATGATTTTTCACAGTTTTTTTGTTACAAGTGACAACCGATGTCCTCGACTCATAAGCAATTTAACATATTAATTTTGTTTTTATTATGAAGTCCTGGAATTGTTAGTGGAGTACTCTAACTCTACTTAAGTAGATACTTACATCTAATTACATATAAAAAATTACAAGATACCTATATCTTGATCTTGTGGAGTATGATTGAATCTGGCGTTCCGCAAGGTGGCGTACTTTCTCCTCTTCTTTTTTCTATTTATATTAACTCCTTGACTTTCCGTCTTTCAACTAATTTTCATTTATACGCCGATGATCTTCAAATCTAAGTTCAATCAAGTCTCGATGATCTCTCGCAAGCCATACGGGAGCAATACTAACTATGAGCTGGCAAAGATAGTTGACTGGAATAAAAATTTTGGTCTACTAATCAATTCCAACAAGAGTAAAGTAATAATTATTGGCAGTTCTTATTTCACGTCAAGAATTGATTGGGCCAGTATACTTCCTTAAATATTAGCCGTACAGTAAAAAAAATTTGGGGGTTTGATCAAAATTTATCCTGGGAGCAGCATGTTAAAGAAGTTAGCCGCAAATTGTACGGTGCCTCCACCATCCTTCGACGTCTTAGTAATTTTCTTCCCTTTAGCACTAAAACCTCACCGGCTCAATCTCTCCTCCTGCCATTACTGGACTACGCCGATTCTTGCTCTTCCGACCTAAACGAGGATTTGCTAAATAAACTGGATCCTCTCCAAAATTTCTGTATCCAATTTATATTCGGTCTAAGAAAGTACGACCATATCTCTGCGTTCCGTAAGCGGCTAGGCTGGTAACCCATTCGTCAGCGACGTGATGCTTATGTTCTCCATCTCTTATATTCCATCCTGTTCAACCCTAAAACTCCTTCCTATCTCAAAAATGATTTTAAATTTTTGGGATCCCATAGCTTCCACTTTTCCGAAAACTATATCCTTAAAATCCCATCTCATAACTCCTCCTTTCTTGGCGAGTCCTTTAAGGTCTGTGCAGTTAGGCTATGGAATTCACTTCCCGTCCCTATTCGATTAGCTCCTTCTCTATCTTCCTTTAAATTTCTTCTGAACAAATATTATCTGTCCACATCGTATCCCTAACTATCGTACCTACTAATTCCTAACTACTAACTGACGTGAGACTGATCTTAAATTAAATTATTATGATTCACGTGCACTTTTTACGAGTACCTATTTTTCATGTATTCTTTATTAGTTTAGTTTGTTTTTTGTTCCTGTTTAGTTTTTTTCTTAATAACTATGTAATATGTATTTTTGCACTTCTTGCCTACCTTATCTAATTTAATACATTTTTTCTTTTCTCACAGGGGTTGCCTGGAAGAGATCGCTCGAAAGCGATAAGGCCGCCAGTTGCCCTGCTTTACATTTCATTATGTTAAATTTATATACTGTAATGCAATGAAATGTAAATAAATAAATATATCAAAGTATTAAAAGGAGTAGGTAATAATATATGACACTTCGTTTTAAAAGTTCTCTGAATTCACAATCTGGTGGCAAAAGAAAACCCGTTAGACCGGGGCTGAGTTGGTGGGATGGAGTTGTCAAGGACCTCGAAACAATAGGTGTTGTGTCAAGGTGTGCGAAGTTGGACGCAAGCAGCACGCAATAGATTGCGATGGCGAAATAAACTTACGGAGGCCACAAGGGGCTATATTAATGATGATGATGATAATTTACGGTTGCGTATATTTTTTTTATCCACATTTCAGCTGGCCCAGAATTTGGTAGTACCAAATTAGTCATGATTTTTTGAAATACATATATTTAATCACTGTTAGATCTGCAAGAAATAAATTTTCTTTCTTTAATTGCCGTTTCAGTTTTTATCCCATAACTTGAATGTGGGCATTTTGTTTCAATAATACCACCTGTTTATGTACTTTAAAAATAAGTCCTTTGCCTATGAAAATACCTCAGTGCTATTTGAAATTGTTTCAATAATAATTAAAAAAAACTATTTTTCATTAAATCAACTCTGTCGTGTAGTATGCAGAGTAACTAACAACGATTTATGCCTGATCTGTCACCCGCCGCCCAGCGGTCCGCCCAGCGACGGTTACGGACGAAAACGGTTGGCAACACCCGACGAAGACATGATCGCAGTATTTGCTTGTATGAACACAAGTTTAGCTTGTAGAATTGCCGAGAACAAATGTAGTACAAGTCTTCCTTAAGTGCTTGTGAGCGGTACTAACGGTTATTGGTATAAAGCTTGCCCTTCGCCAAACACTGACACCCTATTGGACACTGCATCACTTCGAATTGCTATCAGCCTTCGCTTAGGAGTGCCCATATGTCTGTATATGTATTCCCACATGTTGGGTAACATGGCCTCCTTTGCCAAAAGAGTACATCGTTGTTTTTCGCCAAGCCATGTTCCCAGACTTCATACGCCGCATTCTTGTCTCCGTCAATATTTCGACAAATTTGGATGATGCAAGCGGCTGGATGAGAAGTCTTTGATCCCTTGGAGGACGGGACGGGCTTTGTTATAAGATGAAGGTGCTGTCGGACAAGCACAAAATCTGGAACGGTCGTAGAGCAAACGGCAAAAATACTGAGTCTTTCTGAATTAGATTGTCTTTCCTTGGACTAGAGACAATTGATCTGTGTGGTTCAAGTGCACAAGCCGTAATCAAACATTGAGGTTAGCGTCTGGCAGATAGTACCAGTGATCCCAGAGCTGGTGCTTTCCTCGCTCAATGATTAAATATCGCAATAAAGCGAGGAAATGCTACAAACATTAAAAGCACAGACCACGGATAAAACTTTTAAATTTCAAGCGATCATTTGCAAAAATTACCTTCGAGAATATAGACTATATAGATTGTAGATTAATTCCCTATGAAATTAATAGATATCAATATATAATAATATAACATTTGTGACAGAAAAAGTATGATTTATATACACAGTTTTTTTCTTAATATGTAATAGTTGTTTATTATCATATCGTAATTTGATTTTTAAAACTGTCCATTAAATTTTTTATGATTTCAAATAATATAATACGTGTAAATACACGTATATTAAATAATAATAAAAATGTATTTATCTGACCAATATATTTTTTAAAGACATAAATAAACACAATACAGAACATGTTGTCCAAAGTTACCCGTACTTTTCACAAAATTTATGACGTGACGTCAAATGAATCGGTTCCTTGGCTTAATTTAAAACACTATTTAATTCTATTATTTAATAATCCAAAAATACGCAGCAATTAGTAACTTTCTTGTTAATGTGTGTTTGTGTGTTGTTGTGTTTCTATGTTTTCGCTAGATTTTTATTTTTTCTTCTTTTAGTGTAAATCTAGGACCAACTTTTAAACCTCTTTATCGAGATTAATCTCAAAAATCTATTTAACCAAGTGTAATGTAGCGACTTACGTATGAAAGCTTTGTAAAGACATTAATATATTTTCAAAATAGACGAAAAGTTCAATACAAAGTTTAATTAATGTTATAATTTATTATTTTATAAAAATATTGTTCAGGAAACATGAGAACTAGCAGAGTCATCTACGAAATGTTTATTTAACGAGCCATTCGTAGCTCGTATACGTTATCGTAGCACTCGCTACGAGATCGCTACGAATCATATTATACAGCTCTACAAAAGCTCGAGTGAATACAACATAGCGTTTTTTTCTTTTTACACAATTATAATTGTTGAAATGAAACACGATCAAAATAGAGTCGAGTAAAAATAACATAAAAAGCCGTCACCGCAACGGAACTTCAATATTATTCATAATTAAAAAGCAGAGCGTATAAAATGCAGCATGAATAATTACGACCCGCATAACATCACGTTCGCAGGTAATCTATCAAGGCTTTTTCCAAAAGCAGGTGCACCTAGGTTCGTTTTCAGGGCACGCGGTCGGTTATCCTCGGGTCGCCGTCGGGGGCGATCGTAAAACCTCGCTGGCGTCTGGGGTCCGTTGCCATGCCGACGAGAACGCGCCATTCCAGACGTACTACCGAAAATAAACACGGTTAGGCTAGGATTACTTTTTAAATTGTGCTTGGTTCATGATTAAACTATCAGTAATGCTTCGATAGTATACTGGGTCTCATAGACCGGCTAAAAGTATTTTGAAAAAAGTCTCGCGAGCTGACATTAGGGTTGCCAGCTACCCGGGCTACCCCAGCTACATTTTATTATAAAATGAACCATTTAAAATCTCTAATTTTGGCTTCTTAAGTTTGTAGGTTACTGAACACTTATGAACAACAAACACACTTAAGTATTACTTAAAATATTTGTAACTGGAAATGATTCAATCCTTGTAGCACTTTGAGATGTCTACAATAAAGAGGGGCTGTAAAAAAATTCACAGTTGAATACCAAGATATCACTGACGGTGCGGATTTAGGTTTAAGGAAGAAATCAATATAATATAAACTATAATAATTCACTTCTTGAGAATGAAAATGAATTATTGGTAAATTTTTAGTTTTTTTAAACATTAATAGATACCGACAAATAATTTAGCATCTTAAAGCGCGCATGATTTGTGACAGTTTATCTTATCACGTGTCAGCTAGGTCTGGATATAACGAGGTGGCAGCCCTGGCGAGGCTGTTTGTTCGGGCCGGGCATGGGGCGGCGAGCGAGGGGTGAGAAGCAGTGATTGCGCGCGCAGTGCTCGCGCGTCAGTCGCTAGGCGGCGGGCCGGCGCACGGTCGATAGCGCGTGCTGGCGCGGCCATGTTGCACGAGGCGCGCACGTGCACGCCCCGCGCGGAGCACTGACTCTTTGTGACACTCGGTGCCCTGTTTGTACATGTGTCCATCAGTGTTAAGGTGAGATCCATCCCTTTCCATCACGCTATGTAAGCTTTAATGTCGGTGAAATTGTGATGGAATATGTGTTTCAAGTGCTACAGATTTCCAGCTTAATGCTCTATGAAATTTTTTACAAAATAAGCGGAATATGGAAACGTATATGTCTAGCTACATTAAAATAATTGAATATAAAAGGGATAAAGGCGTATCTACACTGAGCGTTGCATTATAGTCGCGTTTGCATGGAGTGTGGTACACATATTTTGATGTAGAGCTTTAAAATATGTGTCGAGTACGCGTTTACGACGCCTCTCAACATTGTGCAGATAAATGTGAAGTCGCGTAAGTTATGTGATTTAAAAAAAATACAGTTTTTATACGGCACTAATTAAGCTCAGTAAGTTCCATCGATGGCAAATGCTTTAATCACCAATCAATCAAGCGCACACCTGACAAGAGGCAACTAATGTTTTATTCTCTTTATTAATATTTAAAAACAATTTGGCTCGTTTATTAATGATGAAAACGCGGTACACATATTCATGTAGAGTTGCCTAAAATGTGTGTCGAGTCGAGATCGCAACAGCAGCAGGTACTCGACGTAGAGGCAAGTGGAATATGAAATGAAACTGTGGAAAATAATGAATATTGTATCTCCATTGCTCGGTATTTTTTCTCTGATTGCCCTATTGCCCCTTTATGAGCACGTATGTTTATGTAGTGGATACGGGTTAGAGGTTAAAGTAAAGTGGCTCAAATATTAATCAGAATTTTGTTGAACAGCTTTTCATCGGAAATGAACGTAATTTTATGTAAAATTGAAAATGTTTATTAGCTCTTAGCAAATTGTACATAGTCTGCTTAAGTCGAAAATGTTGAAAATGTTTGTAGAGCTAACATTACACTGATAAAAATTTGAACAGCCTCAGGTTAACAGCAAATACAAAAACGGCCGACGATAATTACGATCTTTTTTCTGTAATTATAATGTATAGAATTGAAAGTTACGTGTATTATGTGCTTTGTCTTTTCAGTTATATTTCATTGATTTTGGCCATTATTTCCGTAACATATGGTTCCTATGGTTCATATGGTTCCCGAAAGGAATTTTGTCCTAGGACGTGATACAACTGAGATATGAAGGTGAAGTAATACGTCTTATTAAAAAGTTTTACTTATTTTAAATTCGTGATAGTACAAAAAATTCACACGCGTTCAGGATAATGCGACTAACGATAATAAGCGTCGCTTTTCTTTTGCGTTAAAATTCTTAAAAGGTTTGCTCTATAAAATCGTCTTAAGATTTGTAGGTTTAACATTAAATGTCATAATTATGGAATTATCAATGGTCATTTTCAAAACGGCCTATCCGCCTTCGTATTTTAAACTGGGGTTGGTCGGCTCCAGTGCTTGCAGAGCATGTTTTAGCCGCATGGATCCCTGATGAATGGTCGTGCTAGTGCACGGTGCCATGGTGATTTTCGACGGTGGTTCGGATAGGCTACGGGATCGGTTTACCTATCCCTTTTCGCCTCTTTCTTCCTATACATAACCGCAGAAGAAAAAGAAAGGAGAAGAAGAAGTGTGCAGAAGTTTTAAAGGTCTTTCGCAAGCCGTCGCCATTAGCAGTAAGGATCGCCCTAATCAGGATGACGACCTCACCCTTTAGCATGTCCAGAGACCTTATTTCCGCCTGAAATATCTGCCGAAACATCGGTGACAGGACAGTATCTTCATAAGTCGATAACTGAGGTTTCCACCTTGGATGGTGAATTGCCGGCTATGAAGAACTCTTCATCGTAACACTCAGTGTGGTGAGGCCTTGCAACCCTGATGGCGATGACGCTACGACATGCGGAAGGCGGTTTTGTTGATTTTTTATAATTTGTCCGCCCCTTCACGTACAATTAGGGACTCCTCTCACTAGGGACCGCAAAGGCTTGGCATTAATGGACTAAACATGTTTGCCGTGGCAGTGAGTGCTGCGAATTACGTTCCGGACGTCCAGCGTTGGTCCAGGACCAGCCCGAGCGTCGTGCCGGCCCCTATGGACACTCCGCCGACTATAATGCTTGCGACTTGTGGCGATGCCCTGCGGTGGCCATGGAAACAGATCCTCTGACGGGGCACTTTAATTTGGAGACTAATCGGGCCACTCCGACACGCTTCCTTAAATCCTGATCGGCTGCTACCACGAGGTGTTATCGACGTAGCAAATAGTTCTGACTCCAGTTCTTAAATTAAGGACGTAGAACGGACAAAAAGAACTAGCAGCGTCACTTTCAAATCGCCATAGCTTCTTTTGTTTTTTTTTATAAAAGATATGTAAGCAACTGCAACATCATGCTCTTCATAACTCTTGCTAAACGTCTTTGAGTAACCCAAAAGATCGCAAATGAATACATTGCAACTGTAAACTACTATTATTACTATATTTATTACATCATTCACAACAAAGTAAGTCTCTGTGAATATACGGGTGTAGAATGGTCGCGTTTCAGAGATAATTTGAATAAGAAAGAAATTCGTTTGTCTTAAAATGCAATATCATTATTGAGATGGAGTAAAACAAAGGGAGAGTCTATCTTGTACTTATATAAACTTGTTCAATAACATCAAAGAATGTTGTTGTGTGCTTTGAGTCTATCTGATATAATTGTAGTAATTGCACTCTCATTTTACTCACTATTGGATGATTTTATTCCAGTATAAATATATGTTATGTATATATTATTGCTGATTGCTTTATTATCGAACTAACTCATTTATACTTGGTATTTATATGAGAAGTTTCAATCTAATTCCAAATTGGAAACCATTTTTCACGTCCATCCTTCCATTTGAGTTGGTTATTAATCTCAAGTCTAGAAGCATCTTTATATATCTAGTTTGATATTGATTTAACGTAATTGTACGGTGTTTATAATAATGACACATGAAAATGCAGAGGTATTTATAAGTCGTAAACATTCTTGAAATTTAGTTCCGACGACATTCATGAGACGGACACATATTTGCGTCTCTGTCATTGATAATTTATTAAGAACTTATAACCCTAAACTAATAACCATTGTATTCCTTTAGCACTATATTTCTAAATGACTTGTGCGCATATTATCGTTTTTCCTTAAATTAATTGTAATTATACATACGTATTGATTTACAATTACATTCTTCATCGCTTTGAAGTAGATAAAAACTATTTTCACTTATAACAAGATTGTAATTAAGATTTACTGTGTGCGAATTCTCTTTTAAGACTTTACATGAAATTAAACTAAATTAGTTTAAGTGTCCAACCTGTCTAATATCGAAATTGTACACAATTTTCGATACTTGCAATTGAAGGACCCTAAGTCAAATTGGTTCGCATATACTCCAGTGGGCAGCTGCTTGCACATAGTGGTGGTGCGCATAAATAGTGCCTTAAACGCTCAGTTGGGAGACGGAAACCTGTGGGGCCGAATTTCTGCTTTATACAGTTGCAAACGATTGTCCGGAGTATACCGTCTTGCCTTGTTGAGCACACCAAGATTCTTGGAGGTTATTTTGCCTTTACCTCGAAATTACCGCAAAACTGAACGTGGTTCGATATGTCAAACCCAAATATTCCGATGCTGGCTGTGACATTAAGAAGAGTGTCTTCGAAAAGAGGAGTAGTGACAAAGAGTGATTTTTTAGGGGAAAACGCACAAACTTGTGAGACTTGACTAGATTTAGTCTACCCCAGTCCGAGACTACGTATTACGGTTTCGACTTCAGACACAAGTTTTTTCCGGTACTCATCGACAACTGCCCTAGAAATATCATTATAATGCTCGATATGAAAGTATCTTATCACCAACCAATTATTGGTATTAGCTGTAGTACCATTGAACAATGGACTTTATTTCAATGTGCGCATTTAACATTCGCTCGAACGGTGAGGGAAAACGTCGCGTCGTAAGGAAACCGACATGTGTTAGACCCAAAAAGTTGACGGCGTGTGTCAGGCACTGGAGGCTGATCACCTACTTGCCTATTAGATTGAAAAAAAAAGCTCATGAAACAGATTCAGAAATCTGAGGCTCAAACCTAAAGAGGTTTTAGCGCCACCGATTTTTTTTATCGCATATATAATAAAATGTTCCTTTCTGATTAGGAATTTTTTTTATACATTTAATGTTTACTGGTGGATCCATCGGGCTGAATGAAAAAGGTTAAGGTGATGTGACCATCAAAAGGAATAATGTAGTTTTGTTTACTCTCTATTTGATTCTTTGTCGAACGACACCAAACTCATAAAATATTTAGTACCAAACAGAGTGCTGAGACTCTTACTTGTTTGTTATTCCAAATAAACATTTACACATTCTATGTTCAAATTGTAAACTTATTTTTATCTTAGCCAAGAGATCTAAAAACTATTGTGTTTAGCTTAAATTTACTTAATTTTGTGCTTAGCCCGCTTATACACACTTAAATTACAAGTAAGCAAATAAAAATAACGCGATTATATCAGTTAAAGCAGTTTTCTAAGCCTATTAAAAAGGCACTTATGAAAGTCAAAATTACAAGTTAAAATATTTAGAAAAAGAAATCTAGTTGCCCTTTACAAAAGGTAGTTTCATACATAGGTAGAAGAATGGGCAAGAAACTCCATACTAACTCGTTTAAAATAGTTTTTACAATATTTTTTTTACATTTATTTGATAATTATATGTAAAGACCATGTACCTAGAATAACAAAACTACTATACTAAGCGCATGGTGTTATAAAAAACAATTCAGCAGATAATTAAATTATTATGTAGATACATGGTGCTCACATAATCATTCACATTTAAATTAATTCAGAGTGGCGGAAAGATTCTTGCCAGTTCTTCTTGCCCGCTCCATGCCCTTGACTTGCGAACTGGTAGTAAATGTAAATTTAGAATTAATTTAACTTCTTTTCTGACGTTCATAAGTGTACTTGTTTACCTATATGAATAAAGTTATTTTGAGTTTGTGTTTAAATATATATCATGTATGTACACAATCAAGTATACAGTATTTAAAATTTTCTTAACCTACAAACTAATAATAGAATTAAAAATAATTAAAATGAAAATCAAAACAAATTTAAAAAGTTTGGTCTGTGGTAGTGTACCTTTAAAGCTGGCAGAATTTCCTCGCTGTATTGCGATACTTATTCGTTGAGCCAGGAAAGTGCCAGGTACTATCTACCAGACGCCAACTTAAATCTTTAATAAGCGCCTGTGCACTTGAACCCCACGGCCCAAGAGTCTCTACTCCAAAGGGAACAAAATCGAAGTTGGGGGATAGACTCTTACTCTCATATTATGTATATTTCAGATAATGTCATATTTATTACAAATGTAAATATAATGAACGTTTTGGTCCCCAACTATAGTAGTATAAATTTTTTCCAGATGGTTAAAATATTAACTTTATTCAAATATCTCTTACACGCGTTACAAAACTTGATTGCAATTAGAACAAAGTAAATAGCAGTCGTTTTTTTATAAAACTTTACTTTTTTTGTATACGTTGTCAGGATTTGAATATTGCGAGGCTACATTCAGTAGGCGAATTCATTTAGAAATATAGGTTTCATATAAGTTATAAAACTGAAATTGGTTGCGAGCTTTTTGCTTAACTTGAAAAATGCGGTGGCTAATTTAGTAGACCCAACTCCTTTCACAAGCCTTGAATATCACTGGGATGGGCTTCTTGGAGCGATATCATGTCGTTTACGATTGGCTACGCCCTGAGACTCTAGTATATCCCTCTACAAATTCCATAGCGTTGATAGTGAATGGAAGGTTGTTGAGGTAACAATGCCCAGTTACTGTCAACAACTAATGGGATTGTCAGTCCGTTTAATTTGTGCAAACTGTACCTTCGCGAAGGTAAATTTTCCTGCGACCTCTAGACAGGTTTGTCAATATCTAGAAATACGTATCTAGATTAATTAAAATTATTACTCTACTATTTTTATTTCAAAATTTATTCGAAGCTTCAAGAGGCTATACCAGAAAAAATCGAAAAAACTTTCGTGAACCCTGCAGTCTACCTACAGAACCTAAAAACCAGTGGGTATGTTGCCGGCCTTTAGAGAACAAGGATTACTAAATTTCTTTCTGTATTTCTTGAAGCAGTGGAGGTCCATTGTTAAGAAGGAAATCTGCATTCTGGTAGCGAGTTGTGAAGCCGATTTCACAACTCGTAAGTTTAAAAAAAAAGTTTGGTTGGGCCATCCCAACGAAAATAAAAGAAAATTCATTAAATTAATATGTATGGTGTTTAGGACTACGAACTCCGTGTTCTTACTAAGGGCTAATTTCACCAAACTCAGATAAGTTTTATTCCAAGGAATTAACCCTGGAATAGCAAATTTTACATTTCACCAACTACTTAACCTGAGAATAAAACGTTATTCCAAGGATAAGATTTATACGCCCAATTTTGAACGAATACGGAGATATTCCTTGGATAAAAATGGCCGCCATGTCATGTCAGCTGTTTTCTATTTATTCTTCGATGTTTCATTTGTGCAAAAAGATTTCGTGTTTTGATTTTCTCCCGTTTTAATATTTCATTTTTTATTTTTATTTCAACTTCAAATTTTTTTTTTCCGTCCTCTCTCTCCTCAGCAGCAAAATTCATAGCTTTTATTTTAATTTTATGTAACTCTTCTAAAGTTGAAGAAACCGGTAAAGTAGGTCTGCGTCTGCTGCTCCAATTTTTCTTTTGAGTGAGAGGGGTATTTCCAGCATCCTCTACAGATATTAAAGCACAGTCATCAATATCCATATCCAAGGCAAGAGGCGTCGATTTAGCTGGCTGAACCACAGGCTGAACTGACTGTGCACGCAGAGGAGCAGATTTCTGAGATTGCAGCATCTTTGGGGTGTAGTCTCCCCAATCAGCAGCACAGTCACCTTGTGATTTATCATTATCGCAGGTAAAATTTGCAGCATCAATATCCAAGTCAAGAGGCGTTGACTTGGTCACAGTGGTGTTCGGCACAAATATGCCTGATACATCTGGAATTTTAACTGTAGCCAATGTTTCATTTTCTTTTAATATAAAATTATCGCAATCATATGGATTTTCGAGTCCAACAGCAACTGTTGAAATAAGACCCAAGATCCGGGTAAATAACGGGTCGTCAGATTTAGGCTTTGCAGGTCCCC